ACGTGTTTGGTTGATCACATTTGTATCCATGGAAACCGCTCTGACATTCGCACGTAAAACGTTTCCAGGGCTGTTGGAGAGAGTAACTTGGTTTGCATATTTTGTTTTTGGGACAAATTTCTGATTGTTGACAACAGTTGTATTTCATATAACAACTCATGCCTGAACACTGGTTTTCCAGTTTCTATTAAAAAGAACATTTAGAATATTAAACTTTCAGTTATAAATTTTGTTTTGATGCCAGTTTTCACAAAAAACAACCAAGGGCCACGGGAAGGGGGCACAGTGCCCCCCTTTTCTGAAAAGATTAAGATGTGCCCCCTTTTTTAGCAAAGATACCGTACTTTTGAGTCATTAAATCTGCCCTTCTTAGAGCAAGTAATTAAAAGTGCCCTGTAATTATTGTAAAAAGAAACGAAACAGAAGTACGTGATCGCAACAGAGATTTGTATTATAAGTAGTAAAATAAGTAGCTAAACAAAACTACTTCACTGTCACTGTCTTCACATGTGTATGGTAGTATTTGGTAAATTTCGGTATATGTGTGATTACTATACTGGAAAGTGCCCCTTTTTGTAAGTGTCCCGCCACTTTACAAATGTTTCCGCGGCCCGTGAAAACAACAAGTCGCCATCACGACTAGCGTGTCATGTTCACAGACTACGAGCCAAGGCCTGGCATAGCTTAATTTTACATTTAAAAATGATTTGGCCACCATTACCTTGAACGTTTCTGTAAAGTTTTGCATCTCGAACACGGCATAGATGCAGCCATCTTGATCCTGGAGAAGTGAACTGTTTTCTTCCTTGTGACTTGAACACAGTTGACATTCTGTATTTTGACAAATTTGAAACGACTGACATCGACAGTCCTCAAGACAGTGCTTAAGGCAATCCGCCATATTTCCATTTTTCAAACTGAACGTCGCGATGCGACGGGATTCTTCAAAAGCTTTGCTTTTTTCAGCTTTTATTCGAAGCATTGTTGCGTTGGTGTCAGTTAGGATTGTCAAAATTATGACGACCGTCACACTAAAAAAACACGGAAGTTTACGGTCGTTAGCCTTCTTTAAACGATTATTAAAATATCTCTAATTAAGGCCCGTTTACACTTTTGCTGCGTTTTTATGTGCGATTTTCTTCTTTTGACGCATGTGAATGAGTACGTGATTAGTTACGATGCTCTGATGTATGCAGTGAGCTCTATATATATATATATATACCTGTGTCCCAAGTGCAGGAGTCACCATTGCGCTCTGGTGATAGCCGGAAAGGCACATTGTTTTACACATCATTGTTTTACACATGTTATATATATATATATATATACACCCATTTGCAAAAACGTTGGCCGCAGATATATAGATAGATAGATACTCGAAATCTAATTAGAATTGCATATGTTGTGTAATATGATTGAAATCCCATGCAAATGTAATCATATGCAATTCTAATTAGACTTGGAGTATCAATCTATCTATCTATCTGCGGCCAACGTTTTTGCAAATGGGTGTATATATAAATATATATATATATATGGAGTAGTAACTTGGTTGCTAAAAGTGAAGCCAAAAATGGCGGAAATTGAGCTATTGGAGGACACCCCAGTCCTCAGCCTGACGATTTTATCTCGCTATGTAAATCTCGAGTTATTATAATTATTAATTTCTTTACAAATTTATTGTTTTCACAGTCAATGAACACCAAAAAGTAGCATAGCGAGACAAATCGTCAGGCTGGCTACGTTACTGTCTACCTTATCTGACTACTGTATTTTCCCACTACAGTGTGAGTAAATATGAATTTTTCGCTGTGAGTACAAGTACGCTTCAAACTTTTGCTTTGGCTTAGGTCTGGAGTAAATTTTGTTTTTCACCTTGTAATTTTGATATAGTTTTAAGACACTGATAGTCCTTTATTTTTGCCAATCGTCCTAGCATGGGGCAGTTTTTAAAGATTTTCTTCCTGCATGAAACGTTCGTATAAAAATGCTATATTTTCAGGTGTATTTTGGGCCTCGGATAATTTCTTTCGAAGTTATTGTTTTTATGGAAGACAGCTTTCTATATATCTTTTCTTTTGAAACTGAGATAAGGTAACATTTTATTTGTATTTTTGAGTGTATTCTGTTAACGTCAACAGCCCACACTCACTTCTCTTGAGATATTGCTCCTTTCTTAGCAAATTTAAGTGAAACTTAAAAATATCCTAACACAGAGCATCAGCATTTAACTTTAATTAAAAATTCTATCATTTTCCACCCAAAAATATGAGAAAATAGCCATAAAAAACAAGAATTCACTTTGACCACGGACCACGTAGGAAGACTGGGATGTCCTCAATGGGTGTCATGTCCACTGAACTTAGATCAGTGGTCGGGTCTTCCAATAGCTCCTTCAATTTCCGCCATCTTTGGCTTCACTTGAACATTAGCCAAATAAGTGAAGCTACTACTCCATATATATACAGGGTGAGTAAAAAAAACCTGACACCTTTGAAATTCAAATTAGTCGCAGAGCTGTGGCAGAAGTTGCTTAAAATATTTCATAGGTATACGAAGCATATATTAATTAACCTAAAGCATAAAGTTTGTTCCCATTGGGAGTTAAAATGCATTCTAAGCTCTGTAAATACAAAAGAACAGTTTTATCAAATCCTTTTTGTTGAATTGTCATATTCCAGCCATAAGTTCGCAGCTAATTTGAATTTCAAAGCTGTCAATTTTTTTTTTATCACCCTGTATATAGAGCTCCTTGGATGTATGATGTATAAGAGTTATTTGAACAACAGTAACAAATTTATTCGTTCACATCCATCAAAAGAAGAAAATCGCACATTTAATCGCAGACAAAAATCGCAAATGTGAACGGGACATAATCTTGCTGAAGATTAGAAAATAAGATAAATTGTCGCGGTGTTGCCATGGTAGTGCCAAGTGGCGCCAAAATAGCCGAGTAGATCCAGCTGTGTAGATAGAATAGAGTCACTTATTTGATCATTACATTAAATATCTCACGAAGTTGACATGCATAGTTTGCTGATTGGTAACAGGTAACAATACGAAACGAATATTAACTAATTAAAATTTACCTATAGTTAGTGTGAACTTCAAAAGTTTTGCGAGTGAAAATCGTGTCAATTCTAAAAAGTAAACCTTATAGTCTTATAGAAAAAGCGATCATTAAATCAATAGATGATAAAATTGCAATTAGCCCCACATTGCCACATCTCATGGGGGGAAATGCATTGTTAGTTGAAAATATTGTTTTTAACTTCAGTGTTCCTTGTATTTACTGAAACAATTTTAGCCGTCATGGCATTAGAGCCAGGCCCTGGACATAACCAACTAGATTTTCGTTGCCAACTTTCATCGCTTACAACAGTGCAAGGTGGAAGCTGCTCTCTCATTTTAGACTTCAGTGTTCTTCATTTTAACATAGCTATACTGCCTAACACCTTACTGATTCTGTTCCGGTCGTCCTTGAGATGGATTTCAACACAATGTGAACGGTAGATGTCTTCGCGACATTTTTTTGTGCAAAGAAAGGCGAAGCGGCTCAGCAACAAAAAGCGGAGAAGAGTGGAATAATTTATGCTTTTAAAGTGGTTTAACATGTATGAACTGGTTAAATAAAGATACCCGTAACTCCGTAAGTTCTAGTAATCAACGGAAGTTTAGATACGTCAACTTTGACTAGTGAGTTTTACTATTTATTTTTATAGCTTTATAGCTAGAGCTATATTTATCGATTAGAATACTTTTTTGGCCCACTTTGATCATCCCGTTTTGATGAAAACTCTTATAGTTTTTTAGTTTTGACAGAAGGACAAAAAGGATTTAAGTGCCCGTACTTTAGATGAGATCGTATCAAGCCCTATGGCCATTAGACTAACCAGTGCATGGTGCGTAAAAGAAAATCTTAGCTTACAGACGACGTGAAATTTAGCGAAATTATACGCCAAGAAGTAGTGAAACAACGACAACAATAACGCTGATTTGGCCAATTGAATGCGATAAACTCTATCACTTATAGCGAGCACAATGGCAATGCTTTCAGAAAAAAGTTTGTGTCTAAAAAAAACGCCACGTCCACACATTGCATGTTTAGCCACCGGTGAATCTATGCAAAGAACAAGAAACCCAAAAATAATTACTTTCGTCCTACCTCAAATGACTTCGCAACATTTCTCCAGACGAAGAAATTTTTTATGTTTCTCCAATAACAAAACAGCGTCCTGTGTCAGCTGTGTGCACAAATTATATGGCGTGTATGTATATTTGTGGTGCATGCGTCATGGCATTTGAATATTTCATTGACCCATCTGCCAATCAGCAGATATACGAATTAAACGGCGATTAGCTTTTGTATGTATCAAAAATGTTTTTACGGCATTCAATCCGACCATGAAAACTTCAGTTAGGCTCGTGGAAAGTATGAGTATTACCTTGGTTTTTTTAGGGAAGCTCAATTGAAATTTTTTGATCTTTAATTTACCCAACCCCATAGTTACCGAACATATAAACAGTTTAATTAACTCTGTCATTCTCATTTAAAAGATTAAATTTCATAGAATTTCTTGCTTGTTGATTGAAAGTGAACACGAAAAACAGGCGGAGACATCAAATTGTTGCCGAGTTGCTTATGTTGGCATGTTGCTATAATGAATTTAATAAATTGCCAATAAAATACAAGTATTTAAGTAATTGTTTTGCGGATTCTTTCCGAGCATAATTTTAAAAATGTAATATAGTTTATTTTTTGCAGGTAAAGATCGCGATTATGGAGACAAAAAAGTCGAAAATTCAAAAAATTTAGCCCATTGTTAGAACAGCAAAGAGGGAACACAAATGAAAGATTGACAGGACGCCAACAACAGCTGCGTTAACGTTACGAAAAATGACAACTGATGTCTAACAACAAATTTCACTCAGTGCAAAGTCTGAGGACATTAATGACAGTTTGCTGTACTTGTTGTAAAAATATAATAATCATCATTCAACATACACATTAACTACAACACAAATATTGCTTAGCTATAAAAACCTATTACGGATGATCCATTTTCTAATTTTCACACAACAAATCTCACTCAAATGACTCAATTGAAGTTGCCCAATTCTTTCTCGAGCAATTTCTTGACCTTCTCCTGCTCATGGTCCACAGTCCACAATGGCGGCAAATACTTCGGATTCATTGTTTCCAAAAAATGTTCCCGCCACATTCTCTCAAAAGCCAACAACTCCCCTTCCTCCTTCACCTTCCGAACAACTTCTCGCCCATGAGAAATAAAATCACAATTTTCACGTCTTGTTTCGAGTTCTGAAGCTTTAAGCAACATTTCTCGCGTAGGCTCGTCAGTCTTGAAATATTCCTTGACAGTAGCTAGCAGTTCGTTTCTTCTTCCTTCAGGAATCTTCTCTCCGGCGTAAACAAGCGCTTTAGCTGCAGATTTCACGTTCTTGAGTTCTGGGTCTTGCATCAGTCGTGCGACTTGTGCTGAGGCTGAAAGAAAAACCGATCGTGAACTTTTGGATATACCTTAGCGCTTTTCTTTCCAGCGTATCAGCGCAGCATACAGGGTTTTGCGCTTTCAAATTCCTCTGGCATCGTGAGGACGGGGTCTTAAATTCTTTCACTCGTGAGAGCGTTTTCATTATTCCATTTTTAGTGGGCGAAAACCCTGGATACGTGCGGACGGAAGCTCGTATAATCGCAAAAATAATACTACGTTTTCAAATTTTTCCGGCAACGTGTGGACAAGGATCGAAGAAATCTATACAGTATTTATCTTATTGAATGGTTTTAATTCAAATGGTTTGCGTTTTACCCGTGGTTCTACTTCGCGATTATGATTTAAAGAACACATTTGCGGTTTAGAAAATCAATATCTGGGCATGGCAATTCTATAACCGTAGATGTTATACCACATTTGATCATTTTCATGTGGAGTTGTTTGAAGACGGTGCCACACTATACACCATAATATTTAGCATTTGCAATTTGAACACCGTTTACTTGACCACAGTGTTCTGTTTTTAATCACAACCGTTTTGTAAATACAATATTAATACCTTGGTTACCTAAAGGCGCCTGATATTTCTCCGCTAGTTTTCTTCGCAATAAATCATCTTGGTAAGTTGAGATCATGTGGTCTGATGGGCATAGCAACAATACGTCATGAGAGTGGTGATCTTTCATGCAGACAGGAAAATGCTTTCTGTAATCATGAGGAATAATATTTTTCCTCATATAACTGTCATCTCTGCCACAAACAACACACATATTCTCTTTAAAAGTGAGGTAGTATTTGTGTTCCGGGTCAAATGGTCGTCCAGAGGGCTCAAAGTTTAAACGGATAGTATACGGCTCTTCTTTTACAACTTCAGCTAAAAATAAAAACAATACATCGTTTCTTCTCAGGCATAAAGAACGCATTGAATTGAAAAATTCTTAAATCACAGTTATTAATGCTTAAATCACATCTTGCCCTTGGTTATTGATATATGATTTAAAAATATAAATATAGAAAACATAGGGACTCCACCAGCCTTCTTCCAATAAAATTTTCTTTATCTATTCAATGCATAGATACTGTATGCAGTACATGTGGCAGTGTGGTGACTTCACAATTTCATCTTTGACTTGGTAGTTTATAATAACTTTGCCTCCTGTAGTTCTAATTGGCAGAGCCAGCTGAGTGCTAGAATTTATCAACATTTGATCTACATATGTCGGATACTTTACTTAAACAAACAAGTGCAATAAACTGCAGTTTTTCGCAAATCATAAGGTTAGATACCGTCAGTCTATTATACTACATTCGAGTGATGATAAGAAAGAGTAATGAGTGTTTGTATGCAGTACTGTACCTGACTCATCCCCAGTCGCTTTGGTGTTACGCAAACAAATAATTATAATTATAACTTTTCCTAGTCACTGATCTATAAATATCACTACTGATCAAAAATGTCCAACCACTGATCTATAAATGTCCAATTAAGGGACTGCGGAGGAGTCAGGTACTGTACATGATTAAATAAAGTTACTAAACTGAATAGACTTTCCACACAACAATCTAAGTATTAAACAAGTTCAAACTCTTTAACCAATAACCTTGTTTATTGATTAGCATGCAATTATCAACTTCTTGATTTCGTCATTTTTACCTTTCCCAACCACACTTTCCATATTAATAACAATAGTTTCATTACATCATAGTATTTTACCTGATATTTTTGGTATTACTAAAATATAATATGAAAGGTTGAGATTGTAATAAATTAACTTACCTAAATTTCTACAGAGATACCACTCGGCCTTTCTTTTATCACATGTGCTCAACATTTCACCATCAGGTGCCTCAATAACACAATTCTGATACAATGGTAACCGACGTGGTTTTAGTCCTGACACCTTATTGGATGTCTGCCCAGTCAAATTCTTTTGGCTCTTTGCACTACTCTCGTGCACTTTTGTGCCTTGCTTGTTCTTTGTTTTCATTTTATAAGGCACATCAGTAATTCCATGACAAAGGGGGGTAATGGAACTCCACAACTCATGAGACGAAAACAAATGTGTGTTTAATTCCAATCCTTTGAAACTTTGATATTGCGTGTAATTTTTTGTCTTTTTTGAGTTGTGCACTTTTTGCACCTGGCTGGCTTCTGCTTGCATTCCAAGAAAGGATCCCAATGAAAATGTTTGTATCTTTGATACCAAATTTGAAATCATCCCTTTCTCATGGCTAACAGAAGTTGTATTTTCAGGATCAATTTTATCACTCTGTGGATCACTTTCATCAGCAGATCTATCACTTTGGGTAATATTCCCCTGACTTGTAGACTCAGTGCTGATGCTATTTAAAGAAACCACACTATCTGTTCCTGTGGGATCTCTGTTACATGAAACCCCCTTTGAACTATTTTCGTCAATCTTCTTTGAACTTTCTTGGACATCACCTGATAGATCATGTGAATTCAATGGGCATTCTTCTTTTCTCAAAGAAACATCATCAGTTTCCAAATTTATACTTTCATCCTTTTCTTTTTCACCTGCTTCTACTCTATACTTCCGTTCTTTTAGTTTGGAGGCAGCAAGTTTAAAAAAGATCTGAATGGCAATAATTGCATCATTAGCAGCATACTCTATCTGACGTTCTGATAGCTGAGGTGCCTCCCAGTTGCTACATCTAATTCTCCAGTCTTTATCCATTGTCACACCAAGTATTTGCTGGGATAATGCTGATAAGCTCATTCCTTGTCTACAAAAATGATCAAAATAATTTGTTCAAATTTCTTATCAATATGCAATTGCCAAATTATAGCATTAGTTGCATATCAAATGCATTAAGAATGCTTTCAAATTTTTTTTATGTGGGACCAAAGGATTATCCTGTTTTTAAAATGTTCACCTACTTTCTCCCAAACATTTCTTTTTCATTATTTTATGAACCATCAATTCAAGTTCAGTTGACTAACTTGACTTCATACTTCATAATACTTATTGCTTACCTAATACCTCCATCAGCAACGCGATACTCAACATATCCATGACATCTCAGAGCTACATGTCGTAAATCCACACAACCTTGTATTACCAAACCATAACATGCGTTCAGTTTTTTAACATCTTCACTGATACCTACGCCTGTTTTCAAGATATTTCTATCTTCTAAAATTTCCTTAAGTTTGTCGGACAGCTTTGCTCCCATTTTACACAACCGTATTAGGAAACAAGTGCCATTCGGAAAAGCTATTTGAAGCAAAGCAACTGGACTTACAGAACTTTTATCGTTCTGTTCTTGACTTGCAGTAACCCACTCACAGTCCAATCCAAAAACAATTATTTCGTACAAATAATTGTCTATTTCTTCACAAAGTCTTGCGTTGCATGCATTTATATCATCAAATACGATAATACCAGAACTAAATTTTTTATTATCTACCATTTTGATGAAGGAAAAACAACTTAGGAAGCTACAAAACTACAAATGCAACAAAATGCAATACTTTTAGAAGCATTTAGAAGCCATTTTTAATTTGATGTACAGAAGATTCGGCGCAATTTTTGTCGCGAGCAAAATATCTGGGTAGCCATTAGTTGAACATTGAAAAAGGCTGGATATTTAAGCATTAAAACCAGTGATTCAGTGATTATTACTGTAAAAGCTGGATTAGGCAGGAGATTTAGCATAGATTATCATGTTTTTTTAGTGACCATGTTAATGCAAATTTATTAATAAATTTTTCAGCAGGCGGCATCTTGTAAGGCGATGTTTTCTTTCATCGCACGCCGCTGTGGTAAAACGACGCCATTTGTAACTCGCAAGACGCTTTATCGTATCTTTAGTACAAATATGACAAACAAAGTCGAAGAAATCATCGAATACTGGTTTGGACCAGGTCATGTACAGTGGTTCGGGGGCGGTGAGGCAGTGGACATTGAAATACGAGAAAAATACGGTGACCTAGTGGAGGCAGCTTTCGATGGCAAGTTGGAAGCGTGGAAGGATGAACCAAGGGCAAGTCTAGCCTTGATTATAGTCTGTGATCAGTTCTGTCGAGGTGTGCACAAGAAGACCGGGAAAATGACTGGTTTAGACCCGATTGCATTAGAGGTGGCTCATAAGTTTGTCGAGCAGAAGACACACAACCATCTGGATTTTTCCTTCCATCAACGTTGGTTTATATACATGCCGTTCGAACATAGCGAGGATCGAGCCAATCAGGAGCTATCCGTGAAGTTCTTTACGCAACTCCTGGCTGATGCGAAAACACCAGAAGAGAAGAAAACTGGGGAGATGTGTCTGCAGTACGCAAAGAATCACAAAGAAGTAATTGATAGATTTGGCCGCTACCCACAAAGAAATGCTAAATTAGGCCGAGAAAATACACCAGAAGAGGAAGAATTTCTAGCCAATTTACCATCCAAGTATAAATGGTAAAATACCGATTCACTTTCACTGAACTATCAGACTGGGCTATATACATTTTAAAACTGTATGTACTATATAGTTGTGCGTACAATTGCTACTGTGTTTTCATTAAAATTTCACAAAATGTATGATGCGTTCAACTATTCTCTGAATTTTAAATCACATATTTTGTAATTCATGTAAGCCGGCCTAAATAAACAATTTTATGGTGCACTATTAAAAGCCTGGCTCTGATTAGGTCCTCATCGGTTACATCCACCACACAAACGAGATTGTCCACCACAGTGCATCCACTGAGTGGTGGTGCTTACATCTTACATCCCAGTCGCTGCTGTCACATCCTCGTTCCCATATTTTCCGCGTACTGCGTGTGCATCGGTCATTGACTGTCAGCGACCAATCTCGTTCCCGGAGGTCCGAGCCCTATCACTGACCAGTTATAGGTCATAATGACCTACAAGAACTGGGCTCACAACACCTAGGGCGCTTCCCTTTATACGGTAAAAACGGCCAGATCCAGGCATTATAATACGCGTGTTTTTGACACACTTTGTGTCCTTGTAAAAGGCGAATGTGTCCTTGTAAATGGAAATTGGTGTAGTTAAAAATCATGCCTCATCGACAAAAATGTCTAATATAATTTTCATTTGACTATTTAAAATAATTATTGTTTCTATTATAAAGTATATGAAAACGCTTATATTATATTATTAAAAAAGGCTAGGGACTGACGGACCGTGCTTTGCATGGCTATGCTCTTTTTTATATGCTTGCATGCGTTGCAATTTCACGTTGTAATTTCCAAGATTAAGTGATTATTGAACCCAAAGACAATGTGTGTCCTTGTAAAAATTCCGTATTATAATGCCTGGCCGGCAGATCGGTCCAGTTGTGTTTCAGTATACAGACAGATTACTGGTATATTTGAGTGTTTTAAGAAATCTACATTCAAGTATTTCGATATTTACATCCGCCTAGTACGAAAAATGCATATTCACCACTATATTTTCAAAGAAATACTCTATTTCAATCCAAAATATGACCGGTCTGACCATTTTGGCCGCTTAATGGAAAGCGCCCCTAGTTCACCCTTGTCCAAAGAATTAGGATTCTCTTTTGTTCGAGGTGCACTAGAGTGCTCTAAGGCCGGCCAATAATACATTGCCGGCTGTCGGTAAATGATCAGAAACCGGCCATAACTCATTGGCAATGTTCTACGATCTATTGTCGGCGATCAAGGAAGTAGCCAATTTTGTTTAACACCAACAATAGACATTCAACTTGTTCTAGAGCGTCGAAGATAGCTTTTCATAGTCTTGTATCAACTCAAAATCTTTTATATTTTCTATGAAATATTTATTCATTCATTCAATATTCCAAAATATAAAAAGCTCTGCTTCTTACCAGCGCTATAGATCATGGCATGCGCATGCGTAGATTGCCATTACGTACATATAACAATATCGGCTCAACGGCGAATGCAAGTGATAGTGATCATGTTAGTACCATGGTATAATTCACATTTTATTTTCTTATGACAAGTATTCCTACATATATAAAATTCTAAATCTTTCATTTAAAACATTTACATCATCTATATTATATATTATATTATACAATTACCCACACTTCATGGTTTACCATAAAAAATTCTATGTAAACGAAAATCCAGATGACTTCAGTAAAATCTAAGCCCAGCATGATCTTGATAAAAACAACTTAAACAATTCCTTCCTATAGATAATATGTACATTGAAAAACACCAATACGACTCGTGACAAACACGACTCCTGAACGTCCAAGCTGGGGCCCAAGATTCATTTATTCACAATTAGAACAGACCAGCCTTTTTTCGTTGGTCAAGTTTCTTCCATTTCGGTAATTTATTAAATTCATCTTTGTTCATACTAAATACATCCTAAAATCAAGAAGAACAATATCAGATTAACGTATGCCAGTGAAGTGGCACTATAAGACAGAAGATTGACTTGCAAGCTACGGATATACTTGAAATGAGTATAAAAATATTTAAAAGGAACCTGAAATTCCTCATCAGATAAGTACATCTCCATTTTTAAAGGGTCAACGCCCTCCGGTAAAGGTCGAACTAACAGTTCAGCCAATGTATAACGGTCCCTACAACAAGACAGTGCGATGTGGAAATTAATAACGGATACTGAAGAAATTCGTACTTTGCCTAAATTAGCATTGAGGATAAAGATAAGAGTTATACCTAGATAACTTTGCAAGAAGTTCAGTCATGGATTCCTTTTTACCATCTACTTTTCCACTCTTGAAAAAAGAAAAACATTTTCAATCGACAATAGTTCTATTAAGCCTAGTTAATACGCCGCATTTTTTGTCGCTTCGAGTGCAATTCAAACAATGGATATTGATAGGTATGATAGTAGGATTTCTTACCTCAAAATTAATTCTCGTAACGTCAGGATGATCTTCCCAGAATGGAAAGAGTGCACGAAATTCAATTGGTTCTAAACCAGCATTGACCACATATGCTTTAGACATTTGACGACCCACAGCTAAAGTAGAAAGAGAAGTTTAAAATACCTTATCAAAACATATACCTTATACAAATACCTTATTATTTATAGGAATATCATTATTCTTCACATATTTGTATATTTAAGGAATAGATAAAATTTCGAGGTCTTGCATACAATTTGGTGAGAAAAAGAAGTGTGCATGATAAAAGTTCTGTTCAACTTTGTGATCCCAGCCCTGTCAAGAATATCTTGCTACTGATTCTGCATGGAAAATTGCATCCGCGGAGTCAAAATACAAAGAGTAATTATATTTATGTTCGCTCATGTTTGATTTCCTCCATTCATAGAGTGAAAGACACTTACAATCAGCATAAGATTGCACACTCTGCATGGCCAGTTTTCTATCTCTGTGCCACCGAAACTCTGCTGATCCTGTCGTGGTTGCAGACTCAGATTCTTCAGGATTACCTGGCCACCAGCCTTGCCAAAGATACATCTCGTGAACAACATCCACAAGGAATAATGCTGCAAAAATATCAGGCAATAATTAAATGTGCATTTGAAAAGCAATGATGGTCATACAATAGCCTAATCTATTGATATACAATTTGAATGCTTATATGTAGTCTCAATATTTTTCAACTAAGAAATAATTTTTCAAATTATAATACATTTGCGGGCTTACTTAGTCTATGACCCAGTCGTACATTAATAGGGACTGACAAGTGTCTAAATAATCTGCATCTCTTTGTTTGAAAACGTTTTTATTATAACTTTTTTATCGAATGAAGCACGGAGATAAAGCACACAGCTCGCCGGAAAAACAAAAATGATCACACAAAACGGTACCTGGTTGTGTTGCGTCATAAATATTTGCCTGTCTGAAAGGATATGGTGACACGTGTTCGCCTCGTGTTGAATTGAGAATCTCTCTCGCAAGAAATGGTCCTTCAGTACTAAGGAATGTGAATAACCTCACACGGTTGTCGCATTTGGTGGTTACTGTAAAGAGAAGTAGTTTTTGTTTTCACTGTTTTTTTTTGTAGAATTCAACATTAGATTTGCTCCATATATGTCGCCATGTTGGCCGGTTGATTTTTAGGAATAGTGCATATTAAATGACATATTTCAATGCTTCTGTACTTAAATTGCTACGATGGAGATAGAGGACAGTCCCAAAAAACAGGGAAAAAATAAGTTCGTCCCCTAAAGCAGCAGTAAACTACGTAATATGATAGAATATGACGTCACATGAAAATACTAAACAATCGCGACGTGATTAACAGATTTAATCTGAAAACCTGGTACAGTTTAAATTAAAGATATGTGAAGATTCTAGGATTGAGTAAAGCTGTAATACTGAACTTACCACCTTGCAAAGATCCATAGTCAGCCTTGCCATCCAAGGCCATCCAGAAAAGGTTTTCCTCGTGTCCTTCTTCCAGTTCAACTATGTCCACTTTCTTTATCTCAAAAATACTCTGAAACCTGAAAGTAATTATAACCTTGTTCATTGGTTCGCTCTTCTACCACTGATCTCAGTTATTAACTGTAATAATAATCAACAGAACAGTCAGAACTTTACCAAGTTGCCAATCTCTTGGCGCCTCTTAAGGCACCTTGCTTTTTCTCTTTAGTTGACTTAGCACCATGCCAAACACAAACACCGATTGCTTCATCAATAACCACAACAACGAAAGATGAACGGGATCTTAGATTCGAAGATCTATACACACGAAAGTATAAATGTCATAATTCGTAAATATAATATTTTCTACCTTAGTGTACCATACACTTTTCTGTCTTTCCATACCTGGCTTCAATTTGAGTTAAAGAGATTTCTCTTTCGTCCTCGTGATGTACACAGTACATAAAAACGTTATCTTCATCTGAAATTAATATGGCACAGATTGATATAATGCAAAAAAAATCACAAAAACGTAGTCAGACATACGTTCTTATTTACGTGTGGATAAATATATTTCTGCATTCAGTCCTATGCTTACCTATTGACTTGGCTTCGTCTAGTCTGAAAAATAGTACAAGTATTAGAAATTAAGCAATCATGTTTCAAACGAATACTTGAAATGATTAGAGTTCCAGTAAGAAAGTGTTTTGCCATTCATTGCGATAGATTCATTTATAGTATTTATTTCAACACGATACTTTTTACCTAATTAAACTACCCATACTTACTTGCCATGATGAACTATCATCTGACCATCAAACATATTAAGAAAACACGCAGACTCGAGTCCTTCATCAACCATAATCTAAATATAAATTGTTGCATAATGTTAATTTATTACTTGCCGTCTCGTCCCCAGTCGTCTTTAGTCTATTTAATCAGTACTATCGTCTTATTCAACTTTCCATCACTCTCTGAGCGTCCTGGACACTGCTCTCGAAATGTCAATAAAACTAACGCTTTACCCCCACCCACAGGATCCTACCTGAGGACTTTTATCCGAATCCAACTCGATGGTAGCCAGAGCTGATGTTCCCTTGCCACTCGCGGAGCAGTCCCTACCATGCCAGAAGAAATAAGCAATCTGATCACGTCCAGTTGTATCTCTTTTTGATTCTCCACCCTTCAATGAACGAATACCCGATGCTTTTACCGAGTAACTCCATCTGATAACATAACCTAAACGGAATTGAAAGATGTTAACATTTTAATGGGAAGACTCCAAAATGCCATGGCCTCAATCGTGATTGTCCGGGCGAGTACAAAGGAGTGAGGCCGAGAAACATTAATCATAGAATGACTGAAATGAAGAAATACTCCAATTTCTAATTGTGCACCAATTTTTTTTCGTGTATTAGTTCTAATTTTCCAAGGATTTCTTTCGACATTTGCTAACGTTTCTTTATTCTTCTTAAACGCGTTTACTCACTTTCCGCAGAGTAGAAGTGACCCCATTCTTTCTCCTCGAGTTGTCGTGATTCTTTCTCAGAACTGTGATAGACTGTGACAGAATTTGTAGTCACACTAAGACCTCGCCTCTCAATTTCATCATAACTTCCTCGGCCACGACCAACATTCACTCCTACAGAGCAAAATATCACCATCAATGACATTTTCAAAAATTATTAACAATAGAGATGGGAGATCGGTCTGTCAGTCTAACTGCTGAACTCGCGCGAGCCAGCAAGTAAACGGTTCACTGTGCTCGGTTAGTACAGGGTGCAGTGTCGTCTGTCAATACTGGGTTCAGTGTCGCGGTCGCAGCATTAACGCATTTAATCGTTTACCTTCTAGGATCAATTTGACTGGGGGAGGTTCTTCTCCCATCTTTGCACCATCATATGGAACCAGTTCTACTGCCTGATACTCTGATTTCTGTAAATTAAAAACGACAGATTACATAGTTGAGCATGTGCAAGCTTTATTCTCGACCCATTCTGTTCGGTTGTGAAACACCTATTCATGCTTTTTACAGAAAATTCTCACCTCTATTTTTGCAATTCTCTTTGCATATCCTTTACTGAGATTTTTATTCAGTAAATCTTTCTCTTTGTCTAACTTAATCTTCATTGCGACATCTGGCCAATCTAGGAACTTTTGCTCAAATAATATGGTCTCAGCACGCTCAGTCATTCGGCCGAACAAAGCCCATGATGGTCGTTTGAGCTGTCGAGATTTATCGTCATCCGTCGGCGTATTTGGAGTGATTGGATTTAGCGAGTTGTGAACTTCAAAAGCAGCTTTGTAAATTTCTTGGGCTAGGTCCACTGCCTTGGTTCTGGTAGCTTTGTCGCAAGTACGACCAAGCCAGGCGTAGACTTCAGTACCAAAGTCAAACACGAATGCCTACAGCATATAAAAGTACAATAGACATCTATTTATGCATCAAATGACCCAACCATGCAAGGCGGTTTTACGCCGTGTTCGTGACGCCATCTTTATTGGTACAAACTAACCAAAGTTCATGATTTGTAACGGATTATAGTTGAATTACGCACGGTTCCTACTTAGCTGAAGGGAGAATAGTTTGAGCAGAAATGCTAAATATGTCTAGAATACGGTCAGGATTTTACCTTGTTGGAATCAAGCATATTTATCTTCGGTATTTTCCCACAATATTCAGGCATTTTTTTCAATTTGACCGTGTCATTACTCGTGTCTACGGCATAAACAACGTTGCTGGAGACAACTGCTTTTTCATACTCGCTATCTTTGGGTACTTCTTTGCTGCCTACAAAAAGGTGGTACAAAATTGCTCGAATTCAATATCTTGCGAAAGCCTCTGTTCTACATTGAAGTGGTGTACACAGAAACCTGAATTTTTTGGAGGCCACCTGCAGGGTTCTACAAACCTTTCACATTCTTTTTGCCGCCTAAAATATTCCAAAATGTTCTCGTTAAACCAGTCCCAACATTCACTCCGCCATCTTTGATAATGGTGACCACAGTAGCATTGCAGTTTAACAGCTTATACTGAAGTATTTTGTTTGACAGCTCTGATGCCTGCAAAATATGTAGACTGCCAGCTTAATAAAAAAGAACATAATATAACGACCTTGAAACGTCGATTGTATTTATCATACCTTTGATTTTTTCATAACATTGGAATCTTTTCCATTCCAGACATGAAGATATTTATCTGTGACCAGTACGAAAGAATCTGTCGAGTTTAACGAGTCCACGCTGGGTTCGACTAAGCGTGTTTGCATGTGGCGATGACCTGTAATGGATGTAATGAATACAAGTTTGAAGAAATGAATAAATCGTATCTCGTTTCCAATTTAATTACTAGTTTTAGGCTCAGAAAAAAGCCCTGCGGAGGGAGGGGGTAGGCTAATAACAACTATACGTCCTTGACTTTAATATGCACGAAACGCGAGAACGAGGCCAACGACTGCTATTCCTAAGTATGCTTTCATGAATGAGGATGAAGGTTGTGTATTAATGAAACTAAGGCTGCTGGGTTGGCATCATTACAAGAGAGTGCTTTACCTTTCACTTGCAAGAGCATGACAGGTGCTGTGCCATCGTGTTCACCCTTCTCCTGACTGACGCCAGCTTTCGACTTCGACGTTTTCTTCAGTGTTATCTTTGAAACATCTTCTTTTGCTGACAATCCTGCTAAGGCATCCGCAGCAAACTTATTCAAGTCTTTCGATTCTAAAACAAATATACATTGACTTTGAAAAATCAGCCTGTGCATGTTTGCTCACCGTCCTATAATTTACTTTTGGTATCCTATACTTATCAAACTTTAGAGAGTTCCCATGAAGAATTCTCTATAACTTTGCTGTTCAATTTTCAACTTAATTTTATAGTTACTAGATGCACTTTGCTATCAAAAATTATGATCTTACGGCGATCTCCTGGTTCAATAGCCCGACCCAGTCTTCCAAACGCAGTTGGTTTAAGTGGTGCGTCTTCTTCATCTTCATCTTCATCATCCACGTCATTGAACGACTTTAGGAGAAAAAAATTAAATTTAAACGAGATAAATTAGAAAGAAGCAAACTTTGACAAAATATATTATGGTCGAGTAGTTCCTGAATCTCTGAAATGTTAAGCTTTTCCTCAATGCATGATATTCATCCCTCTTTTCCCCGCACCCTGATTAATGTTGCGTTGATGTCAGATGATGTATGGTTAGTTGTTAGCGATGGATGTATTTTCGTAGTAAAGTTTGTATCTTTTAAGGTGCACTGAATTTTACAAACAGAAGGTGTATTTTGAGATCGTTTAATGACAGCCCTGATCGTGCGGGCTACGAAAACGATATGTTAGGAAGACATGAACCCAGCACTTGAAAGACGTCTATAAGCTACGGCATGCAAATTATCCCACCATTTTTACTTCGCAATGGAAGTGTCCCCAAACTCACCTCAGTTCCAGTTTTTAAATCTTCACGTTGCTGAAGTTTTCTGACAGGATTTGATTTGGCTGCTCGTCTGTTTGCCGGCCGCACTTGACGACGAAAGTTTGAAAAATCACGCAGTCTAAATTAAAAAGAAAATTTCAAGGTATGGCATACTAAATAAGGAGCTGCATATTCACTTCTACCTTGGTCGACCTAATTCTATTTGCTCGTTGAAGTAGATTTCGAAGAACTTACTGTTTAACTTCGTTGGGATTGACCACGTCATCAAACGAGAATTCAGCCCTGAGATTAAACAGACACTGATTTTAGTTTCACATTTACTGTAATCCCGCCATTGCACAGAGCATGTAGATGGGATTTGTTGAATATGTGTATCAATCAATATATACCAAACATGCATATATATCAACAGTACACGGTACGTAGATGGATAAAGTTTACATTTTGTCGCATTCAAAATAAACTTTTAGTATATATGCAAAAAAAGTAGAAGATTGGTATGTATGTTTTGCAAAAAACTGCTTATTGCATCGGTAGGCATATTTTAAACCACTGAACTATTGGCATGTCGAGTATGATTTTTTTTCAAGTCTCAACGCAATGTTTTTTAGCTAATCAATTTCATTCGTGCATTGGACGCGACAAGGCCTTTGACATTACGACTTGGTTATGGTGCTTCTGTGCAATGGGATCATTAACTGCATAAAGCGGGTCTATTGTAATGGATATAAAATTGGAATATACCATTCTTATGTATTACGTTTTATCAGTTGTTCCAACATCTTTCTTGGTAGTCTCTTCTTTTTCCAACTGAACCTTCACTCCCTCCTTATCTTCAATATCCGTCTTCTCAGTACTTGCCCTAGTCTCCTCCGCATGCATGCCTCCTGCCAGATATTTTTTCGTTTCAGACTTGATGTCCTGAATATCTTTCAGTTCTCGTCGTTTGCAATTGGAATGTAGTAATTCCTTGATGAATTCAGCTACATTTAATTTTCTTGTTCTTTTCTGCCAACCTGCGGAGAAATCAGAAAGTTACTCTAGAATGGAAGCAACAGAACCAGGGGCCGGTTGTACGAAGGCTGGATCGCTAGCGCTATGCACCGAATAGTGTTTTTTTTTAGTGCTCGTTGTTTGCTATAACTTTGATTAAATCTTAGTATTCCTAAATCAAGGAACCTCTTTAATAATTGTTGATTCTTAAGATAAAATTTTATCGCTTTTCGAGCATTTTTAAAACGGTTAAAAAAATCACTATCCGGTGGATATCGCTAACCGGCTTTCATACAACCGGCCCCAGAAGTTTAATGCGTTACCAGCAGAGCGGCGAGGTCAAATGAGTATGAGAAGTTAATATTTGCAGATAAACTCGCCTAATAATGACAAATAATTGACATATTCCTTCTTTGCTCATCTCCTTACAACCACCTACCTGCTTACCTGGCTTGATAAGTATACTATTTATTCTGGACACTAACTATCAATTACCTTGTTTGACATTGCTCAGGATCACAGGGGGAGGTTTCTCGATATCCTTTGGAGGACTATCGCGCCCTGCTGTTGTATTCTCGTCATCATCCGGGGCGTTAACTTTCGTCTCGGCCCCAGGCTCTTTCCAAAACGATAATGCTCCTTTAATGCTTGCACCTTGCATTTCCTCCTCGATAGTCATAAACTGTTCGGCTTGTCGATTAACAGGTACCTTACTTTCATTCTCACCTGCCTCTGCCTTATCATTGCCCTCATTTAGGGTATTCTTATCAGGCCCGGATTTCGCTTTCGCTTTCGGAACGGTTTTCGGAAGAGTAATTGTTCGTGGTGCTGTTTCATCTCTTTCTTTGCAGGCGGCAATTTTGTCCTTAATAGAGGTTGATTTAGAAACCCTGTCCAAACTTTCCCGTTTGGGTTTAATTTTATTCTTCCCACCATCCATGAGATTTGCTCGAATGCTGTCAAGCTTAGTTTGTCCTGACGTATTTATATCTTTTGACGGTGATATACGTCCTTTGGCATCGCGCTTAGTCGAGGGTGTTTCAATTTTTCTACCATCCCGTTTTGTGGGCGAAGTTCTTCCAGTTGGTGTTGTCTCCTTACCTCGTCCGTTATCCCCTCTCGTGGGTGATATCCTACCACGATCTTTACTAGGCGAAACCCGACCAACAGTATCCCCTACAGTCGAGGATGACCTCGTCTTATCCTTTCTTGTACTTGATGAACTACTTGTATCATCCATTGTCTTACTACGGTCTTTTGTAGGCGAGACGCGGCCACTGGTTTTATCTTTACTTGGTGATACTCTACCACTTGTGGATCTAGGACGATCTTTAGTTGGCGATGTTCTATCACTATCCCCTTTTTTAGGTGATATTCGTCCAGTTTCCCCCTTTGTAGGTGAAGTCCTTCCTTGTTTAGTGACATCCTTGTTGGGCGAGATTCTACCATCAGTTGTCCCCTTGCTTGGAGATACTCTACCACCAGCCGGTTTTGATACTTTACTTGGTGTCTTTCTATCCTGTAAAATTAAATGAAGGTCTGAGCTATCTCTGTCATGATTTAGAGGAAGTTTCTATTTTAAGACAACCGTCTTATCGTCCATCATAAACCTTCGAATAAACCCTCTCCCTTCAGCCAAGAATATCAAAAAAATATCCTTTCTTTAAAAGTCAGAAGAGAAACATCATTTTCCAAAGTTACTACTCAAGAGATCTACCGGATTAGGACAAAAACATTTTCTAAACACTCCAGCATTTTATCTGATAATTATAATACAAACAAAAGAAAAACAACGTAAAGTCCTTCCTCGTCAGTCGTCAGATCTGCTTCGGTCAGATCCTTCTTGATTTTTTCTGAAAACACGTGTTGCTTTGCCGAATAGGGGCTTTTATAATATCGTATAGAGTTGCAAAAAACTACAAACTACACTTAAATTACCTTATTTTCCGCGACATGTTTTTCAGTTTCTTGCTTAAACGCTTCAAGTCTTCCTTTCAAGTTGATTTCTTTTAACTCCTCATCTTCCAGTAAATCATTTTGCTTCACAATTTCCCGTGGTTTAGTCTGTTCTTCGTGTGTTAACTGAATCCTCGTCTTAACGTCCACAGTTTTAGATATTTCCAACAGCTCTTCATCTGTCGTCTCGTCAAATGATCTAGTTCCTTCACCAGTTTTAATCTTCTTCTTTCCTGATTCTGCACTTTCTTTGTCACGTTCTTCGTACTGTTAAAACCATTAAACAAGAAGGTGAACTTTGGGATAATTGTTTAGATCAGCAAAACTCTCGTGAACAAAAAGCTTTTCGCAATAATTTGCTAATAAGACCACGACAAGAATCCAAGGTACTAACAGACATAATCACCACCCAAAAGACTCACCTGTTGAATAATCTTACTCTTTGTTTCACTCAGGCTTGCCAGTTCTTGCAACTCTGCTTCTTCATCAGCAGATTTCACTTCCTGTTTGGCACTTTCCCACGACTTCTCCTTTTGCGCATCACGTTCAGCGCAAGATGATATCAAATCTTTTAGACGACCACTTCCAGACAGCTCTTTTAGGTCTTCGGAAACCTCCGTTTCATTTTCGGCATCCTTTGGCTTTCCTTCCTTCTTAACTTCCTTCTTCCATGCTTCCGCACTTTCCTTGTCTTTTTCTTCGCATTCCTTGATACGGCTTTTCAGTATGTTTGACTTGGAGATTTCTCGTAGTTCGCTTTCAGCGTCTTCATCCAGTGATTTGTGTTTCTTTGGACCTTTTTTAACCTTAAGTAATATTTACGATGAATATCAAATGTTGAGAAGAATTCGGTGTTTTGTTCCTGGCATGTGTAGTAAATTAATAGAAAAAATAATGAGGGCAAAAGAAGGGGAAAGAGACCAACATGATTTCAACTAAACTTACCTCGCGTTTCCATGCATCAGCACTCTCTTGGTCATTTACCTCACAAGATTGAACAATATTCTTCAGCTCACGTTTTCTTGACAGCTCTCTTAACTCTTTCTCCGTTTCTTCATCAAACGACTTATGTTTTCGAGGCGTTTTCTTCACTTCTTTCTTCCATTGATCTGCACTCTCAACATCTCTTGTTTCACAACTCAGCATTTTGTTCTTTATTTTCCCCGTTCTTCCCAAGACTCTCAACTCTACTGCTCTGTCAAAGTCTGAAACGCCTTTCTTTTTTCGAACGTTTTTCTGCCAAGAACCATCACCGACTTTTAGTTTTCCAGCTTTGACATTCTTTGCGTCTTCATTTTTGACCTTTGTCCCTGTTTTTGCTGTACTTATATCACTTTTTAGGGAAGTCTTATCGATCTTTGTTTCACCCTCACTGGTCCTTATCCCTGAATCAGCACTCTTCTTTCTACCTCTTTCTACACCAGTCCTCTCGCCCAAACGATCATCTTTCGCGTCATAACTGTCGCTTTTCGTTCGTGAAACATTGCTCTTTGTTCGTAACTGACTTTCTTTCGCGTCGGTCTCGTCAGATTTCGCGATGAATTTAGTATTTCTCGGACTATCTGGCGACACGGCTTTTTCTGGTTCATTTGCGATTTCAGAGCTATCATTTGGTTTTTCCGCGGAATCGCGTGTGATACAATCTGCAATAGATTCTAAATGCGTACCTTCTTGCTTGGATGTAAGTTCAGTCAATCCTTCGGAGAGCGTATTCTCGTTTGCCTCGGCATCCGTTTCCGTGGGGGATTTGACTGCGTTATTTTCATCCACCAAATTCAATGGTATTTCTGGAACGTCGTCTAAGACAACAAGTTCTTGATCTGCCATCGATTCTTCATTTTCCTTAGCCTCGATTGAATTGTCAGGAAGTGCCTCTACTGGAATGGTTTCCAATGGTTCCAATGGTTCCAATGGGGTTTCTTCCAACAATTGTTCGCTTTTTCTCGTTTCGGATTCAGGTTCGTCATTGGAATTCACATATTTTTCTTCCAACAATTGTTCGCTCGTTCTCGTTTCGGATTCAAGCCCCTCAGTGGAAGGTACACCTTTTTCTTCCAACAACTGTTCGCTCTTTTTTGTTTCGGATTCAGGCCCCTCAGTGGAAAGCACACCTTTTTCTTCTAACAATTGTTCGCTATTTTTTGTTTTGATTTCAGGCCCCTCAGTGGAAGGTACACCTTTTTCTTCTAACACTTCAGTAGCTATCCTACGTTTTTCATCAACATCAGCTTGTTCACTCTGCTCATTATTTGAAGTTTGATAATCCTCGTTCAACTCCTCGCTCTTCATTTCATTAGCATTTACCACATTTTTAACTTCAGAATCATTCGACTCTAGTTCATCCACACTCCTAACCTCATCAATATCTTTCTCCTCGCTCATATTCTTCATTTCATCTTCAGCGGCTAAATCATCGACAGTCTTAACAGCTTCATTACGTTCCAAAGATGTATTTTCAACCTCTTCTTGTCCATTCTCAACTATAGGATCTTCAATAACTTTTTCTACCACGTTTTCAGTAACGTCGAGTTTATCCAGTTCTCCATTTTCAGTCAGTTTAGTTTCGTCTAACAACGCGTCTTTTTTCGAGTCCTTTTCCGTGTTTGCGCTCTCTCCAGGCTCCTCTCTTTCATTAGTTTTACCTTCTTCAACTGAAACGTCCTCTAGTCTACCAAGCCCATCACTACGACTTGAAATATACTCACTATCCCTCTTAGCTTGTTGATCATCAATATCTTTTTCACCCTCATTAACCCTTGAATCTTTGACATCATCTTGGCAATCCTTTGGCAAATCATTATCTTCTGTACCCTTTTTATCCCCAAAGGTTCTATGGCGATTTTCTATGTCGGACTTTGAGGCCTTGTCTACGTCGCCGTTCTCTGCGATGATCCTGTTTTGTGTATCATCATGTTCCTGATTCCTTTTTCTCCTTGCTTCTCGTCTCGCACGAGTACTCTTCAAAGCAGAATCTTCACTTTCTGCGTCATTCGCTAGTCGTGAGGCTCTTGTCGTCGTAGCACTCCGCGCAGAGCTCCCTTCCGAGGCTAGGTTTGAGCGAGGCGTTCTCTCCGATCGGGTATGTGTTGTTTCTGAAACTGTGGATGTTCTTTCTTCCACGCTCCTTTTTCTTGTCGTTGTAGTTCTTCTTGATGTAGTAGTATCTTCTGAGGTGTTCGTACTGCTACGTGTTGAGTGTGAATATGCATTATTTTCTCTTAGTCTACTCGTTCTTGTACTCCGCGTTGAAGTTACGTCGGAAACGTCTCCGTGTGATCGAGAGTAGCCTAAGAATGAGGAAAGAAGTGTGAGAGTAATCAATATAGCACTATGCTTTTATATCAGAAAGTTTGAGAATCTGGTTTAAGAAAGAACTTAATATATACATCTTCCAAAGTAGCTTTCCCAAAAGAAATCCCAGTCTCAAAGTTGTTTCGCAATATTTTGAACGCCACGCTTCCTGATTGCAAAAAATTGCGAGTTTGTGTTCAATACTTCAGTACTTAGCTTTGCAACTTGAGAAGTTAATTGATTTTGTAAGTAGCATGCTTATTATAATAATCCCAAATGTAGAAACGTGATTAGAAATCTTGTGGAAAAATCGAAAATCGCGCTGACTCATAAGGCCGGATTTTCACTGGCACTAGGAAGACTTCGGAGGCGAATTTATTCTTCTGTCGCAGTTGAGAGGTTTGAAACTAAACTAAAATGTCAATAGTAGAAAACCGGGTTAAAACTAAAGAGATATTGTTGAAATTACTACCAATGTTTGAGTTAAACTATCTTGCATTTGCAAGTTCTAAGACCAAAGACAAGTTTATCAGTTAACAAGCAAGACGAAACGCATAGGCATACTAACGTGTTCTGTCAGAGGCACTTGAAGAAGTATTTTCTCTCGCCGGCCTTCTCGATGCAGCAGTTGTTCTGTCTGTTTCTTCTCTGGTTCGTCTTGTCGAAGTTGGATCATCCTCAAGGATCTTTCTAATACGTTCTCGCCTTTGTCTCCTCTTCTCTTCTCGTTCCAGGCGCAGTGTTTCAATATCCATACTTTAAAATGAACTAAGATCACAGAAAATATAATCTTTTTTCTACAGTCCATCTACACTTTTCAATAACGGGGTTAGACTGGTCAGTGGGGTCAAATTCCTCGATGAAACAAAAATTACCTCGGTGTAGGACAAAGACTAGAATGTAAAAGGTCCATCAATTGAGAAGGGTATTAAAAGAGTTAAAACTTTTCTTAATGAGGAAATAGAATTCTGGTCTTATGGGAATTGCACGGATTTATTTAATACCATTTGAGTTGTGGATCCAGGATACGTCAGTGATCCATCATTTTAAAACGACATGAAATTCAAGACGATATTCTGTTCTTACGTGTGTCAAAGACAAAGTCAATTTACAAATTATAATTGTATATAAAGTTTCACAGCGACGGAAAAGTCGGTTTGCTGTTGGCGGTTAGTCGTAAACGCCGTAAAGTGCATTTTATACTTTTTTAAGGCTTTTATCTATATATATAATAATGGTTATTATTCGTGTGAGGTGTGAATACGTTTGCGCTTAACCACTTCGGTTTTGGGAATAAAAATTGAACACAAATTACACAATTGATCTGCCAGATACCCAATATTCCGCTTGATATCAATCTGTTCATATTTGGGGGTTATTATACGTTATTCTACTCGACCTGTTTCCGCGTTAATACGACAAGCCAAGTATGATTGTGTATTTAACTTGTGACATTCACCTATGCATTGAACGATTGCTATTTCTGGATTCTGAAAACGCTCGTGTTAAGTCTAGTGGTTCTACTGCAATACAAGCGCTCATGTTCATTTTCCCAGGGCTTATTTTAAAAGTAGCTTGTGCAATCAGTGGCAGATCCAGCGTGAAGACAAATTAAATTACTTCAGCACTGTTTTCAATTTAAGTAACTGATCAACAATACAATTCCTAACGAAATTCCAAAGAATGTTCGGAATCCACCTACGGGATTCTTTTAAAGTGTACAGCTGTATACTGAAAAGTTTTTATAGCGGAAGCGAGTTTTCGTACTATATTTTGATATTGGATTATTTATTTTGCTGCTGAATCTGCAGGGGCATTCCTTTGCACTAGCTTCAAGTTTCAGTAAATGTTTTGTGTTGTTTATGGGGAACTTGATATACCCCCTCCTGGGTGAATTAGTTCCTTTAAAACAATTGGCAACCCAAAATGGATAAAATACTGGTAATGTTAACATACAACACTTCATCATGTGTTTGTGATGCATACAGGCTAAATACAGGCTAAAAAAGGGCCTTTTGAATTAATTAGTCTATAATTTTGTTATTTTAAGTAACTGATAAAAGCAGAATTCTGCTTTATAGTGCTTTATAGCCTAGCAAACTATCTTTGCATTTCTATACCTCTGCATAGTATTTGGCATGCAAAACAGTGATTGATATAAAAAAACTGTTATTGAGAACTGAGACGGGATGTTGTATGACTTAAAAATCTCCATTTTCAGTTTCCTAATGGGAATATACTGACATGCTGGCCTAACCATACCCAAAATTTGTATTGCTTAGGATATTTAGCAACACAGACCTGGTATAATTCAAATGCAAAAAGATTTAAGATTTTCTATTAACTATTAAAATTAAAAGGGATGGAAAAATTGCACCTATGCTGTACCCAATAAAAGTCAGGACATTTGGTGTTTAAACCCATTGGCCCTGGGCTTCTCATAACCTTGAAGTTTAGAAATTAGAAGATTTAAGAGTCCTTCCTTTTGACATATTACTAGGTATGCTAAAAGCAACTCTTACCTGGAAGGAAGCCAGTGCAAGAACCAAAGCAATGTATTATTATAAGAGTTTCAAAATTCAAAGTGTTGTCCAGTAGCTGAAAAAATTAAGATTAGCTGTTAGTAGATTGAAGCTGGCCAATGTTGAAAATAACAGCAAAAAGTATACACTATTATTAATATATTTATACACCACAAATTTAGCACTTTGCTGTCATCATAAAGCTATAAAGATGAGAGAATTACAACACATATTAATTAACACATACACATCACCATTTTTGAAACAAAACCTACAGTGCATAACAAAGAGTTTAATTATTATGATAGCAAGAACTGGTAAGCAAACAAAAGGTCTGGTCAGCACATCTGTCTAATAAAGTAAAGCAGGTCAAGCTCAGCTACTTACTGTGAACTAATTACTGTATTGAAAAACATAACCAGAAAAATCTTGTCTTATGTACACAAATATCTGATGGATTATAACCTAATAGCATGGGACAAGAACTACATGGTAATAATTAACTGCTTCAGTGGTAATATGTCACAGCTGGGGATAAACCTGTACAATACAAATATATTGACAGGGGGATATCTGCGCAGTGATATAACCTCATATTTCACCTGTATTATGTATTATTTCTCCTACACATAGTGAACTGTCTCTAAAGTAGCCCAAATGCTTTTTATATCAGTATCTTTACCTCATTCAAGACTATAACACTCAACAGATAATTTATACAACACACATACTTGAAAATTTCTCAGTTGATAAGCAACCACTGACAACAACTCCGACGTTGAAGATGTCGTCTCGTTGATATCCCGATCTATCTAACTAATGAACACTAGTAGGATTTAAAACAGCCTATTGCCAATATTACTTGTATCACCAGAACACCTCCGAAAAAAGGCATTAGAAAATATTTCTAGCAAAACAAATCCATTGTTACTTGAACTAACATGTTTTATTTCGCTCACATTTCAATATCGTTCAGTATTGTCACAGAAAACATTGCTCAAGCGTATGTAAACATACGGATGAAGTATCGCAAATACTGTAGCTAATATAAAGTAGGAACAGTCGCATCATCAAATCAGAAATCGATTATTAAATCATAAGTATCATAATAGGAATTTGTTACATATATAATCATATTATACTCTAAATTTGTTACATTTATGTGAATTCCATCAACAATAAACGAATATTAGTAAACTATATTTGTACTCTCCAAAAAAGGCAAAATTGCGTAGCATAGGTCTAAGACAGACTATTTTCACAGAAAATGATGATGCTCAGAATGTGATGATGCACACAAAATAGAATAACAGTTTTTTTTAATCTAGACAAATTTTTCAATTCCCTGTTCCAAACACGTGAGATTTTTCTGTGCCTTTTTTTAAAGTCATCACAATAACGTATATAAGAATATGAGCAGCCATTTCTTTTGTAAATCTTTCCTGACAATTACACAAAGGCAAACACCGTTTTTATTATTGCTTCGACTAAGACAGATTACGGTTCAAATCCGTTTAATAAAGGAATATATAATGTAATATCAAACAGCTTCCTGGGTAAACAACTGCCCTAAAAATTTTCCTAAATGCTTTTTTTAATCATTCTTAGGGAATTAGAAAGCGTCAATAAGTTTCTTTAAGGCACAATTTGAAAGCATGGAATGTAATAATCATTACTTTGTAGCGATTACTGGCATAAAACGCACCCCATCGATGTAAACAAATTGAGCACAGCGAGAAACGCATATGGCTTTTCCCTGGCTATCCGATTTTCGCGCGATGTTGCTAAAAGTAAGTTAAACTTTCAAGACCTCCCTATACCTTATTAGATGTAGTAACAAACATTTTTAACTAATTCTATTGAAAGGAACAAGAACCTTTATATATCCGGGAAACAAATTAAATAATATTTCTCGTCTGAATTCGTAGACAATAGTGTAAATAGCTTGTTTAATAAATGCCGCTTTATATTGCTTAAAAATTATGATAAATACCTCCCATATCTTGCCGTTAAAAAATTGTCTAGATATTTGCGGTCACAGTAGATATTGGTCAATTCATAAACACGGTTTATAAACCGTATTGTAGGTATACTTTTATAGATCATGACAACTTTAATTAATTTAATATATATAGAAGTTTTAGTAAATGTTGACACAAATTTATCGGGTGGATAGTTCGTGCCACAATCCTCGTTAAATTTGAATTAAATTACTAACGCCGAGCGATAAATATTACAGTATATAGCCTAAACTCCTTCACAATACAACAAACTGTGATATATATTGAAGACTTTCACGGCAAGCTGTGAGATTAAACAACACTGCAGACTTAAAATACGACGTATAAACCTACCTCGTATACTTATTTGAAAGGGTGATCCTGTCGCTCGCCCGATAGGAAGAAAGCGATTCGTTTGGTTGGTTTTCACGTTATATTTATGCCAAACTCGCGTACTATGTTTGTGGCGGGCCCGCAGACAGCCTTTTTAAGACACGGGTCAAATGTCAGCAAAGAAACCACTATCGTTCTGCAATAAATGTACTGAATACAACACTCAACACTGCAGGCAATTTTATTCTCGCTGAAGACCGTGAAGTTTTGTGTTAAAAAAATAAACACGCGGGCGTGCCCACGCGTGGAAAACTGTACACGAACTTATTTCATGCAAGAGCATTGTGTGATGAGACAATTGCTTCTGCTTTTTACTGGAATGACCTTCTCAGGAATATTCGACTATGACAGCGCACAGAGCATTTCCGAAGGCCTGAATGACTGAATCTCCTCTTCCGCCCTCAAACGTTTTCCGCCACGCCTCGCGATTTAACCAATCAACTACAATTCCTCCCTTACCATTTTTCATTGCTGTGACAGTCAAATATATTATGAGAAAAAAACCTTGATTCGGACTGATATAAAAGATGGAGAACACTGGCACTGTCATAGGAACGAATAAACCGATTGACTGAAATGACTCAAACAGAGTCGATTGACTGAACCCATCCGTTTATCATTCGAACCCCATGCCCATGGTTGCCACGCCCTTTACTGCAGACAGCGGCGTAGATCTCGGACAGAGAAAAACTCTCCCGCACCTTCGTGTGTTCATGCGTCCACGATCAGAATCGTGCCATTTTGTCACACCTTAGTAGCTAAAAACATATGCCTTGAGTACCGGATATTCTTAGCTCCACGGGCTCCTCTGCCACTGACCTTAAGTACGCGGTTGACCGCATTATCACTGAAATGGGGAATTATTTGGAGTACCAAGACGTCGCATCCCGGCATTCCACTATCGCGGTTCACTCACATCTGTGATGTGCCTGATAATTTTGACATATTTACAAGAACCATTATTCAATGTCATGATGAACATTGCGAAAAGGTTTCTAATAATAAGAACGCCAATATTTTAATTATCATGACGCACCATTCGCAAGTGTGAGAGTGTTTTAATTGCCTAGATATACAGACGCTAAATTGTATCTGTGCGTGACCTGCTATGGTTAAAACATTTAGAAGAGAATTGTCAAAATTGTCATCCTAATTTTTAGTCTTTTAGCTTTTAACTGATCTATCCATGCTTATTAAATAGAAGTATTTAACAGCCTAATGTTCATAGCATCGTTTACAGCTCTGGTTTTTCAATCTAAAGCAAAAAAGAAATATAACCATTTAGTTAATATAGTTAGGTACAGTATCCACTACAAACCAGTATTGGTTGTTTGCAATGACATTAATGAGGAATTTCATATTTTTTTAATACTTTTTTTAATATCGAATGAATTGAACTCGTGTTGTAAAACCTTCATTAAATTTACTAACCATCAACGAGAACCTCGCAATCGCATTTTGCCGTTCCTGCGATATTGGTAGCCACGCACTCATATATTCCTTCGTCCTCAATCTGGATATTCTTTATGTTAAGACTGTGGACACTACCCTGGGCGATAATCACGTGACGTTTATCATTACTAGTCAGCAGTCGTTCGTCGAAGAGCCACTGTACGGTAGGTCGAGGTTCACCACTGACAACAATTTCCAGACTAATGTCTTTACCTTCCAATACTTCACAGTCTTTCAGTTTGACTAAAAATTCTGGACAAGTTGCCCTGTAAAGTATGCATGCAACAATTATCACATGGACTATGTACCCTAGATGAATGGAATGGACTATGTACCCTAGATGAATCAATGAATGAAACTGCTTGTCAGTTTGGAAAGATGAGAATGGGTTGTTCAGAAAGTGACTCAACTCGTGAACGGAAGAGGATTGGGGTGTCATAAGAGTATCCTCTTCATTCAAAATGATCGGTCGTGCCCATTTTACGGGCGTTTTCTTTTGCATTATTCGAAGACATGTTAATAATCCAACATTGCTCTTGAACAACATTCACGAGAATAAACCATAAAAAGCTACCATTTCTAATGGGTACAAATAAGTTGAAAGAAAACAAAATCTTTCTTATCTATAAATTACCTGCGTGATTCCTCAGTATCCTCCTTAACTTGTTCCTTCGTTTCCTTCTCAACCTTTTGCTCATTAGTGTCGGCGGGTTTTTCCTGTTCTGCTGCTTCTCTTGCTTTCTGTTGTTCTCTTTCCGGCCCTTTTACCTTTCCTCCCGTTTTCACACCATCTTCGCCATCCTCACCGAACGTCTTCGAAATGTCCGAGGCTAGACTTGAAATCTCTTGTGCCGTCTCAACGGCTGATTGATCCGCTTCATCTTTACGTGACTTTAGCAAATCAAGCAATTCCGCATCGCTACGTCGTCGGGTCATCCTCGGGCGTTCGATTGGCGTTGGAGTTTCGTCTTTCTCTGTAAACAGCTCCTCAGTGATGGATTTCTTCTTTTCACTTATGGACGCTAGCTCCTCAGGGGAAATGTATTTCGGTTTTGAATTTCTGAGTTTTTCATTGTCGGCTCTATCCGCGAGTTTTTGTTGCAGATCACGCAAGCGCGGCAAATATCCCTGTTCAAGTTCAACCGGTTTGACCGGTAATGGTGTTGACGTCAGATATTCTCCGGATGCAAGTTTTTGTTTCATTTCCTTCACGCTAGAACGCGAGGCAAGTGGGATCATTTCTTCTGTTCCAGATGTACTAGCGTGTGATGAACGCCGGGCGAAGTCAACTTCGCCACTTGAATGGGATCGAGAAATTCCTGAGGACGACCGGCTGCGAGGCTTTGGAAGAACTTTTGGAGGGTTAAATTGCCCGGTTTGGAATTTTTTTCTAGAGCTCCAATATTTCGCTTCTAAGCCGACGTCCATGTTGTTCAACGCCTCGATATCAGAAGGCTTTGGCAGCTGGGTCCACAATGGTGCTTCATGAGGATCGATTGAAAACCGCCATTTCATTGTAGACTGCCTAGATCGTTCCATAGCTAGATTTTTATGTACCTCTTTCTTAGGACCTTTGATAGGAGGACGAGAGAGATTTAAGATCCCCTTCTCGGCAGCCAACTCTCGATTTTTCGGGTCGTCATCATGGTATTCATCGTCTTGGAAAGCAGATTCGCTTAAGGAACGCTCAGAAAATACCGAGCTGAGATTTGCAGACGATACTGAGCTTCTATTGGCTGACGGAAAGCCTGAGTCGACTACGTCATCCGATTCAATTCTTCTGCGCTGTTGTATCAGATATAACGACAGTTCATCATCCATTTCTGGACCAGTAATACCCGTGGGCTCACCACGTGGGTTAAATTTCAGGCCTTTCTTGCTGGTATCCAGTCTTCGCTCGAATTGTATCCTTTCTCTTTCTGTCTGCGGAAACCGCGCTTTCACTGTTGATCTGAAGAATCATATAAAATATAAAGCATTGTAATACATGGATTAACATTGCAGCAATAAGGAGTTCTAATTTTCTGCACGTGTCTTTAAATTGTGGTTGTGATGCACACTTTTCTTTCCTTAAAACATGTTTTACATCGGCATAGGATGTACCCGCAACCTAGAATTTCCCAGAGTTCATCGCTCACTCACCCCTTAATTAAGTATTGTTTTTACTTAGTTTATAGCAAAACAATGGAACAAGTTGTGCCAGAAAGGGCAGGAAAGGACATTTCCGAGCATTCTAAAATTTTGGGGTGTTGATGACCACGCGACCCTCATATAGCTTCGTATAAAAAATATCTTCCTTAATACGAACTTACTTCAAGAAGTTGATATGCAACAACCGTTCCCAGTTCCAATCACATCAAATTAGCCGAGAACGTAGGTTGAATAGTTTACTATAATATTTCAGACAAACCTCCATCTTCGTTTTCTAACAAGATCCAACCATGGGGGTTCCTTCAGTGTCGGTTCTTCAGGCAACTCCGGCCTTTCACGTATCCAAGAATCAGATTTCTTCAGCTGGCTTTTTGGTTTGTTGACACCTCGAACTTGTGGAGTCCTCATTGTCGAACGCCATTCTTCGCTAACCTTAATGGTAAAAAATTGAAATGTTTACATCCTACAAGTTGTTGACAAAAGTTCACATGCATCAGTGGCTGGACTGGGGGGTGTAAGGGTGCAAGTGACGGGGGCATATTCACCCCTTTTCCCAAAAGCTAGTTGCCAGCTAGTTTCGGCCCTAGACGGAGGCCTACAAGGCTACAGCGCTCAAGACATCAGTCGGAAAGACAGAATGTTTTGTTTGTTGGACAGAATGCTTTTGTTTGTTGAAAGTCTGGACCATCACCGGTATACAGCAATTACGGTCACATCAGGATAAATGTTCAAAACGTAAAAAATAAGCGGTATTCCTATGATGTTTTTTCAAAAGTTTGTAAGCAATGCAATTTTCAACGTACACTACAGTTACAATTCAGGTCCGTCGGAACCGGGGGGGGGGCTACTACATGTCGTGGATTTTACACTGTGAAAGTTTGTGTCACAGAAGGTTTCGAATATGAGTTATAAGGGGAGAGAAATGTGCCGCAAGCTGTGACACGCCCTTTTTTCCAAATGGGCGCAGCCCCCCACCAATTCCAAATTTGGTTCCGACGGGCCTGCTATTCATTTTTACCTGTTTGCAGATAGGGCCATTTAGGTGGTGGGCAGCCTGCGAACAGGTGTATACATATACGTGTCATACCTTCCTGTTTCTCTCGTCGCTGCTCTGAGACTGTTTTTCCATACGATTAAGTTCATCTTCCGTATAGAATTCACTCGCCCCTGGTGCCGTCCTCTGTGTTTCTAACTGAGACCACTCGTCGTCCTTCACACTGCTACCAGATACCTTTCGCACCGGCGGGACATTGTGACTCTCGGACGAACGTACCTCAGGTTCAAACTCCGCATCATCACTGTGTCGTAAGCGCAGTATTCGCGTACTGTTCTTTCCTTTTTTGTAAGCTTGATTTACCCGCGTTAGCTGCCACAGCATTGCTGTATGACTTGTATCCATTCATTCCTCGCGAGAAACCTTCATCGTCAATCTCAGGGGTAACCGGTCTACGAACGAAAGGCCAGAAAGTAAGTCAGTTCTCGGTCTTGTAACCATTCACGGATTCGCCAGTCTCGCGCATGGCTAGTAGATTGAAATTTTGAGCAGACCTAACTGTTCAATGTCTGGCTGGAGTAGACGTTGCCATTTTAAACGCACATTCAGTCATTGTGAAATCTAATCAGCCGCAGAGCTCCTGTCAAGAGTAAATTGCAAGTTCATCATCTGTATATCCTAAACTTACCTCTCCCAATTTTCATTCAACCCAGAAGGTACTTTAACAACATCCGGGAGTGCAGCTTCGGGTCTCAGTTGTAACCCCTGCGCAGCCTCCCTGCTGATATCCGGGTCAGTCCCATTCATATGAATATCTGCGACAGGGAGGAGATAAATCACAGGTGTAAGATAGAATGAAAAAGTGTTAATTATTCTTATCAACTTAACGAGTCAAAACGCTTCTTTAGCCATGCATTGTAACTCGATTGGCGAGTTTTATGTCAAAGTCAAATAGTTCTGGTTCAGAACTCACAGACAAAAAAACAATCGGAGAAGAACAGAGAATTCAGAGAAGCTTATACGTACGGAAGCTGAAATTGAATTGCTAGGCCTAGGCCTGAGAAGTAAAAGAGATCACCGGTATTATATCAATATATTGTTAATCTCACCTTGAATGTTGCTGCCTTCAGCCAACTTTTCTTTCTCCTTCCTTTTGAGCCTTCGCTCAGCTCTTTTTTTTGCCCTTTCTTCAGCATCCGCCATTTTATGAAGCCATCACTCTATACGAACCTAAACCATATGATATAACGAATATAAAAAAAGCTGGAATATCTTCGAACACAGTAATATTTTTTCACGTAAAGTTCTAGGAATTCTCTTTTTGGAATATCGAAAAGACGCGTTTACTTTCTTACATCTTGCGTATATACTTACCATGCTTTTCCATTCGCTCATTTACGGGTGTATAAATTTCCCTGGTATCTATAACTAATCATTTTGATGGCTATCAGGTAGGGGTGTTCGAAAGAGCAACACCTCTTTGACATAAGGGAGTGAGGAGGTGTAACAGGTAACAACACGAAGGAAGGTTATTGCTACTTGACCTCTCTTCCCCAGAGGGTAAAATATATTTCCTCACGTACGCACCGGGTAATTACTAAATTTAGTAAATTACCAAAACTTCTTCGTAGGAGAGAGTTGCTCGTTACAAAAAAATCTAATGGCTATGTACCAAAATCCTTTTCAAAAGATACCAAGCAACTAATCACTATTTAATACTGTGGAACTGGTATAAAAACCCAAGTTATAGAAAGGTGTAAAACATGTCCCGTATTTTCTGAACGTCCCCTTCCCGTAACTGCATCTTAACCACCCTAGCTTATAAAATTAGAAGTTCAAAGGGTGATAATAATCTAAGCCGGTTAAGATAGAAATATGTAAATAAAGAGAACAATATTCTATATCTCAGCATTAGATTACCCGCGTGGGTGCAATAGTGGCTTAAATAAGAGGCCATAGTTATCAAATATATTTTACAAGGGCTTATCGTATATAGAAATAGGGAACCCTGTAAACTAGTTAGCCGCAGAGATATCGTAATAAAAAACGTGTCTCGTTGCAAACTAGTTAGAACTTGGATCGATACATTATGGACATATTCATGCATATTTAATGAATTTGCAAAACGATTAGTAAATCTGTACAAATAGTTACTTATTTACCTATTTTAAGCGGTACAGTTTGGAAATCATTTATTATTAGCCGGAGCTAGAGCATCTACGATGCGATGTTAATATAAGTACCACTCCGCTAAATTCCTTATGCCTGGAAGACGTCTTGACAGAAATTTGTAAGCCATAATTATCTTTAATTGCCGTATCCGCAAACTATGAGTTATGGCTCTTAAAATCTTTATCTAACAATGTCACAAGTTTCTGATGTAGCTAACGTATGTCACCAACATTCAGTAGGCGCTATTCTGCTCGGTTCCATAGAGAAATAAAGAAAAGCAAGGGCTACTTTGACCTAATTCCTAGGTATCGTCGACGGAAAGTGTTGATTTTGTCGCAGCCATTTACTAATGACCCAATTTAAGAACGGCCTCAATTTCACTCTGATTTCAACTAATTAATCCGCAAACTGACTGGACCAACGTGCATTGAAAATTAAGCCACAATTGTTATGTCTGTAGTTATAGAGTCCACGGCAATTTCTATATCTCAAACACATTTTAAAATCACAGACTGCAATACACAACGAAGTTTCAATCTAAAAAACAGCAGGATGAGAGCATAGCGCAAATCCAGTTGACACAAATTCTGTGTCTCACTTGACCTATCCTTTTACATTTCCTTAGCCTATTTTTAATATTGCCCAACACTCTGGATGGTAAAAAATAACTTCCTAGACTTTGATTAGCAGTTATGTCATCAACTAAGCTGAAACCAGACGAACGATGCATCTGATACTTCTATACACAGCCTAACATTATAAACTTTTTATAAATAGACCTATTTTACCTTTGAAATTTTCTGTCTTTCAGCAGTGCACTTCAGAATCGATGCTTAGGAAGCATTACTGGCTGATGGATCGATGTTTGCTTGGGCTATAGCCGGCAAGGTATCGGGACGTTTGCGATACGGTCGCAAAACGTCAAACCGACCCTTCGCTTAGAGCGGGAATGTAACAGGTTTAAAATGCCTCCCGTAAGGCATGCATACATTATGCATAATAGTGACAGTTTATCGCATCGAAAAAACTGTAAAGCTATTGAGAGTGAACGTCTGACGATGGAACAAAGTTCATAGTTGATTGTAGTTTGCGAATCCTCGTGTATTCAAAATTAAGCGTATTTGATGTACAACGTTGCTCGAGGCTTCCAAATGATTGAGCATAAGGCAAATGTTATCGGAAAGTTGCAATGTCGCTCACATAGACGCAGTCAAGCTCTTTGTATAAACACGGGCACTAAGCTGTGACCCTGATGACCCCCTATGGTATACCGGGCAGCGATATAATGTCCAAGCGAAATGCTAGAAAAACACTAAAAACTAGGGTAAAAAAACAAAAAAACATGCTTTAATGCCTCTAAAGCATTAAAAACGTGATGAAATATGAAATCCAACGTTCCTGGAGTTTTTAAATTGGATTTATGAGTTGAATGTCAATGTTAATTATTTACTAAACCACTATGGTCGTAATGTTTAACTCTAATACTCAGTGTCTGTTTCTTAAAAATGCTGTCAGAGTCAAGATTTTTATGCTTTATTGCGTCAGAAATATTCAAAAGCACTTGCTCTGTCTCTTTGTATTGAAAACAAGCTGGTTTTTGAGCCATTTTTGAGTTTTATTTTAGTAGATAATGTGAAAATTCATTGTACGAGATTTATTGCACAGTATAAGTATATTGTTTGATATCGTTACTTATTATATCATGTTGTGTCGATGCCTGTTATTATTCTTTAGCCATGCATCTTCAGATTGTCAAATTTTGAAATACGTTGCTTTGAATGCCGTAAAAGTGTTTTACTGTAGTAGATTTTCCTATCACAATATACCAACACATTACGGCTAATAAAAAGGTCACATGCATGTGTGATAGTTGTTGCGCATGCTTAAAACTGCGTCTTCTGGTAACTTCTTTTATCCTCTGTCGATATCTTGCAACTTTGAATGATCAACAAAAGGCAATGGCAACGAAAACCTCTATCGATGAAACATACCTAATTGTTATATTTATTAACGATGATTTTAAACTTGTGGTAGATATCAATTTCTGATAACCCAGATATGCATATGGACAAATATTTATTTATTTGTAACGAATATTTATACAGAATAGATAAGCTCCGTTTAGCTGGAAACTGTTATTATTGTAAGCCTTTAACATCGCCGTTTTATTTTCTCTTTGGAGATTTCTGGAACACATCAAAGTGAAAAATTCTAAGCACAATTTATACGAAATTAAGTAATACCCATGATTAAGGATTTTTATATCATCGAATGTTCTGGTTTACAGGTTATATTGCTAAAATTGTAACCAACACTGAGAAGCGCAGGTTAATAAAGTGATACCCAGGGTTAAATAACAATACTTCAATAAAGTGCAATAATTTTGTAACGGTACAGTATTGAATTCGGTGAGTGATGAAACAGCAGGGCGCTTACATGTTGATATTCGCAATATGGACAAAGTGGTTACTGTAAACCTATACTGTACCACAGTAAAATGATATCGCAAAAATGGGGACCAACGTTTGTAGCATTCGTGCTAATAATAAACTGACCCAAGTAATTCGTACGCAACCTGGACTAAACAATTTTTAGAAGCTTGTGGTTACAAATTTTTGGTGAACATTGAACAATTGAATCTTATAGCAAGTTCAATAATCGGAAAGGCTTCTCGGTATTGTTACCTTTTTAATAGGCATGGAACAGACAACCAAAGACATCTATGCATCAATTTCTTCAAAACTGAGACTTTATTATAGTTTGGGAGGCGACTAGTAAAGATATTTTGACCCGCTCATATATATTTTTGGGAGGAGGGGTTGCTCCCCAGGCCCTCTGCTTTCAACGCTGTAATGGTCATTCTACACCAGTGTCGTCTAACAAGAATATATATGGGAAGACAGGCCACGTGTTTGACCCTGAGATGTCATAATCTCTCTAGTAAGCCCAAATTAAAGCCAAAAAGGGCATAAGCCGGTTCAACCTCGCATCCAGACACGACCTTGACACAAACTAGACATAAAACATTTCAATATTTAAATGCGTTTGTTGTGGTGTTTTCAATATGGGTGAATATATTTGTGTATTAATCCTGAGTGGAACCAACGCGAGGCAAGCTAATTACGGTGGCAATCGAAACCCGTTATCTTCGAGTTCCTAGTCCCGTATTAGAGACCCTTTTACGAAATTAAATACATTCACGAGTTGATAATTCAGAACAGATTCTAGTTCTTTCGGTTTATGAATTATGATGTATTGTAGCTAGAAGATGGAACGTTTCCGGTCGTTTTTCGTTTTACGTGTTCCGGAAGCCTTTTCCGTCTACTCACAAAAAATACTGCTGAACAGGTTAAGAAATAAAATCATCAAATTTACTTTAATTTTACACAAATTAGACTGATGACGTTTGAATTGTAGATGATATCAAACAATCATAGAACCTCTTAGTCATGTTTTGACCTCGATGTATATTGTTGTCGTTTTGGACATTCTTATCCCTTGTTTGCATAGTATTTCAACGATCTTTTGAACGGATCAGTTTGAAAATTCAATATTAAATCAACATCAAAGCGCAGTGGTAACTCACTTCAACTCAGTTTTAATCGCGATTTTTTCACTTTAATAGATTGCGAAATAACTACCTAATCATTACTAGTCACTTTAAAAAAAAAAAACAATTATACAATTGTTACGAAAACTGGATAGTGACAGCTGAGATTTGCTTATCAGGAAACCAAATTTTAGTCTTCTAAGACTAAGTGATTTCGTCATAAAAATATAAGATACATGTTCATAGTTAGTGGTTCGTATATGCTAGCCAAGAGACACGCTATCCCACAAAATTTGAATCTTACTTATCATTAGAAAATCTAGTCAAATAACTTACTTGGCAAATTTAATCACAAGTTACTACTATCAGTAAGACGTTTTTATCATATTTAAAAGTCAATAGCGATTCTCCTAGAATATGTGAGACGATACTGTGTCAAATAAAGTTTTAACAATCTAAATAATTGAATTAATGGTTCACGTGAGTAAAATTGTTCTTCTAACGGCTCACGCGTAATATTCTTATGCAAACAACGTCAGGCGGTATTCAATTTTGAATAATTTGCGGCAATAACAGTTCTGTCGCATGATTTGTTGACATGCCAAAAACTTAGACAAGTTACGGCGAAACACATGCATCACCTTAACCTTTAGCGCTCAGCGCTCTGGCACCATACAAATTTGATTCGGCGAACGATTTTTATGTACAAAACGTTTTTAACAATTTCAGGCATATAGGCTCTTAAATATTATTGTATAACAAATATGTACATGTTATGTATAACGTTCAGTCAAATATACATACCCGGTGACAAAGCAAAATTGTTTTCCGTCGCAACTTTCGGCAGTTTTAGACCAAATTCTAACGCTGGGAAGCACGTTCCCTGTTATAAACCCACAAAATCGTATCAGCGTAATGTTTAAACTATCACCACTTGTTTCGCACGTCGTCAAACGAAGTGAAAAGTTTTATCAAGACAACATAAGAGAAAGTTTATACTGATTCAGTCTGTTCTGCCAGTCTGGCCTGTAAATACGGTGTCGTGTGTCAGAGTGCTTTGCTATGACATGAAAAACATGAGATGAAATGTCAAAACGGAACTGGCGAAAATTAATGCAGCTGATAAATTGCTTAACTTTGATTTCAACTTGGGTGACTGAAATTGACCGCTTTGCTTTGTCGCGTGCTATTCAAAGCTGCAAAAAGTTGATAACCAATTATAGTCTATTGATGTAACGTACGCAAATTGGTGTGTTTTTTTAGCGATTTATTTTAAAGAATGGTAACGGCTTCAAAAAGTGTAAAAGGGTAGTCTGCTTGTCGGAGTGATCTACCCTGAAATAAACACCCTATCACCAGGGGGCAAAACCATTAACTTTGCCACTATTAAGAAGAGACAAGTAAATCCAAACTAGTACCTAGGATTTTGCTCAACCCTAGAGTCTAGATGCACTATGTACGACGTAATCCCTCAAGGATGATATTGATAATTGCTTAACGAGTTTTTAACTTGACACCTGGCGCGTTTTGATCACGAGAGTTTGCAAGTCTCTGGCTAAAAAGTGAGATAATTATCGGAGGTTCAACATCAAAGGGGATTTTACACTGTAGCTATTGTGTTGCTTGGCCGGATGTGGATTTGACAATTGACAGGTATGGAATGACCTCTGTATAAAACAATACACCCCTTCAACAATGACATCACAAGTGCATGTCTGACGTAGCAGCTACTCCAGATGATGATACTATATCTTATCTGAAACAGGCAGCGCCGTACCAAGGGCTAGGCTCTCTCACCCTGGGTACGAGGTTGGGCTCTCTCACAGCCGAAAGGTTGGGGCGGTGCACGTAGATTTCCGAATGGAATATCAAGTCCCAAGAGTCTCGGATAAAGTATTCTGTCCGAATATGACCCACATATCTGAATATTGTGCTTTGGGGGTGCTGTACCCCAGTAGTGACCCCACTGTCCCTTTCTTCATTACGCCCCCCGGGACCGCACACGATTTATGAAGGCGAGGCTTCTTGGCCAAACGAAGTAATTGTTTATTGCCTGACCTTCTAAAAGTGGTGTTTTCTTGTTAATTTTTAATGTACATGTACGGGATACGATAAGGAATGTAAACAGCACCAGAAAATCAATTGTTGTTCGACCGTCTTAAAGAGTGTGCAACCGCATTGGACAAGTATTTCCAATAATTTTCCATGTCAGCTGTGCGCAAAACTATTTCCCTTGTCAAAAAACTGACGTGTTTGATAGATTTTGAACAATCTGGTTACTCTATCTTGTAAAATAAAGATGTGTGCGCGTTTGTACAGGGCCACATATTCAAGTGGACCACGGAGCTTTGTTATAATACAACTTCTTTATTCACATTACAACACTATATTGTTTTGTCTGCTATGATACACAACACTACATTCTATTCATTTGTTTTTAAAGTTATTTAGAAAGTTATTTAGTCTGGAGGTGTCAATGCCTATGTGGGTTTCAAAGTGTCATAAAATGTACAAAAAATATCACACAATAAAATTCGCATCTTTGCTCATAAGCCAACTCGTACTGGCGGAGATACTAAGATGACTCCATCTCCTCTGATAAACAACATTGGTATTTTTCTCTTCGTTGTCTGAAAGATATAAAAAAACATTAATTAATAATAAATATTAAAATAATTAAAGCAACACTTGCAAGTTGCAGGCCGTCAGGCACTGGCAATTTGTTATAAAGTTTGTCAAAACAAACCTTAAATAGTTCTTCATACGTTTCTTCGTCAATCTCAACATTTGTAATGGTCTCTTCAACTTCACCAAGAATCATATTCAGATGTTGATCGTAAGCCTAGGGAAATTGGGAAATATAATATGAAATTCAAACGCACTAAATGCAAGTATTTCCCTTTGTTCATCATGATTCTCGACACCTACGTGAAGTCTTCCCCTGAGTTCTCTGTCATTTCTTAACTTTACGTATATTCTTTCATCGATGCTAAGACGAACAAGATCTAAAGGTTCTTCAACATTATTCTGCTGTTGTTCACTTTCGTCCGCCATCTTAGAACGTTTAGGCACGTGGTTAGTGTTTCCACAAAACGTTTCCACCATTCAATGAAAACATTTCTTCAAAAATTTACACATTTCGTGCAACCTCGTACCCAGGGTCTTTACTCTACTCGTGGGGAAACCGGTTACGTCACAAGAATGCAAGGCGCGGCTAAAGAGGACTAGGGACTAGTCTGCGTGGGGAGTAAGTAAAGACCCTGGGTACGAGGTTGCATTTCGTGTGTCTTCTAAATTCTAATCACAATAAACATCATACATACATTTTGTGATGCATACGTTATGCAAAGGATTGCTCTGTCCTTTTCGAAACGCTCTTTTGTTTCCTAAAAAATACAAGCGAAAACTTTAGTGCTGACTGTGCTGTGTGCAGTGGGCGGCGATTTCCCAATAGACAGGGTCTTTCCCCTCCTGACTTACAAATTCGAGGTTGCAGTTCAAAGACAAAGTTGAAACTTTTAGTGAATATTGTGTTCCTTGAAAGTGGTTATCTGTTCCTTTACAAGATGATTGAGCCTATGGAAAATGGATTTTATCGTACTGAAATGAACAAAGCGACGTGGGAAGTGCCTGATATATGGTTTAGTATGGTACGTGCAATTATTTTATAAATTAGTCATTTTATTTATTACACTTTACACTTTTATTAGGATGATATAAACATACATTTAGTTAATTAGTTACGCTCCAATTCTCTTTTGAAGTATAAATCAAACAAATACTTACATCAAGTTTTGACGGGAACTCTACCAAATATTCTGTTTATATTTGTATAAAAAATTTCTTGTCTTAATTATAAGAATACAGTACAATACAGATTACGGCTACCGTAATGCTCGATAATACAACAATACTCGATAATACAACAATACTCGATTACGTGATGAAGTTTTCTGGTTATGGACAATATCAGAACTTTATTAAGAAATAATTTATTGACAGCAAATTTTGTTTATGAATAAAAATTTATATTTGGGTGCAGGTATTCAGATCCTGTGGGGATGGCTGTGCCCTTATTGCAGGGGTGTTGAAAAGTACATATAAAAAATACATATAAAAAATAGAAATACTTAGAAAAAGACATATTCTGGGAATGTTGCATCCCTAGCTGCAAAATTACTAACAAAATTACTGCCTGAGAAATACAATGAATTAAATGACTGCTAGAGTTATTAATAGTGATTCTTTGTTATATGAAGGTGTGGAATTAACACAGAAAACATCGAAACTATAAAATAGCAATTATTCTATGGCCTAAATTGTAAACAAACTAACACAGTGTCAGTATGGTTTGCAAGTGTTATTGATTCCTGAGCAGTTTTAGGCAGGCCTGGGCAGTGTTTAGTGTGACTGCTTCTGGCCAACAAATTCTTACAACCTCCAGACATCATCAGTGTATCATCGTACTGGATGGAGACTGACTGAATGTCATAAATTTACATAACTATTTCAGTTTCGTTACTTTCACATTTACCAAAAGTGCTTACTTTGGACTCCTAACTGATTATATGTGTTTCGTCGGAACCAAGACGACTGGTTAGCACAATTTTAGAGTAAGCACATGTCCAAGGAAAACTCGCAAATCATAAATTATATTAAACAATTCGATCTAGAATAAGAACAAATTAATACAAAGAATATTAAAAAAAAATGCATATATAGTTCCGATCAAGTTCGCACGTGTGATCTAAATTACCCCTAATAATATTACATAAACAACAATATAAATTCAATAGCTTACATCTGTGGCGAGGTCCTCTAAGCATATACTTAATGGCGCAGGTTAGCCCGTCGTAGTCTTTCAAACAGACACTTCACATACATTCATACATTTACACATTTTCCGTCTCGGTTGCTCTATTTTCCTTTCTCCCTAACTATGTGCTGGTGTTAAATGTTAATACATGCCCTATATGACGTCATGGTCAAAGTTCATGTCAAGCCTGCTCACATGTCCATCATGCCTAGAGAAGCTGTTGATCCAATATGTAATTACTCTTTTGCTAGTTCATCAGATGATAAAGAACTGGATGAAAAGGTGGCAATAAAGAAATTCTCCAGACCATTTCAATCATTAATTCATGCAAAGAGAACATTCAGAGAAATAAAACTGTTAAGGCATATGGATCATGAAAATGTAATTAACTTAGTGAAAATGTTTAGAAATTTAAAATTAAGCACTATAAAAAGAAATATTTTCTTCACCTAGATTATTGGAATATTGAATATATTTACACCACAACTATCTATGGATGATTTTCAAGATGTGTAAGTAATGCTATTTTATGTTTGAAAGAGCTGATGTACCAAATCCTTACACTATCTGCGCTTGATGCACTATTAGACAATTTTTTTACAGGTGTACATTTTGGGCTCAACCATATATATTTTGAATAAGCTTCAAGGTGTAATGGCTCATGTTTTTGTAGTTTGGATTATTTTATAAAATTATTGCATGCTTGTTAGATATATGGTTACACAGTTGATGGGTGCAGACCTAAATAGCATCATAAAATGTCAACAATTATCAGATGATCATGTAAAGTTTCTGATCTACCAAGTTTTAAGAGGATTAAAGGTTGGTGGTATAGTTTGCCCAGTAACTGGCACTATCAAGGGAACTGTCATAGTAATATTAATAATGGTTTACTTTTTTTTCAGTATATTCACTCAGCAGGTGTCGTCCACAGGGTAAGAATATGTGTAATATGAAATTTAGGTAAAGTAGCATGAAAATGGTAATTACACCCAGCTACTGATAATCTGATATTAGGTCTCCCGCAGGATCTGATGTCCAACCAGGGGCTGTGGAAGATTGTTAAATGGGGGGGGGGCACATGTTCATATATTCACCTTCGGCATTATTAGTTTTATTTTTAAATTGATTGCTTCTACAGTCTGCTAACATTCATGTATGAATATTTGCCCCCCCCCCCACTTAATGATCTTCCGCTGCAGGCCCCTGTGTGCAACTTCTCTAGCATTCTTTAATGCCTGCAGATAATTAGACATAGTGAATGGCCAAACATGTAAATCCATCCTATTTTAGAATTTGAAACCAAGTAGTATAGCAGTGAATGAGGACTGTGAGTTGAGGGTAAGTACTTTTGTGTACATGCATTTTGGAACATGCTATTGGTTTAGATAATTTCTTGAAATTCTAGATTTTAGATTTTCGTCTTGCACGAATGGTAGATAATGAAATGACAGGGTATGTTATGACACGATGGTACAGAGCTCCTGAGATTATGTTGAACTGGATGCATTACAACCAAACAGGTATGTTTTAATTTATATATTAGTTAACTTTTATTACTGAAGAATTGTGACTTTCCTGTGTATATAAGGAACCAGACAGATTTTATAAATAACCAACTGCATGTTGTTAACCAACCCTTACCGCAAAAAATACAAGACTAAAACGCGTTTTACTCAATTTAGTTGATATTTGGTCCGTTGGATGTATCATGGCTGAATTACTAACTTCAAAGATTCTATTTCCTGGCACTGATCGTACCTTTTTATAAAAAATTCAACTTCAGTTTTTTGGTAACTTTCTGTCCTTTCGCAAAAATGAGTTCATGTTTCCCTTAACACAAAGCCCAGACATTGACCAACTAACGAAGATTTTAAAAGTGGTTGGCAAACCAGACGCAACTTTTGTGAATAAAATATCAAGTGAAACAGTAAGCAAGAACTCTGTCATTCCTAGTATATCGTTTGAATAAACATTGTCATTGATATCGTCGTTGGCGAAGCTCGATCGCAATATTTCTGATGTTATGTTATTTCTCTTGCTCCCCGTTCTATTCCACTCAATATTCTGAATATATATAGGCCAGAAACTACGTGAGGCAAATGCCAGAATACAAGAAACAACCTTTCAAGGAGGTATTCACGGGGGCAAACGATCAGGGTAGGTTGACATTATAGTTATTTCAGACATGATTGACAGAATGAATGGGAATGCAATGTATTTCAATTATAAGCTTGTTAAACATCTGTTTATTAGCGATCGATTTACTGGAGAAAATGTTGCGACTTGATGCAGATATAAGGATTACAGCAGAAGCTGCATTAGATCATCCATATCTCGAAATGTACGCAGATCATGATGACGAGGTCAGTAAGACGTGAGATACTCATTTGAACTAATAGTTTGCACTAGCATATTGGCATTGCCAATCCAATTCATATTTCGCAGATACCGGTTGTAGGAAAACGTTAATTGTAGTTTGAAAAAGTTGTAGTTTGATTGGTTGACCTTTGCACTAGTTAACAGTATGTAGACAACTTTTTTATAAAAAAACAATTAGTCAGAAATCGAGAGTAAATTTTCCCACATGGCAAGAAAAATCGAATGCCACATTAAACGTCTCTGAGCCATAAAAGTGTTTCTCTCACCCTCTTCTTGAATAGAATAATTACATGGTGAATTAAATCCATATTCTTGTTCGTTTTTAGCCCGTGTGCAATGAAAGATTTGTCGAGCCACCCTTTCAGCCTGATGATATAGACTTTTGGAGAAGTACGTTTGACTATTTTACTCGGCAGTGGATCATTAATTTCGTAAGTGGCACTGCTCGACTGAGCAACAGTTTTTTTCACAAGTTTTTTATTTTTTCCCACAGAAGTAACCTTTGACGAAATTCTTGACTACCAATCATCAAAGCAGACTGCAGAAGCAATGGAGACATAAGAAGCGAAGTTTTCGCTTGAATATGTAAATTAATTAAAAAGAGCAACAAGAGCATCGTCCTTGCATGTATCAAAGCTGTAATATATCTTTACAGTTAGAAGGGCGCTTATATATATTTATATATATATTTATATATGTATAAGCGCCCTGATAGTTAGCGTATATCATACGCTTTCGTCTACATGTTGGCATTCAAGCGCGCAGAAATTTGTGTAAAAATATTGTCTTTACAATTTGCTTTATCAAACAACAGTGATCAAACGAGATTACTACAAATACAATAATGTATAACCTGACAATGCCTTATAAACATGATTTATCACCCCCTGTCGAATTTTCACTGCAAAATGACTCGTGTTTTGAAACGGCAAACGTACCGTTTTTAAACGTGAAACGTACGTTTTAAAATCGCACGCCGCAAGCTTGAACGCAAATGGTAATATTATACATTATAGTAGTAAAAGCAATTTGATTGACTAATAGTTGACAGATAAATCGCGCAATCACTCTGCTGCTAGCAGATAACTGCATGAGTTATCTGCAAGTGAGCCTGATTAACAAGCGGTATTCATTTGAATGTATTTATGTATTAATAATTGATGTTATTTTTGATGTTGCTATTACTGTAAATAAGGTTTTTCATTCGTTAATACTATGTTTACTATTCTTCAAATGTATAATAAAACATTTATTGAATTCGGTTTTTGTGATATGCAGAGTTATCAAGCTCTCGGTAAGCGTTATCAGCCTCTCCTTCGGCTCAGCTGATAACGCTTACCTCGACCTTGATAACTCTGCATATCGCAAACACCTCATCCAATAATTGTTTAAGAATAATTAATATATTTAGCAATAACAACGCCATCTTGGAGTTCATATTTTCACCACAATGCATTTTGGGTAAATACGAAAAAGCAATAATCCAACAGGCTATTAAAAGGCTATTTTCCACTCATCGCAAAATCAATTCGCAAAACATATATGCAAACTCGGTATCTTTTTGCGATGAGTGGGTCATGGGTGAGAGTCTTTAGTGACAGTATTGTCCGAAGTCGTGTATTTCTCAGTTCAGTACGATTTTAACTACGCAGAACCATATGTAGGCGAAAACATGTTTTTTAAAACTAGGAAAACAAGACAAACTTTTAAAACTTTGTTAAGATTTGTGCATACTAATAATTTATAATTCTTCATTGTCTTCAAGAGAGCGGAAATGACAATATAGTTAATAATATATAATGTATCTTGGTTCAAGATGACATCACTATATTATATATCGATTGCAATTTGCCGCATTGTTTTTGCCTGCGGTTACAGTTTTATAGCGCAATTCTTAGCGTAATACATTACAGTTTACAAGTAACCGCAACCTTGTAACAATGCAATATATATGGACCTTCAACTTGTCGTTATTCCATGTAACTTGTCTTACATCCGCCGAATGGGCCAAAAAGAGGGAAACCTGTATGAGGCTTGCGAGGTCTTATATGAGATCGATCGATCGGCTTTTACATGGATCAGTGGCTAAGCTGAGCGAGCGCGCAAGGGATTAAAAGCCTGTAGATTTCCTATATCTATTTTATTTAAAGCGCCTGGGAACGAGGCTGTAGATAAATACGGTCACATTTCAAATACTAGATATTTCGCGCCAAAACACACTTGCGACGACGAAAAATAAAAAAAAATAAAAACAAAACAAAACCAAAGCGAATTTTCAACTCCGTCGCTCACGCCGGAGTAATAAAGTTTTAACAATCTAAATAATTGAATTAATGGTTCACGAGAATAAAATTGTTCTTCGAACGGCTCACGCGTAATATTTTTATGCAAACAACGTCAGGCGGTATTCAATTTTGAATAATTTGCGGCAATAACAGTTCTGTCGAATGATTTGTTGACATGCCAAAAACTTAGACAAGTTACGGCGAACACATGCATCATCTTAACCTTTAGCGCTCTGGCACCACAAATTTGATTCGGCGAACGATTTTACTGATTTTTTTTAAAGAATGGTAACGGCTTCAAAAAGTGTAAAAGCGTAGTCGGCTTGTCGGAGTGATCTACCCTGAAATAAACACCCCGTCACCAGGGGGCAAAACTGTAAACTGTGCCACTATTAAGAGGAGACAAGTAATTCCAAACTAGTACCTAGGATTTTGCTCAACCCTAGAGTCTAGATGCACTATGTACGAGGTATTCCCTCAAGGATGATATTGATAATTGCTTAACGAGTTTTTAGCTTGACACCTGGCGCGTTTTGATCACGACAGTTTGCAAGTCTCTGGCTAAAAAGCGACGTAATTATCGGAGATTCAACATCAAAGGGGATTTTACACTGTAGCTATCGTGTTGCTTGGCCGGATGTGGATTTGACAATTGACAGGTATGGAATAATCTCTGTATAAAACAATACACCCCTTCAACAATTACATCACAAGTGCATGTCTGACCTAGCAGCTACTCCAGATGATACTAAGGGGTAGGCTCTCTCACCCTGGGTATGAGGTTGGGCTCTCTCACAGCCGAAAGGTTGGGGCGGCGAACATAGATTTCCGAATGGAGTATCAAGTCCCAAGAGTCTTGAATAAAGTATTTCTGTCCGAATAGGACCCACATTTCTGAATATTGTGCTTTGGAGGTGCTGTACCCCGGTACCCCACTATCCCTTTCCTCATCACACCCCCCGGGACCACACAAGATTTATGAAGGCGAGGCTTCTTGGCCAAACAAGGTAATTGTTTATTGCCTGACCTTCTAAAAGTGGTGTTTTCTTGTTAATATTTTATGTACATGTACGGGATACAATTAGAAATGTAAACAGCACCATAAAATCTTTTATCTTATACTTTTTGACAAGCATTGGAGAAGTATTTCCATGTCAGCTGTGCGCAAATATATTTCCCTTGTTCAATAGCTGATAGATTTTGAACACTCTGATTACTCGAGATATCTTGTAAAATAAAGACATGTGCGCGTTTGTGCAGGGCCACATATTCAAGTGGACCACGGAGCTGAGTTATAGTACGTCTTTATTCACATTACAACACTATATTGTTTTGTCTGCTATGATACACAACACTGAATTCTATTCATTTTTTTTTTTAAGTTATTTAGAAACAATCTGGAGTTGCCAAGCCTATGTGGTTTTCAAAGTGTCATAAAGTGTACAAAAAATATCACACAATAAAATTTCGCACCTTTGCTCATAAGCCAACTCGAACTGGCGGAGATACTAAGATGACTCCATCTCCCCTGATAAACAACATTGGTATTTTTCTCTTTGTTGTCTGGAAGATATAAAAGGACATTAAAAATAAAATAAGCAACACTTGCAAGTTGCAGGAACTGGCAATTTGTTATAAAGTTTGTCAATACAAACCTTAAATAATTCTTCATACGTTTCTTCATCAATCTCAACATTTGTAATGGTCTCTTCAACTTCACCAAGAATCATATTCTGACAGATGTTGATCGTAAGCCTAGGGAAATTAGAAATATAGTATGAAATTCAAACGCACTAAATGCAAGTATTTCCCTTTGTTCATCATGATTCTCGACACCTACGTGAAGTCTTCCCCTGAGTTCTCTGTCATTTCTTAACTTTACGTATATTCTTTCATCGATGCTAAGACGAACAAGATCTAAAGGTTCTTCAACATTATTCTGCTGTTGTTCACTTTCGTCCGCCATCTTAGAACGTTTAGGCACGTGGTTAGTGTTTCCACAAAACGTTTCCACCATTCAATGAAAACATTTCTTCAAAAATTTACACATTTCGTGTGTCTTCTAATCACAATAAACATCATACATACATTTTGTAATGCATACGTTATGCAAAGGATTGCTCTGTCCTTTTCGAAACGCTCTTTTGTTTCCTAAAAAATACAAGCGAAAACTTTAGTGCTGACTGTGCTGTGTGCAGTGGGCGGGGATTTCCCAATAGACAGGGTCTTTCCCCTCCTGACTTACAAATTCGAGGTTACAGTTCAAAGACAAAGTTGAAAGTTGAAACTTTTAGTGAATATTGTGTTCCTTGAAAGTGGTTATCTGTTCCTTTACAAGATGATTGAGCCTATGGAAAATGGATTTTATCGTACTGAAATGAACAAAGCGACGTGGGAAGTGCCTGAACGATATCAAGACCTACAATCGATCGGTTCGGGAGCATATGGTTTAGTATGGTACGTTCAATTATTTTATAAATTAGTCATTTTATTTATTACACTTTACACTTTTATTAGGATGATATAAACATACATTTAGTTAATTAGTTACGCTCCAATTCTCTTTTGAAGTATAAATCAAACAAATACTTACATCAAGTTTTGACGGGAACTCTACCAAATATTCTGTTATTTGTATAAAAAATTTCTTGTCTTAATTATAACAATACAGTACAATACAGATTACGGCTACCGTAATGCTCGATAATACAACAATACTCGATATAAATACAACAATACTCGATTACGTGATGAAGTTTTCTGGTTATGGACAATATCAGAACTTTATTAAGAAATAATTTATTGACAGCAAATTTTGTTAATGAATAAAAATTTATATTTGGGTGCAGGTATTCAGATCCTGTGGGGATGGCTATGCCCTTATTGCAGGGGTGTTGAAAAATACATATAAAAAATACATATAAAAAATAGAAATACTTAGAAAAATACATATTCTGTGAATGTTGCATCCCTAGCTGCCAGGAAAAACAAAATTACTGCCTGAGAAATAAAATGAATGAAATGACTGCTAGAGTTATTAATAGTGATTCTTTGTTATATGAAGGTGTGGAATTAACACAGAAAACATCGAAACTATAAAATAGCAATTATTCTATGGCCTAAATCGTAAACAAACTAACACAGTGTCAGTATGGTTTGCAAGTGTTATTGATTCCTGAGCAGTTTTAGGCAGGCCTGGGCAGTGTTTAGTGTGGCCGCTTGTGGCCAACAAAGTCTTACAACCTCCAGACATCATCAGTGTATCATTGTACTGGATGGAGACTGACTGAATGTCATAAATTTACATACTGTCATAAATTTTCAGTTTCGTTACTTTCACATTTACCAAAAGTGCTTACTTTGGACTCCTAACTGATTATATGTAATTACTCTTTTGCTAGTTCATCAGATGATAAAGAACTGGGTGAAAAGGTGGCAATAAAGAAATTCTCCAGACCATTTCAATCATTAATTCATGCAAAGAGAACATTCAGGGAAATAAGACTGTTAAGGCATATGGATCATGAAAACGTAATTACAATATGTGCTTGGGAAATTACCAGTCTAACTTAGTGAAAATGTTTAGAAATTTAAAATTAAGCGCTATAAAAAGAAATATTTCCTTCACCTAGATTATTGGAATATTGAATATATTTACACCACAACTATCTATGGATGATTTTCAAGATGTGTAAGTAATGCTATTTTATGTTTGAAAGAGCTGATGTACCAAATCCTTACACTATCTGCCCTTGATGCACTATTAGACAATTTTTTTACATTTGTACATTTTGGGCTCAACCATATATATTTTGAATAAGCTGCAAGGTGTTATGGCTCATGTTTTTGTAGTTTGGATTATTTTAAAAAGTTATTGCATGCTTCTTAGATATATGGTTACACAGTTGATGGGCGCAGACCTAAATAGCATCCTAAAATGTCAACAATTATCAGATGATCATGTAAAGTTTCTGATCTACCAAGTTTTAAGAGGATTAAAGGTTGGTGGTATAGTTTGCCCAGTAACTGGCACTATCAAGGGAACTGTCATAGTAATATTAATAATGATTTTTTACATTTACTTTTTTTTTCAGTATATTCACTCAGCAGGTGTCATCCACAGGGTAAGAATATGTGTAATATGAAATTTAGGTAAAGTAGCATGAAAATGGTAATCACACCCAGCTACTGATAATCTGATATTAGGACTCCTGCAGGATCTGATGTGCGACCAGGGGCCGTGGAAGATTGTTAAGTGGGGGGGGGGGGGCACATGTTCATATATTCACCTTCGGCATTATTAGTTTTATTTTTAAATTGATTGCTTTTACAGTCTGCTAACATTCATATATGAATATTTGCCCTCCCCCCCACTTAATGATCTTCCGCTGCAGGCCCTGTGTGCAACTTCTCTAGCATTCTCTAATGCCTGCAGATATTTAGACATAGTGAATGGCCAAACATGTAAATCCATCCTATTTTAGGATTTGAAACCAAGTAATATAGCAGTGAATGAGGACTGTGAGTTGAGGGTAAGTACTGTTGTGTACATGCATTTTGGAACATGCTATTGGTTTAGATAATTTCTTGAAATTTGAAATTCTAGATTTTAGATTTTGGTCTTGCACGAATGGCAGATAACGAAATGACAGGGTATGTTGCGACACGATGGTACAGAGCTCCTGAGATTATGTTGAACTGGATGCATTACAACCAAACAGGTATGTTTTAATTTATTTATTAGTTAACCTTTATTACTGAGGAATTGTGACTTTCCTGTGTATACAAGGAACCAGACAGATTTTATAAATAACCAACTGCATGGTGTTAACCAACCCTTACCGCAAAAAATACAAGACTAAACGCGTTTTTTTTTTCAATTTAGTTGATATTTGGTCCGTTGGATGTATCATGGCTGAATTACTAACTTCGAAGACTCTATTTCCTGGCACTGATCGTATCTTTTTATAAACGAATTCAACTTCAGTTTTTTGGTAACTTTCTGTCCTTTCGCAAAAATGAGTTCTTGTTTCCCTTAACACAAACCCCAGACATTGACCAACTAACGAAGATTTTAAAACTAGTTGGCAAACCAGACGCAACTTTTCTGAATAAAATATCGAGTGAAACAGTAAGCAAGAACTCTGTCATTCCTAGTATTGTTTGAATAAACATTGTCATTGATATTGTCGTTGGCGAAGCTCGATCACGATATTTCTCATGTTACGTTATTTCCCCCCGTTCTATATTCCAAATTAAACTGCAGAAACTCAATATTCTGAATATATATAGGCCAGAAACTACGTGAGGCAAATGCCAGAATACAAGAAACAACCTTTCAAGGAGGTATTCACGGGGGCAAACGATCAGGGTAGGTTGATATTATAGTTATTTCAGACATGATTGACCGAATGAATGGGAATGCAATGTATTTCAATTATAAGCATGTTAAACATCTGTTTATTAGCGATCGATTTACTGGAGAAAATGTTGCGACTTGATGCAGATATAAGGATTACAGCAGAAGCTGCATTAGATCATCCATATCTCGAAATGTACGCAGATCATGATGACGAGGTCAGTAAGACGTGAGATACTCATTTGAACTAATAGTTTGCACTAGCATATTGGCATTGCCAATCCAATTCATATTTCGCAGATACCGGTTGTAGGAAAACGTTAATTGTAGTTTGAAAAAGTTGTAGTTTGATTGGTTGACCTTTGCACTAGTTAACAGTATGTAGACAACTTTTTTATAAAAAAAAAATTAGTCAGAAATCGAGAGTAAATTTTCCCACATGGCAAGAAAAATCGAATGCCACATTAAACGTCTCTGAGCCATAAAACTGATAAAAGTGTTTCTCTCACCCTCTTCTTGAATAGAATAATTATATGGTAAATTAAATCCATATTCTTGTTGGTTTTCAGCCCGTGTGCAATGAAAGCTTTGTCGAGCCACCCTATCAGTCTGATGATATAGACTTTTGGAGAAGTACGTTTGACTATTTTACTCGGCAGTGGATCATTCATTTCGTAAGTGGTACTGCTCGACTGAGCAACAGTTTTTTTCACAAGTTTTTTATTTTTTCCCACAGAGGTAACCTTTGACGAAATTCTTGACTACCAATCATCAAAGCAGACTGCAGAAGCAATGGAGACATAAGAAGCGAAGTTTTCGCTTGAGTATGTAAATTAATTAAAAAGAGGAACAAGAGCATTCGTCCTTGCAAGTAGCAAAGTACAGCAATATATCTTTACAGTTAGAAGGGCGTTTATATATATTTATATATATAAGCGCCCTGATAGTTACTGTATATCACTATACGCTTTCGTCTACATGTTTGCATGCAAGCGCGCAGAAATTTGTGTACAAATATTGTCTTTACAATTTGCTTTATCAAACCACAGTTATCAAACGAAATTACTACAATAATGTATAACCTAACAATGCCTTATAAACATGATTTACGGTATGGGAAGTTGATTACATGATCATTTATATGTAAAACAATATGAATCATGGTATTTAATAAACCATTTTTTTTTCGGTTTAAATACTCACTAAAATGATTTATGGTGAAGATTTTTAGTTATTTTGTTTTAGTTTCTTCATAACAACACATTTTGATTTTGCTTGCTCAACTTGAGTCTTGAGTAATTTTTCTTAGAAATTACAACATTGAATTTAAGTATATATCATAAAGATAGTGAAGAGGTGAGGTGGAAGAGTAACGCGCCTAACGGTCATATCCCGCCGTATATTTCATAATTATCATTTGCAATTTAAAATATATAACGTTGCATTCAGTTATTGACCTCTATATATTTTAGTATTGAAGCGACTGGGTACGAGGCAAATACGATTAACAACTTTGCCTACTTACACAACCTTGATATAAACTTTGATATGAAGACTTACAGATTATAGTCCTAGATTTTCTTGTCAAGCTCCTGCCGAATTCTGTAAGGCCCGAAGTTTAAAGACGGCTCATGACGTCGCTTGCTGAAAAAAAAACCCGTTGAATACAAAATAAAGAAATATCTATTCTAAAAGAAAGCTAAAGCCTAAAACATATTTATAGCGAGTAATACGAACGCTACTATTTAACTATCAAATTTGATACCATATCTAGAGGTTTTAATCGAGACAGTTTTTATCAGTCAAGAATAGCGATAGAAGTAGTGAAAATAATAAACCCAAACAGATGAAGGACCCGCGGCAAACGGACATAATAGAAACCGCATTAGAGCGTGTCCCGTGATCCTCGTTAAAAGCATCAATCATTTTATCCAAAGCGTCAAGGACCTCAGCGGTTGTTGGCTCTTCATCAAAACATCGATCGCTTTTTCCCAAGTCTTTAACACTTGGGACATCATTGACAAGAAAACCGCCTTCCTTTAAGAAAAATCCTTGCAAGTCACAAATTTGTCTGTACTTGTTTTGTGTCGGGTTAACTTCCATGAACTTTTTAATAGAAGTGAGATCTGCGACGGTAACGTTTAGCGAACCTGTCGTGTATTTTCGTACATCAGTTATCGTTTTGTTTATTTCTTTGGCATCGATACGATCACGAAGATGTTGGAATTGTCCCACCTCTTTAGATATCCATCCCTCTAAAAACCCAGTACAGTTGTCGGTTTTCGCTACTCCGCAAGTGGCCTTTGAGATAGAGGGCGGAGACACCTTAACGGTTTTAACACCACCAGCTTGGACTTCTTTAAGGTTTTTCAATTCTTGATCAATAATGACTTTACACGCCACCTCTTCTATCTCCGGCATTTTGCAAACTAAAAACCCAACTGTTGGTACAGATTTTATTCGACAAGCAAGTTTATCACCCCCTGCGGATTTTTCACTGCAAAATGTCTCGTAGTTTATGTTAGGCAAAGCGCCCATAACAGCTTTACGGGCTTCTGTGAAATCTTGTCCCATCACAATGTCCGAAAGTGATGACAAGGCAAAAGCGAGGGTGATAATTTGTAACTTGTGTGTAACCTCCATTGACGCGAGCTACGTAAAAAGAAATGTTACGTTGAAAAGTTTTGTTAGTTCGTTTAACACCAAGCTTTAATAAGCTCGGTCTAAGCAGAGCGTAGTAAAACCGCCAGTTTTTTTATTTTTTTGAACTCGTTCTTCGACTTTTTATAGTACAGAAGGTCATTTGTCTATTTGGGAAATCAAAGAGCTGAAAATGTTGCCACTGGAATTATGTGGCGTAAAAAAAATAAGCGAGCTGCTTTTTGTCATACAAACACTACTGACGGACTTCCGGTTAGAAGCAGGAAGCACAGACTATCTGTTGCTCAAATATCGAGAAATGACTGTGTTATTCACCGTGTTAATAATGTGTAGCTACTACAAGTCTACAATCGGTAAAAATACGTAGTTTAATCAAGCATGTCAGGCACCTGCCTGTCTTTGGAACCTATATTTTTATTACTATTTCATTCCAATACAGCATGTCTTACGCGGTTTTTGGTCAAAATGAATAAAATGTAAAATATTTTCACTACACTATGCTATATATACCGTCGATGCAAGACAAAGCAAAATGCTATTATAATATACGACCTTCTAAAGGTTCTAACCGCACCAATTCTTACCAAGGAAGTTCTATAAATGGCTTCTATAAATCGATCGAATCTGTTCCAGTATTCCAGTAGTAGCAATTATAGCTTTGGAATTCAATATAATGGTTTTCTGAAAAAAATAATGAAAGTATCAGAAGCATTATAGTTTACAACACGTTAAAATATCAAAACGTTAATTTATTTAGATGCTACTGACAAGGAACGATGGTGCTTACCTATAATACTGCCTTGAAGTCGATAAAATACTGCCGATCACTGAAAATCCTACAACTACTTCATGTATCGTGTAGCCTCCTCCGTTAGTGTATCGTATTACTTCGCATGAATTGAGAAATAAATCACCGTAATGAATTATCGTTAATGTATTAGCACAGGGGTATGAAATTTCAAAGATTTTTCCACTTCCCCAGAACGCCGATGTTACGCAAGGTTTGATTGGCTGAGAGTGTCGATTATTCACTTCGGCATTACGTTGAGGGTTCTCATATTTTATAAAAGTTTCATGATTATATGCAATATTTAAAAATAATTAACATATTTAGAAATAACGACGCCATCTTGGAGTTCATGTTTTCACCACAATGCATTCTGGGTACATACGACAACGCAATGATCCAACAGCATAGAATGTTGAAAGGCCATTTTCCACTTATCGCATATATGCAAACTCAGTATGGTTTTTGCGATGAGTGGGTCATAATAAGTGAGAGTCTTTAGTGACAATATTGGCCGAAGTCGTTTATTTCTCAGTTCACTACGATTTAACTAAGGAAAATGATATGTAGGCGAAAACATGTTTTTTAAAACTAGGTAAACAAGACAAACTTTAAAAACTTTGTTAAGGTGTGCATACTAATAATTTATATTTCTTCATCGTCTTCAAGAGAGCGGAAATGACAATATAGTTAATAATACATGATGTATTTTGGTTCAAGATGACATCACTATATTATATATCGATTGCAATTTGCCGCATTGTTTTTGCCCGCGGTTACAGTTTTATAGCGCAATTCTTAGCGTAATACATTTTAGTTTACAAGTAACCGTGACCTTGTAACAATGCAATATATATGGATCTTCAACTTGTTGTTATTCCACGTAATTTGCCTTACACCCGCCGAATGAGCCGAAAAGAGGGAAACCTGTTTAGGGCTTGCGAGGTCTTACATGAGATCGTTGTCAAAATCATAATCCTCATCACCACTGTCACTCATTTTCTCCTCATCTGATACGGATGGTTCAGCTAAACACGTTCAAGATTATAAAAGGTCAATTGTTGGGTTTCAGCAGGTATTCTAATAAGTGATTTGAGGGAGGGTCAGCCTGTTTGATTTTGTTTCAACACTGATGTTGCACCAGAGTAAGCAAATGGTACTAAATTGCAAATCGCAAAGCCAACTGATTCAGTCACATGTCACATGAAACACACGTGACTTAAATAGTGATGTCCCGTGTAGCATGCAAGCAGCAATCAAATTTGTGGAGTGATTTGTTATATTTAGATATTACTTTTAGGGAAAGCATCCAGTCACATTCCAATCCCAATATAGTGACGAAACGATAGTAACAAAAGTGGGTGTCGTAATTATTTTAGGGCGTTTCGATAAATTTTTAATTTCGGCTTCTTTGATTGTTATTTCTTATGACCACTAACAGTCGAATAAGAATTGGATTGAAATTGAATTATCTTACACAATTAGCCCTAAATACTAAACTTATAACATACCAATTTTCCTCAGCTCTCGTTTCTTTCGTTTAAATTCCTACAACAAATGGTTTTTGTTACAATTTAATTAGTTTATGTTACAATTTTTAGCCAAATACTGTAGACAGGTTGCATAAATCTGCAAACTTATATTTTATTTGATTCGTTTATCTGCTTTTCACAAGATTCTATTTTTGCAACACACCGTTCAATCAAAGGAAGGGCCTTCTTACCTTTTTCTGTGATTTGTTTGTCTGTTGGTTGAATTCATTGTCTTCGCTAATCTTTCCTGATTTTGACTTAAGCTGTTCAGATGATTTGTTGGGAAGAACAACAGTCATATCATTATCCTATAAATACAATATGGGGACGAGTTAGTCAGAGATCCCCAAGAATGTGAAAGAAATTGTGACCGACTGTGTTTTCTCGAGGACCTCCGAGTTTTACCTGAAAAACTGAGAGTTTACGATGGATCAGATTTTTGACAATGAAACATCGACAATGTTAATCATGAAGTCCCCTGATTTATCTAATTTTCTTAGCCAATATTCAATTGACATAGCAGTATATTCACTGATGTTGACCGAGTCATCCTTTGGGGGATGGAAACCCCCCTTGGACATGTAAATCAGCCTCATTCGTCTCACCTTATCTCCATCTTCCATGTCTTCACATTCATCATCATCAGTGCCTTCCTCTTCCTCGGAATTATCCTGAAATGACCAGAGAGAGTTTTGAACCAGATACTTTTTGTTGGGCCCTCGCAGCGATTTAAGACTAAGCTGATATCGCATTGGCAGATTCCTGAAAGGTGTTTGAAGAACTATCCGAAAAACGAAACGTGTAATTTGAAAATAGAAATAAGCAAATCCGCAACTACTACAGCTTCTAAATGGTTATACTATAACTCATTGACCGTATAGTAGAAATACGAAAAAGAAACTGGAGAAGCTGGAAAAATGTTTTCCTGAACTGGCTGAAGTTAATTAAGACCAAATTCAAACATATGAATGATTTGAAACTAAATGAAAACTAACCATCTCTTCATCAAGGTGGACGTCAGAGGGCGTACTGGAGGTTAATATCAGCGCATTCTCGATTGACTGGGTCAATTCTTTCAAATCTACAACAGAATAATTAGACGACTACTAAAAGAGTGTCACTACCAACTGGGGCGGGGGTGCATAGTCATCTTTTGAAGAATACGCTTTTTTGCATAGTCATACAAGAGCTGGTATGGCTTCAGCCAATCCAAAATTGATATTCAAACTTCGTCTGTATATACTCCTTACACTAAGACACAAGTGTTATAGTTTCACTACAAACTTACTTTTCATTTCCTCACTTTCCTCTTTTTCCAAACTTCCCTGAAGAAAAAATAACGCAAAAATGAAGGCATTTATATAAAACTACCACAAAAGTGACACTCGCATGACTGTCCATTCTATATCGCGTTTTCCTTACCACGTCAAATTCTGTGCCCCATCTTTGAACAATTTCGGCAGATAAATGAGCGGGTAGATCATGCTGTTCAGGGGGGTGAGTATAAAACACAATCTTGCCACTGAAACACGAAAAAAGTAGTGAAGTCATGGTAAAAAGAGGAAACACCAATCTTTGGATCACGAATGTGCCTTCACTGCCTACGTTTGCAACAGTACCTGTTCCAATCACCAAGGACCGCTTTAGCAGCCGCATTAACGTCCGGAACACCGCCTTTTTTTAACTTTCCCATTTTCTTAGCAAGTTCACAGAGAAATTGTTGAGTGTCGTCATAGTCTGGAATACGGTATTTCTCCATCACCTGAAATTTCAAGAACGTAAAATCATACTCAATTTCGAGCTGCATTACACGTAGTACTGTAGCGATATATTGACTTTTTGTAATTTTGTATCTTATGCCCAGGTTATGCGTCGCATTTTGGTCGCATCGAATGCAATGAGGTTTATCATCTCATTATCTATTGTTTGAATTGCAATCGACGCGACCGAAATGCGACGTATAACCTAGGCCTTAATATGCAGTCTGTATTGTACGGTTGTACCTGTTTTTTGTTGCATCGTTTTAAGATTGTTTCAACCGGTGTGACAAGATCTCGAAGAGATTCAATCTGAAGGAGTTTATAAAGAAACATCATGATCATAATAGCACTAAATTTGGTTACACTTTTGGTACTTAGTGAATCGGACAGGGCTGGACGTTTAAAGGAACATTACGGTCCCAATAACCAACAGTGAAAATCTTAAGGGTGGATCCAACAGAAAAAATACCTTCACACAGTTTCTCAATATGATTGACCTATCCGACGACCCGGAATCCATCACGATTCCAGGGCTGTCCAATAACTTCACGTTCTTATCCAGCTGAACTTCTTGTACGTTTCTTAAAAGATAGAAACACAAGGTAAAGCAAACACCTCAAAGCATCAAAGAAATACTTTCAGAAGTAAATTATTTACTTCTCGCAATTTGAAATACACCATAGAGATTGGCATCAACTAGGCCAGCAATGACAAGAGTGAGGTGTCTGGAAAATTCTCTACTTTGAGTGAATGGAAAGTGCTAGTCAACCATATACTGATACTGTAGTTGTGCTAGCTGAGATTAGCAGTGACTTTTATTCGATTTAGAATCTGGTAAGGGCCGACTCAGTTTAGTTGTCCCAAAATTATGCAGTCCCTTCACCCTATATAATACATATACAGTAATACTGTAATTGAAAAAATGAAGAGAATTCATACTTGGTGACACCTGGAGTAGCTCCAACTGTACATGATCTTGATCGTTTTAAACTGTTTATCAAACTAATGAAATGTACAGTAAATAATTAAAGGTTAATAATGAACGCAAAACAACTTCTAGCACTCGCATATAACGTGACAAAATGATAATAAATTAATTCTTTCCAAGCAAAAAACGACACGATAAGACTATGCACCGAAATCTTAGCACCAACATACCTGCTCTTGCCAACATTGGGAAAACCTGAAAAGAGATAATGAAACATTAAATACATACTTAATATGGAGCAATATGGCCAATAGCCCATTACCTCGGCATCGCCAGCAATATAAAGATCAGCGTTACTAAAAGTCTGTTCACACGATCCAATTTTGTCGGACCCAATTCACTTCTGATGGATGTTTTATAGTCTGTTGACTTGCAATGTATGTCGGCAGCAAATCAACTAAAGCCATGCAGTACTGCTTTACCAATAACAAACTACATTCCATAAGTCAGAAGTGAATTGGATACGACAAAGTTGGATCGTGTGAACGGGCCTTAACATCATCACATGTATTTAAAATCCTTAATACTATATCAGTCATTACCCCAACACTATCATATTCATCATCACCACATGTACTGAAAATCCTCAGTACTATCAGCCATTATGAAAATATTCAACTATAAAAATATTTCAGTTCATACCCACAACCCCAACAGTTATTGCCGTTTTAATATTCTTATTTCGACAGTAATTTCCAAGCAGTTTCATGAGAGTACCAGCTCCCATGCATTGACTGGTTGACAGCAATCCATCAGAAGCCAAGGATGTTGGCACTTTACTTTGAGCCTAATCAAAAGAGCAAAAACAAATTAGCGAAAAGATACTTATATATAAACCTTGTGTATATTTGCTTCAAATAGGTTATAGAAATAACTTAATTGCGTTCGACAAAGGAGAACGCTTCCTAATCGTGACGTTACGACTGGATGTTATGTCGTTTTGAGATTTTTGTGTGGCATTTGCCTCGCTTTCGTGTTTTTGCGTTTGCTTCGCCCGCCGGATTTCGTGTGGCGTCTTAATTTAACGTGCTTTCCGTATTTTGTTGTTGTTTAGGAGTTGGGACCGGGCAATTGGGGCTTTCGTATTCGCCTGTTTCATTAGGAAGTTGTAGGAATTGTATAGATTATTTTGATTTCGAAGTGTTTGAAATATCAGTGAGGATTCTTATCAAAACATCAGGAATCTATCTTGCAGTGTTTTCACGATCAGAAATCTGATAACCAAACGCACTTGCTAATCTTTGATTACTTCTAGTAGTTTTACTTATTATAACCTTGAAGCGAGACCGGGTATCAGAGATTTGTCACTAGGTCTTCTTTACCATGGCGAGTGATTTGGGGGGGGGGGGGCAGGAATGCCCCTGAGCGCAAAGAATTTTGATATTCATAAATGTTACCATAACATGTTTCTGTAATATTTTACTTACTAAATGTTGCTTTTGTGTTTGTGTTGAAGCTTTAAATGCAATGGTTGGGAACTCGTTACGCAAGTGTTTCAGCCACTTGTCAACGATCGAAGTCGGTACAAGGTCTGAATGTAGATACACATAAAACCATTTAGTATATTTGACGATTAATAGTAAGCCATAAGACTACATTGGTCTGCTTATTACGGGACATTATCAGAAATATACACACAGCCATCCATACAGGGATATGACAAATAATTAATGTGAATTACCGCAAAAAAGTTGCTGCAAAATGGATAAAATATTTCTGAATATTATAATAAGTTTTCAATCCTACCTATTTTGTTTAAAACAAGAACAATTTTCTTATTACTACCAGCTGATAACACTGCTTCTTCAACCTAAAATTGCAGCACTGCAGATTATATTTTTGCAAGAATACAGACACAGCACGAGAACAGGGGTCGGTGGTACGAAAGCTGGATAGCGCTATCCAGGAAGTGTTTTAAATGGGTTTCTTTCAATCACTCTAAAATTTTCCGTTGTTCGGTATAACTTTGTCTTTGGTTAAACTTTAGTATTGATAGTCATCCAGCCTTGGTACAACCAGCTCCAGTACTTCAATCACATACTGATTATACTTCCAAACGATATTTACCTTGAAACACCTACAACCAAGCGGATCTCGAGCATCAAGAACTTCCAAAACAACATCAGAATTATCTACGACCTGCATCAATCATAAATAGGACGTATTTAGCCCCAAGTGCATAGGCACACCTAACTGATTATATCCCCACGTATCTTTATATAAAAATCTTTTTTATCCCATGAACAATAGCTAACTGAAACGTACTTCATGGACATTAGGTATAAAATAACTAATTGCAGGACAGAATTTAAATACGGTATGAACTTTATACATATTCCGATACATGTAGTAACCTTTTTAAACTCTTTGTAGTATGCTTTCCTTGATGTTTCTAAATAAAAGGTGAAGTACTCTCAGTTCAAGCCATCAAAGTGTCTAGTATTTAGCAATGTACTGTATGTATATCTGATATCTGGTGAGTATCTCAACCAATCAGATTGCAGAATAGCATATACAGTGCATAGTTATATTATTAAACATTTATTTAGTGATTATTTATAAGCCAGGCAAGTGATATTACCTATAGGAGCAGAATCATGTTTAGTAAGTTCTTCTGTCATCTTCTTGTGCACCATCTTAAAATAAATTGCAAAACTGGATGAACAGCAATATTGGTAGATGTGTTTACACCATTTTCATTGTACAATAGACATTATTCATAAACTTCATTGATGGAGTGCAAAAAATTGGAGTATCATGATTTATCACCAAGCCAGGAATGTGGCCAACAGGGGCCGGTTGTTAGGGCCATCTCTAAAAGCTTAATTGGGGTGCATATTCATATATTCTTCTTATGCTCAACTGATTTCTTTCTATATTAGCTATTGTTTCTATGGTTATAAGAATATGAATATATGCACCCCTCAATTAAGCTTCTACGATGGCTCGACGTGCCATTCACTGGATAGTGATTTTATATATACCAAGATAAACTTGGAAACTGCCCTTCAAGCTGTCTGTTATTAAAAAGTATTAAAACCTTTCTTTCAAATTCTTTGCCTCTTTTAATAGCATCTTGTTGAAGTGCTTGCAAATTTCTTTTCTTATTCACAACTTTCTCTCGTTTTGCTTTCCTTCTCTCTTTCTCCTCTTCTTGCTTAAAAAATAACAAGAGCTCTTGTAATGAAATGTTCTATGGTTAATTTAGGCTGCATTAGAGTGCCTGACTCTGGTGCCAACTGCACAACACAGTGCAGAAGAATGGCTCACACAGTGCTCAGCTTGGGGAGAAGGCCAGGCACTCAGCCTTATTCCACAAATCTAAAAAAATTTTTTGACAGTTTTGAGTACTTTTTGTTTTCTTCTTTCAACCTCTTCTAAGATCTTTTCTTTAAATGGACATAGATTTGGTACCCCAGGGTCCTTCTTGTGCTCTAAAAGGTATAATAATTGTGATCGCAGCATATATTTTACAATATTTTATTGAGGGTACCCCTGGGTATTTCTTCGTATTTTAATTTTGTATTTAATAATCTTTACCCAGGATAATCTTATCAGTATTTACATATACACCACTATCACTAATAGTCCTGCTTGATTAATGAATAAGAATACTATATTAAGTTATTAAAAGACTAAAAAGTATACTATATTTAAAAATGTTTGAAGTTAAAATCTAATAACTTACTGTTCTTTTTTGGGTTTAAACGGCTTTCTTTTCTTTGCTTGCGATCATGTTCTCGAACCTCAAGTCAAAGAAGAACTCTCAATTAGTACATTACAGATGAATTTTTTTCAGTACCGGTTTATTTATGGCAAACTCGACTTTTAGTGAAATAAAATCATAACCGAACAATCAATAACTGAAATGAATTTGATTTATATAAAAAATATGAAACTTGAAGAAATAATAATGGTTTGTAACCTTGTGATAGAATTAATGCTTTGTTTCCTAGGAACCATTAGCCATACAAATCTGGTAATATTTTGCTAAACCTTCCTCACTCCAGGAGCCAGTTGTTCAAGGCTAGGTTAGCACTAATCCTGGGTCAAATTTTAATCTACTGTTTTAGTTTAAGTGCTTCTGAACCACTGTTCATTTTAAAACGTTAGAAAATATCACGGAGCAATGAAGCTTTCCCTGCCAACCCAACTCTTAACAGTGAATGCCATATAGTCTTATAGATAAATGTACCTTGTGTTTCTTAATGCATGAATTGGACCTCCTAGAATAAACACTATTTTTAAAGAACGGGGCGATTCTATACTCTAAAATTGATCCTCTAACAAATCTTTAACATTATGCACTATTGGCAGGGTATTCTATAATTGTACTCACTTCTATTGAACAAGAAAATACTAATGGAAAAGATATGCAACTTTTTTAATTAAGCTATGAAAAAGATTGATGTGAAGATTTGCGTTAACCTTGGGTTAAGTTAAACGTCTTTTGAACAACTGGCCCCAGGTCTATAAATATTGCACCCCTTCTAAGCATCTAGTTTCACCCTCTCATCACATGTGACCAAAAAGAAAAACAATTGCAGAAACATCACAAGTGTTCACTGTTCATAGTGTTCACTGTGCCAATGTTCTGTAGTTTTCCCAGGGTTGAAAGTTTTCTAATGTGTCTGGGCAGTTAGTTGGCAAAGAAATGAAAGAATAACAAAAAACATATCAACAGCATTTTTTAAAATTATTGGTACCTTCTTTTCAATTTTCTTCTTCGTCTTGGTCGACATGCGCTTGCTTTGCTTTTCTAAAAGATATCGTAATTCTGCTGCAAATACATATTTCATTAATACACACAAAAATAATGAACCTATGATGAGTGCTAGGCTGCTAGCCCCCCTTTGGACGCACAAGTGACACAAACACTGATATAAACAGCGTACTGCATGATTTCATGGTAATGGTAATTCATTAAATTCACAACTTCATTGACTGTTGAACTACATATTAAAGAGTAATGTTTAGGGAGCATACAAGTAAAGTTTATGATATACGATACTTACTAGGGCGAACCATTGATATACTGGGATGAGAAAGCGAAAATTTAAACGATTTTTTACAGATTTATATTTCTAAACAGATCTATGATTTCACGTGTCTTTTGACCACTTTTGACTCTTTTCCTTGCGCTAAAAAATAACAAAATTTCTTTGGGCAACCGCTGATGTGCAAGTACTGTCAAGCAGATAAACACAAACCAAAACCACAGCCCAATGCACTTTTTTTGCGTTTAATGTTTTTACGTTTAATAGTGAAAACCCAGATTTTATTTTTCTTTGTAGATATCCTTTGAATTATTTTTTTTAAAAAAATTAAAGTTGGCTAAGACCATTTGAGGCAGATTAATTTTACCCAGCTCAGTGATTTTACCCCATCGGCTAAAGTGATAACCTCGTTCCCAGGAACGTCTTTTTTGCGAAATTTCCCGCGTTGTGAAAGTTCGCGAAAATTTAAAAATTTCAATTTTGATAACAATCAAAACACGCAAAGCATGTAGGAATTTAATGGAGAATACGATATCGATCATTCAATGCGAGGCTTTGTGTTTTATTGAATTTTGATCATATTCAGAATAAACGCCGAAGCTGCTCTAAGTTGAAAATACATAGTCTTATGCAAATATTCATTTTATCGGTTTCGGTTCGAATATATGTCCTCCCGTCCTATATGCCTTCCGGACAACATTTGTATTGAAATAAATAGTTTAATCCTAAATGGTAGTACCAGGACAAGAGTCAAGAGACAATCAACAGATTTGGTCCTAAGATTCGTAATCCGATTTATACGTCAATGTGCTTTCATACATACAGTGTGGAAAAACCTCCATGCACAGATATTTGTATTATAGTATATTTATGTATGATACAGAGTTTTGAACAGAATTTGAATACGTTTGACAAAGTTACAATATTTGAATAACTAATGATTAATGAATCATTAGACATGCTTTGTAAGCGAAGCTTGAAAATCTGGCTGTCGCTAGTATATTGCATTAATTAAATTCTTGTTAATGTGGACGACATATCCTCTATAGTTATCGAAATAATATATATCACATCAAGTGTTTCATGATGGAAAGTGATGCGGATTGCAGCATAATAAAAGCTGAAAATGGCAAAGAAATAAAATTTTCTGAAGCAACTACAGAGTTCAAATCAGGCGTAAAAATTTACACTTGGCGTTTGCAACCGGCAGATGTTAAAATAAGGTATGTTGACCAATGATGACGCCTTTTAATACGTAAAAGAACGGGGGAATCAACTGCTATTTCGAACTGTTATCTATGTGAAAATGCGTCATTTATTTTTACACCGAAGATTACAGTTACTGAGCTATAGTACATGTACATTGTTGTGAGTATTGTAATATTTTAATTCCAAGGGCAAGGAAGAAATATGGATACGTCATTCCTGCCATAAATAATACACAACGGAACAGGTCTATAAAAACGCAACCTAGGGATCCAAAGTATATACCGCAATAGAATTAAGTTGATAAATAACATTGTCAATTCAACATGCTTTCATGCCACAATTAGAAGCTATTTACAGTTCCTTCGAAAATAAACTCTTTTGTGCTCTGGGAACAACATGGCTAGTATACATGATCGGCATCAATGGCACTTGCGAACAGCTATTAAATTAGTATACTTTTATCTCTTTAGTATATTAACGATTCCCATTCAGAACCACTTCCAGCCTTACCGTTATATACATGCTGTTACAGCAATTATCTTTATAGATTAGGGGTCAGTGAGGTCACAATATGTTGTTCCTTGTAAGGTTTGCTAAATGGCTGGTTGATGGGTGCTGAATTATATACTAATGAATTGGTCAATATGATTATATGAATTCAATTAGTAACTGCAGGTATATTCTTTTTAGGGGGATAATATTTATTGCACATGGATATGCTGAACATTCTCGACGCTACAATAAGTTTGCAAAATGTTTGTGCTCAGAGTTGGATTTACTAGTTGTGAGCCATGATCATGGTAATTATAATCGTAAATTTTTTTAAAAATTATTTCATTTTATTTTATTTATCTTTTTATTATTTATTGCATGATCCTGGATGGTTTTGAACACAAAACATGTTATGATAATATAATATTTTTACACTCTTTATTTTTTCACACTATGTGCCATCTAATACACATTTAAAGATATTAACAAACTCATAAATCTAGAAATAGATTTTTAATAAATTATACAAAATCTTGCAGTTGGTCATGGGAGATCAGGAGGTGAACGGACAATGATTCAGACATTTGATACCTTCGTTTGTGATATATTCGCACATCTTGATGAAGTAAAAAGATTACATCCAGACCTTCCTATGTATTTATTTGGACATTCAATGGTAAGTAAATAATTAGGACAGCTACATTTTATTATACTATAGACTATAGTCTATACATATTGGCAGCAAAGCATTTTCATAGTGCTCTCATTTTGTGTAACCCACAATTAATCTCTTGTAATCTCCCTTATTCATAATTTGAAAGTGTTAATAGCAATAATGCAATTATATATTAAGGGTGGAACAATAGCAATCTTATCAGCATGCAGCAAGCCAGACTATTTCAAAGCAGTTGTTCTTAGTGCTCCTGCTATAATCATTGATCCTACTGTTCGTCCTGGGGCAATGACGGTAGGTATGCAGAAAACAGACTTAATTAACCTAATTAAGTGTTTACACTACTGTAAGGCCTGGCCAGTGGTCATGCAGGCATAGCTCTGATTAATTAACATACCCAAGGCTATATAGACTAACCCAAGGCTAGACAGCACTAGTTGATTTGAAATCCATTCTGATTGAAATTCTCTTTTTCGCTTTCCAGCTAGAAAATAACATATTATAGCTGAATTTGCAGAGATGCAGAATAGGCCAATCATAAATAATTGAATTCAAAAATAACTTATATAAGTGTAAATTACTTTTATACAACCAACCCCATCCTGACTTCTACATGCAGTTTCAGACTCTCTGAAATGTAAAAGGGAGAATTTGAGACCAGCTCCTCGTGGGCCTGTCTGTTCAGTAGATTTTGTGGACCTCGTTTTACGTTTTATAAATCTTAGGAATATTCTTCTAAGTTTTATTTTAAATTTAATTTATTGTGAATTTTAGGTGTTTTTTGGCAGGATGATGAATCGTCTTTTTCCCAGAATGGAGATCATTCCTCCGCTCGACCCCAATCTGATATCTTCCGACCCAGATCAAGTAAGAGAACGTTAAGCTTGTTTCAAAATCACCAAAATGACCTGAAAATTGAGTTTACCGGCGATGATCATAATCATACGTTTATACTGATCTGAGCTAGCCAGTACTAGCTAGGATGTCAATGTCAATGAATCAGGTGCGACGACGCATTTTTGCGAAAAAGACCACCGATAGCGATGAGAAAATAAACGTGTACCGTCTGGTAAACTGTCTCAGAGTGTTTTTTATTCGTATTTATATTGCTTTCAAGGTTGAATCCTATCGCACAGATCCCCTAATAAGCCATGGTGGCATGAAACTGAGATTTGCTACTGTGTTTGGCGATGCCATAGACGAGATTAAAAAGCGAATTCCATCAATTGATTGGCCTTTTTTGGTACTGCACGGTGAAGATGATAAAATAACATACATAGGTGGTTCCGACTTACTTGGGAAAGAGGCAAAAAGTGAAGATAAGGAAAGCAAGGTAAAGCCAAAGCTTAATTTTGCCGTATTAAAAAAGCTCGTTCACACCTATTGTCATACTCGTGTATTTTAGAAATTCTGTTATTATGGAGTGAAATTCGAAACTGAAAACTGAAACTGTTCAAGTTTTCTTAATCAATGGAGAGATTTTTTGTTAAAAATCATCAAGCCCATCTTAGAGTGGAATCATGCATGGGATCTTTACACGATTAAGCTCTATGACTACATGAGTTTGAGTGTGAGCTTTCAGAATACAGACGTCAACAGTCGCGCTATTTCATACTGTATACATACATACATGCATGCATAAATTACGTCAACGTAGACAGTAAGAATGTCCCAGTAAAGCCGAAGGTAGTTTGTTTTGATTACCCGACTAACTTATCGCATTTCATATTTTTCTACAGACATACAAAGGATTGAGACACGAAATGTTGAACGAAGTGAAAGAGGAGGCTGAAAAAGTTATGGCGGACATTGTGGAATGGTTAAGAAAAAGAATCGCAACTTAACAATGCTAGACATTTCTATGAATCACCGTAGCTACATATGAGAGTTGTATTCACAGACAATCAGGGTCAACATCAAACGGACTTGTAAGATAAATACGTTGTCATTTACCGTATCATAAATTGAGCTAAAAACCTATCATTTTGTAGTTTGTACCTATCCAAGTAATGTTATAAAGGTTACAAAAATGATGACCTATTTTGTGAGTGCAAAAAATAAAAAAGTCGTTTTCATAAACACCCAATTTTCGATACAGCACTGAATGATCTCCACTTAATCAAAAGCAACAAACTGACAGTCGCAAATGATAATTTATTTGTGTTTGATCACAAATCTATTCTGTTGAATTAAGATACCATAAACGCATGCATGCAATAGTGCAACACTAAAACAATCAACAATGTAATGTTCCAAACATGTCAATGATTCATTTTAACACATTAATATCAAGCAAAGCTAGAGAGTAAAACAATTCCTTGTTCATCTGAAGGATTCCCCACGATATCAACATACCACATATCTTGATTCAAGTACACTGTAAAAATTTACAAAGACAAAGTTCATACATATCTTTTTAATTCTGGATTTTAAGTCTGAAACGTTTTTCTACTAATGTACAAAACGACGCTATCCCTCATATGTATGACCTATGTGAAACGATTAGATGGTCCGTTTGTATTTTAACCCAGATATACCGGACGACTACGTCGCTATAGACGCTACGGCCTTAAGAATTTTCAAATCCTGCAGAATGATCCCGAAACGTCTACCATTTTCTCTGATAACCCCCTAGTTAAAATTGGAACGACTGAAATTGGCGACTCCCAACAAAATCCGGCCATTTCGCATTCGATCACAATGGATAGCGCAATAAGATAAAGCAATGGATAAGCAATACTATAGATCCAGCCCCGAAACATGGGCACTGTTTTCTACCTTTCAATGGGATCATCGCGGGAAAAAACAAATTGCGGCAATTAAAGTGCTTATTTCAAAACATTCATCCGAATCGATCACAGCGTTTTGGGAATTTAACCAAGAAACCAATCAGAACGTGCAGAAAACAGTATTAGATTTGATCCAAAAACGTGGACACTGTTTTCTACCGACCAAAAACGATCATTGGATAGAAAAACTAAATTACTGGGCCGATAAACTGAGCAATTCACTGTTGCAGATGCATGTACGCTAACGTACCTATTTTTCACAGTAAACAGCAACTGGTAGTCTGGTATATTGTTGACAAAATCCAAAAAATATATGATCCAAAGGGGGGCTCGGATCTTGTAAAAGCAAAACGACTGGTTTCACGTTTCGAGCTAAAGCTCTTCGTGAGAAGCTCAAACGTCGAGAATTTGTCAGGTGCTTGTGAAACCAATCATTCGTGTGATATTGTTGACATGCGCCTGCCTTTATGTGACAATTCAAAGTTTACTTTGAATTTTATATACCAAGCAAAACCTTCCAACATTCCACGAAAGATAGAATAGTAGACTACTATTCTATCTTTCGGGGAATGTTGGAAGGTTTTGCTTGATTAGTAGAAACGGATATGGAAATTTTTGCTGCTTAGTGTTAAATTTGAACAATTAGCCGACTCTAATTCCAAAAAATTAGTGACAGATCATGTTTTTCCTACAGGTTGCATAACATGTTAATCCTTCTAGCAAATTTTTTGCAGATGTTATTTTTGAGGCGATATTCACTATTCTTTTAGCCAATTATTTGAACACAAATTTGTACAGTCTACTTTAATGATCGTTTTCTCGAGATTCTTTAATTTCACGCTTTCCCTTAGCTTGTTAAAAATTGTATATTGTTACGTTTCGCTGCGCCAAGCCTAAGGAGATTACATTACCTCACCAAAAAAGTCGCGTTGTGTTCAGTTGAGATCACTGCACAGAACGGATAAAATATAAAGAACATTTGTGGTCGCTTTACTACATTGTTTGACGGTAGGGATGGATAGATATTGTATACGTGCTATTGCGGTGACGATGGTCATCTTCATGTCCATCGAAACACCTCAACAACAAGCAAACGCCTCTAAAGTTTCGGGCGTTTCCTACGCTCTGTGCAACAATTTTACACCACAAGGAGCTGTTCATTTTAAGATTATTGTTCAACCTAAGAACGAGCCCGGTGAATCAATCAAGCCTTCTATGTCGGCCACATTTGATGCAAGCGAGACGAAAGGCAAAGCTTCTTTGGCTGGATTTATTGATCCTGAGTTAGGCTTCGATTTTGTACAGGTTCAATCGAGTTCTATACAGTTACTTTGTCTTCAAGCACTAGTTGTTGACCTCACTATTTTCATCGATGGCGAAACTAAGTTTGAAACGTCAATCGTATCAAATATCGAATCAGAAAGCTGCGCGAGGGGCTCCCATAAGAAACTTGGTTGTAAGTTGAGTCCAATTTTCGCTTGCCCTGCAGCCATTAAAGCGGTGGTAAAGAAGAATATAATAAACAAAGATGCTAGAGCGAGGAAAGCTTTAGAATCAGGCAAACCACCAGTTTATGACATAACTCAAGATATGGTTGATGCGGCGTTCGCCATTACTGATGGCGCGACAGAAATTGCCCATAATGTTCTGGAAAAGCGCAAGCAATCGGGTCTTAAAATTTCCCAAAGTTTTAACTCCTTCAAGTCTTTCCTAAAAAAGATCGGTCCGGCCTTGAATAGCCTTGGTGAAGTGTCTTCTATATTAACCACATTTCTGACGCCTAATCCCTTTGATGAACTTGCAAACTTTATGAAGAATCAGTTTGACATTGTTCAAAATCAGATCAGGGAACTGAAAAGTGATATTAATAACCTTGAGAGGGTCGTCGAAAGTCAAAGCAACAAGCTTGCAATGACTGCTGCCTTGAGGAGCATTCGATTTCACATGCGTGGCTACCAGAAAATGATCGCATCTTTAAGCAAAGCACAAGTTTGCAAGAAAGAAGATCTTCTCGAGCAAAGCGAAGTAAAACTATTTATAGAAGAGACCCAGTTTCTGCAAGTGAGAAATTACCTCGAAGATCTTCTAGACGTCGACTTCGGCGGAGTACTGGAGGCTTCAACTGGTTTGCTGTTACCAATAATGAGGGCTTATTGCAATGACGAGCCGCGACGGGTGGAACGCTTTATGAAACACGTCGAATTATACGCGTACGGAGGGACACAAGCAATTTTTGCATTTTTTGATCTCTTTTGCGCAAAAAATGGGAAATCAAGCTGCCCGGATATTGAAAACGAAAAAATAGCTTGGCTGAAAAAACTGTATCGTTTTACAAAGAAAGCCGTTGTTTACACAAAGGCCGTACAAAATACTGAAAATAGGGTGAAGGGCTTAGGTATTGATATGGAAGATGATTTAAACAAGCTTAAAATGAATACAGAAGCATTTAATCCCCGAGATAATTCCCTCCTTTTCGACAAGATAAAAAGCTATATCCTACATAAATTAAACGATAAGCAGGACTGGCCTTACGTTTGCATACTAAGGCCACATTTGGATGCAGGAGAAATGTTTATTCTTGGTTTTGCGCAAATTGATAGTCCTATATACGGTACCACATTTAAACCATGGGCTTTGTTTCACAGAGGCAATGTCCAGTGGTCATCGTATAAACCCATAATGCCAGAAAATGGCTACACTAAAAAAAATTACAAAACCGATATGTCTGAAATTTGGCGACTAGTGAAAAGAAATGATGATGACGAGGCTTTTCTCAAGTATTCTTCATCCCAAAAAGGATATGTTATGAGGCCTTGGCAGCTTGCAAATGTGCCGCCGACATCTGGATCCGGTGATCGTATGATGTATTTTATGTTCAATCCAATGAATCATCATCAAAATACCGGAACAATGAAAGTTGTTGCACATATTGTCCCCATTGATGTGTACTTCATAAAGAAAAAAGCTTTGAAAGAAATGTCTATACAGCGCAATCCCGTTATAGGTTGTTGGAGAGCTAGCAAATCATCTAATCCGAAAACTGGATGGAGTTTTGAATATCAATGCGAAGCCCCAGACCCCGAACATCCAAACAAAAGGGAGCCTGAAAAAGAGCGCTATGCAGCTATAATTGGTGAATAAGAACCACTAAAATGTAATACCTTACTTAAAATGTATGTATGATGAAATTTGCTTCGGGATAAAGTATTCGAAAAAATGTACATGATACATTTACTGTAGTAAGAGGTTATCTTTAGGTTCAAATAAAGTTTCGTATGAATAATCCTGATGAGATAATTGCGACTAGATTTCAACAGCCGACAGGGTAGGGCTAGAGTTGAAATAGGGGATTAACTAAGTTTCGGAATTCATTATACGAAATTTCAGTCTAAATTTGCGTTGTAAAAGTACATGGTTTAAATTTGTTGGAGGCTGAAAAAGTTATGGCGGACATTGTGGAATGGTTAAGAAAAAGAATTGCAACTTAACAAATCGTGACATTTCTATGAATCACTGTAGCTACATATGAGACTTGTATTCACAGGCAATCAGGGTCAACATCAAACGCATTTATTTGCAGGACGTGTAAGATAAATACGTTGTCATTTACCGTATCATGAATTGAGCTAAAAACCTATAATTTTGTAGTTTGTACCTATCCAAGTAACGTCATAAGGGTTACAAAAATGATGACCTATTTTGTGAGTGCAAAAAACACATGTCGTTTTCATAAACACCCAATTTTCGCTACAGCACTGAATGATCTCCACTTAATCAAAAGCAATAAACTGACAGTCGCAAATGATAATTTATTTGTGTTTGATCACAAATCTATTCTGTTGAAGCTACCATAAACGCATGCAATAGTGCAATACTAAAACAATCTACAATGTCAACGTTCCAAACATGTCAATGATTCATTTTAACACATTGGTATCAAGCAAAGCTAGAGAGTAAAACAATTCCTTGTTCATCTGAAGGATTCCCCACGATATCGACATACCACATATCTTGATTCAAGTACACTGTAAAAATTTACAAAGAGAAAGTTCATACATATCTTTTTAATTCTGGATTTCAAGTCTGAAACGTTTTTCTATTAATGTGCAAAACAATGCTATCCCTCATAGTATAACCTATGTAAAACGGTTAGATGGTCCGTTTGTATTTTAACCCAGATATGCCGGTGATGATTTAGATGTTTTAGGATAGACGCTACGGCTTTTTTATTGCTCACAACGGAAAATTAATGTTTTAGATCTCCAAGGGGAAGAGCTATTTCTGCAAGGAATACTGTCTAGACCTCTTGCCAGGGTAGATTTTCACCTTTTTTCCTTTTGGCAATAAATTAAGGTGCTATTTATGTACTTTTGATGAGTTTTATTGATTATTTTACTGCTTGCTTTGCTTATTTTACCACAGGCACAGATACTTACAGACTTCGCCTTTGTTTAAAGTTACATTGAAACTGGAACAGGTTGTGTTACATTCTGCTATGGGATTTATTTCCATGTCAGATGAACCAGTCACTTGAGCAACCCAAGAATTAGCATATTGACCTGTGGGCTGTAATCATAACACAAAAGTTAATGTAGGTAGTAGTTAATGTAGAAAATGTAGGCCTACAAAATGTACAAAAATTTTTTTCAAATTTTTATGAGCGCAGGTTAGTTAGAAATTTAGACTTGGTTAAACATTAACCAGATGTACATACTATTGGAAGAATCTCTTCATTGTTATTAATCATCATCAGATATTTTTCTAAAGCTCCTTCAGTCTCCACAAAATATGGCCTAGGCAGGTATTTCCGAAGAGCCCGAAGACCTTCACCATAACACACTTTCCTTTAACATAGAAAGGAAAAACAAGGCTAAATGATATTAGACCAATGTAGTATTTTACTAATGCTACATGTCAGTAGAAAATGGAATCAGTTTTGAAATGGAATAACTACCATCTTATATTTGGCGTTTCAGGACCCAATTTCTCTAGTAACTTGAAGTAATCTTCAATGGAGTCAACATTTTCATCAAGAGATGACACTTCACACATATCTGTATCCAAGAGGTCTTTATGATCCAAATAATAGTCATAAAAGTTTTCTATTGTGTATTCTCTTGCTACATATGGTTGAACATCAGTGATAATGGTTGGATTGCCCCAAGGAACATAATCTTCATTAAAATTGGTCACATTTTCCACCCTTAATACACTTTTTGCATCTTCACATATGCTGCAATCCGGTTCATCTGGAAGGTAATGATGACAATTAATCTCAAGAAGACTCTGGTACTTGATTTAGATAAATTGCTTAGTGACATTTACCTGGTACAAACCATGGATTATTGATCAAGCATTCAGCCATTGAGTATGACTGAATATCAAAGAATCGATGCAATGGCAATACCATATGACGCCATCTTCTTAAAACAGGGTAGTTTAAGTCACCAACGACTTTATTCACATACACTTCAAATGGAAGGTAATTATTGTAGACTGTTACACATCCAAGTGCGGCAATCATAACAACAAGTGTCATCGCACCACATACTTTTAGGCCGTACTTGCAACAACCTTGTCTTGCAGGTTTCTCTGGCACCTGCTCATCAGAAAATTCATCTGGAATGTTTCCATTTTTATCTAAATACAACAAAATTGCAAATCAGATTCTGTTTAAAAAAGATCTGTTTATAGAAAACATTGACATGTTTTCATTGTAAAATCATGTCTTTGAGCATGTTTTTAGAGCATGTTTATAGCGTGTACAACAACCTGCTATGGCTTTCATAATTGCTTCCTCGATTTGATGTTTTTCCAGTTCCCAGCTGTAACCAAGTTTCTTAAGGTTTTCAACCTCCTCACGTAGGAAATCCATACTATAATTTGACACTGCGGTTTTATAAAGTTTTTAAAAGATCAAAAAATCGATTTATTCTTCCGATATTCAACCTATTGTCTTGTAAATTATTCACAGAAGACGATTCAGAAAACGGTGATTCATCATTTCAAAATGCGCCCTCGCACATTTAGCTCGTACTGATCGGATACTTCAAGTAGCAAAACCTAGCATAATTGGTCATTTGGTCTTCTCACTCTTTTGGTCAAAATGGCCAAAACAAGTGAAACAACACATTTTCCTCGTCATCCACTTTAAGTTTCACTTCACTTCACAGTCTACACTCAATTGTGATTTAAGAAAAGTGACTGTATTTCAACCCTACATTAATACTTGGTACACAAATATTTTATCTCCGTGACTGAGGTTTGATTCCAGTATTTAAATGCTCTTGTATGTTTGCATGGTGACATCAATAAGTGATTAGCTTGTAGGTTAGTAGTTACACCACGTAAGTCTTTAATGCTGCAAAGCTTTCGTCAATGCAATATAAATATTTATTAATATTTATTTTTATTTTATTAATATTTATGGTACTGATGAAGGCCCGGGTTAATGAACTGAAAGATTTGCAGTATTAAAGACTTACGTGGCGTACCTACAAGCTAATTTGATTATTAGCCTGTTTAACAGACTACCGTACACCAACGACGCATGGAAAATGCCTTTATTTCGGGATGTAAGCGTTTTTCAACAATCGACTTCCTGAGCAATTCCATCGCAGAATTTCTATTTAATATTACACAAAAGTACAAAATATTGACAAAAATAATCTATATACAAGGTGAATAGACACATTTACAAATTTCCATAGATCATGTAAAGCAACGTTTTCGTTTCATAGCGGGTTAAGCGTTTGAATAAACGCCTTCACTGCATGACAGCGAGTCGAGTGTCAATTTAGTAAATCAAATGGGTTGTGCAAGCAGCAAACGCAGGTGTATATTTGATAAAGCAGAGATGCAGGTGCTAATGTCATGATTCTCTCTAAATTTTCTGCATGATTTTTGTAATTTGTGAGAAACGTTTTAAACTGCAACTAATGAATTTATTTTGACTGCGAAAGACTTAAAATTTTAAAAATAACTTATTGCCTGCATTAAAAAGAACGCTAACAATATTATAGTTTCCACGTTTAGGTTTAGGATCGCACTATCTAGTTTTCTTGTCTTCTTATTAAGAGATTTCCCATAAAAGGAACACGTTTTAATACACAATTACAACAAAGGATACCGCCGTCTATCTTCTGCGACGACCCCTACAAGAAAATACAGCGGATATATTAAAATTTTGGGGCAAGGAACGACACGTAGCCGAGTATTAGGGACCTTAAGCATGTAAGACGGCAACAACGGCGACGTGGCTGGAATACTCCTTTAAATTATTATGGTAAAGCGTTCTTCTATATTATCAACTGTACCAATTTAATGAGATAAAAGACGTTGAAAACATTGTTTTTACGTTTAGGGAAATTCTTTAGGGCTAATTCGAGGAAGCGCTCACTGGGTCCTGAAATGCAGACGTTCTACATAGGACGTAATAAACGACGTTTTGCCGATGTAAACAGAACGTAGATCACGTCTAAACCTCCCATAGGTATTTAATAATTCATTTCTTTTCAATGAATCATTGTATAGATAGCTGCCGTCGTCGTGTTTCGTCCTACATGCTCAAGGTCCCTATTAACTCCAATCTGGCTGCGTCGAAAAAATAACTAAGGGGAGTGTGGTTTCCCCTGGTACTGATATGAACTGTGTCTGTTTATTGAACAAACGTAGGAATGAGGGTAAGCAATCAATTTTCGGCGAGAAATGTTATACAAAGGTGTTGGTATTTCAGGCATCTGGTATCTCCAATTAAATAATGTACGTACCTCGACATTTATAAATATTATTAGGGAATATCAATCTTACCACAAAAACCTGAGCACGTCTCATGATCACAAATGACCCAGTGAAATCACACAACTCCTTACACTCAGCGCAGTACGTTTCCGATTCAATATCCTGTAAAAAACAAAATATGCACTGATATAAAACTTTACTTCTGGTAAAGCCCCTGATAAAGAAAACTTGCGAAAGAGAAGTAGGGACGTTTTGAGATCACAAGCAATGCCAGTGGCGTACGGGATATGATATATTTTGGGGGGGGGGGCACATATTCATATATTCATGTTAACAGACCTGTAAAGACAATGGATTTGAAAAAAATTAATCTTGCACAACATGAATATATGAATATGTGCCCCCCAATTATCATTTCCCGTACGCCACTGGGCGAAGGGCGATCTTTTTTATTCACGATCATTTTCCTCAATGTTTGATCGCGGGTCAATAAACACTGATAGGCAGATTTAGGATTGAGGACAGGAACGTCAAGCTGGCACACGGAGTCAGGCATTTCTTAACCTGCGCCTGCCCGATCCCCACCTGTCTGCCCGTTACTCATTTTAATACTTCTTACACGAAAGTCTCAACGGAGGAGAGTGTTCCCGCCTCCTCTATCTGTACGTCTGTCTCGTCTATTTAACATGGATACTCACCGCCCAGGATACTCACCGGTACATTTTGGAGAACCTCGCATGATACAAGTAAATCCTGCAAAGGATCATAAATGGACGTTATTCTCCCGAAAGGACAGTGGCGACCCTTGCCTCCCGCCTCAAATTTTGTTGTCTGCCCCCCATTTGACCCCAGAAATTTTCATGTCACGTAGATAAGTAGTTTTATGCGATATTTGCTCCACTTATATATAATACGATCTTGCCCCCTCCCAAACATTTCTTTGACCCTCAATTGCCCCTCATTTATTTTAACCTGGCGACTGAAGGAGGGCCTATAGTTTACATGTTCTAGTGGTTTTTTGTGAGGTAATCGCATCTTCTTGTAGAAAAGATAAAAATTAATTATTACCGTTCTTAGAGACAAAATGTTGCATAACAACGTTGAACATTGTAGACGAAATTTTGCACGAGTGACGGCCACGTAAAGTAGATTCTTTTCATCAGTTGAAGCACCACCTTTTGGGATAGAAAATAGTTATATAAACTATCAAGACAGACCACTATGGTTAGTGACAGAAGTGGCCAATCGGAGTCGTTTTAAAGTTTACCATTATTACGGCCGGCCCTAACCACACATGTAAGTAACCATCCTTAATAGTAATTTTCTTCTTACACTACATTTAAACTTACTTACTTAGTTCATCTATTGGCAAATCTTGTAGAAAGTCCTCCCCTATTCTCACAGTATCAAACTCCAAACCTTTTGACTTGTGGGCTGTGCTAAACACGATCTCTAAAATGTTTCCAAATTTTGTGTTAGGGTTAAGTAAGGACACTTATGGATACTTGGGTTGTAGGTAGATAATGAAAATCACCTCAACCAAAGAATGTTTCTGTTGTATTAATATAAAAAATTTTGTAATTACAGTACCTGCTTGGTCAATATCTTTGCAGTACTGGTTTTTAATTCTGGCCACGTAATTTGGAATATTTATGTGGTGTGTTTCCACAATCTTAAAAACACAAATGTAAAGAAAGTCAAGATAGTTGAAGATGTTTTGAAGATGACAAGTTATCAAGATTTGGACACGTTTCCAGGTTCGCATTTTACAAAAATAGGAATCGCGAGTGCAAATGCACCTGTAATATGCCCCGTGCACCACAGGATAGGTACGGGAATTGGGTATCTTAAAATTGCCTACCTTGATTTTACCGGCCAACTCAACATCGGGGGCTTTACGAGCATAGTTTTTTAATTCGACAAAAGAACGAAATCTTTGAATAAACCTGTCCTTTATCCCGTCTTGAAAAGTAAAAAATAGAATAAACTTGATTTGGTTATTCCTTGACAATAATGATTGTCTAAAAGTCAATTATGAAGAGTGTGGATAGTCTAATTTATTGGAACAGGCTGGTGAATCAATTATGTGCAGGGAGAGCAAAATATGGGGATAACAACCAATTTCTTCACACATATACTCTGCGAGCTTTTTAGCACTAAAATGCTTTGTATAAGACATATGTAGAATGCGTACTTATCATAAATACAAGCCCCAAATTTTTTCATGCCGTGTGCCTTATAAATGCACCATTTTCAATTTGCCCATTATTTCTATATGGCATAAAATTACGCCATAGAAATGAACTTAACAATACTATAGAAGGGCAGTGAAGGGCAGATAAGGAGAAGGGCAGTGACATGCAGGCAGCATTTGTTTTCCTCTTTATGTTGTATAAACTACAAACCTCTCGCAGCTCCACTATACAGGATATGGATATCAAGAATACGTTCCAGGTTATAACCTTGGATACCCTATCATGATATAAGAGAATAGAGAGACGGAGATCAGTTTATTAAAATGAAAGAGCAAAATAGAGGATGTTTCCAGAACCTTGAGATGAAAATATCTTAGAAACTAAATACGCGAAATGCATGAACAGAGCTTTTGTTAAACAATATATATAGAATTTGGTATTGGCCCTTTGAGACAAAATGTATGCAATGTCAAATGTAAATGATGTAATGTCAAACGTGCGTAGAGGATATCCAATAAATAACATTTAAGACGACAATGAAATCATGGATTGAAGTTATTTATATTCATGATTACTTTGGTAGGGTGGAAATGCTTACCCCTGCAAAGCTAATTCTTGTTTTGTTGTTTCTTGTACATACAAGGACTGCATTGTTGAACAATGAAAAGTTGGTACGACAAATTATGGCAATTTGACCAACGTGTTCACCATGAAAGCTACCTGGAAAAAAAAGAATATAATAGGTTCTTGCTCAAAATGTATTCATTCTTGAACTTGCTGAGATCACATATAATTGCTAAAAACAAATTACTTTAGATCATTCTTACTGAACATTCATGTCCCAGAAGTGCCATGCATGTAAATTGATAAAATTATGTTATATCGACTTTAATTCTCCATCGTGTAAGGATGATATTAGAGACCTTAAGATTGACGTTAACGGCAAACCACAGCTTAGTCCAAGTTTCATGCTTAAATTTTCATGGTCAAGATTTCCGACTTCAAGACAGGCAGCTAGTTATCAATAGACCTTTTTCATAATGACGTCAAACGCGGAAAGTCTGATGTTACACGAAGTTTGATTGGCTCGATAGTTTTGCAGAGCCAATCAAATTTCGTATCAAATCAGACTTTCCGCGTTTGACGTCATTATAAGAAAGGTCTATTGAGGAATACGGATTTTAATTTGCCGTTTGGAACCCCTAGAATACAGCAATAATAGGTTGTTCCTCTCTTACTGCCTACCTGGTTTGGAAACTCCGACAATATTCTTGCTGCGTACACCTTTTAAAATATCCAACAAAGAGGAAGCTACTGAAGCAATCTCTGAACCAAACCTAAAAGACTATAAGAGAGTTGTGTTAAAATTTCAAAGTTAAAATTGTATGTATAGGCTGAATTCTCCCAAAAAGTACCTGTGTTAGGTAATAAACATGAGTTGCCTCAACCTGAGACATGGAATTTGTTGCTCCTCGGAAACCATATATCTGTTGATGTGGATCACCAACAAGAATCTTGGCAACTTTTTGACTGAGTAAAATATCAGCGACAGCTACAGTATGGAGAAGAAAGTAAAATTTTAAGGATCCACAAAAAAGATGCTTGTGCAGATAATCAGGGCAATTCCAATCACGTGTATTGTTGATGTTTTAAAAAAAAGTCAATAACCCATTTTCAGCGAAGGAACAGGCGCATAAAACAATATTTCAGTATAAACCAACTTTAGCATGAGACGGTGAGATCCCCTCCCTTTAATGTTAATAGAAATAAAACAAGATATTTTCTTGAGTACCTGGGGTGCAATCCTGTGCTTCGTCCACTAAAATGCAGTCGTAATCATCTAGAGCCGGTTTAGACAATTGATATAATTTCAAATATCCTAAACGAAAAGTCACCAATATATACTAAGCATCACATACTGTTGCATATTCGCAAAAAAGACGTTTAGTAAAGATGATAAGGAAATTCCTTGGCACATGAGATTTTACTTCGAGTCCAAATAAATACAAGAATGTCCCTATAACACTAGAGCAATTCTACACTGCATGGACCCTGGACAGTTTATACAGTTACATACGTAAAATATAAAGAATTAGTATAAATGCACTGGAATAATGTTCCAGCGCATTTTTTTCTCTTAGTAGGTGACGCGAAATATTTGGTGCACAAATGGTAGGTATCACACAGCAGCAATTACGCTTACCATCGTGAGTAATCCTTACATCACGGTTTGCGGGATCAGACATTCTCTCCCATATTTCTTTGCAGTCGCGCACAACAATCTAAACAATGGCCCAAAGGGAAAGTAAACCTAATATATGACCATTTCGAAGGGTTGGGGGGGGGGGGGTTTGGAATGAGGGGTACTAACGCAAAAATACACTTTACAAATAGTAATGACACATTTCCAAAACCTTCGAAATAATATTATATATATGTACTCATCATGTGAAAACCATGTCAGGTAAATAGTTTTAATTTAATTTGCACGTATTAATCAATTAGTTAAGGGCACATTGCCATTATTGCCCAGTTCCCCCTATCACGCGGCCCTGGCAAATGCGTTCTATTAAACAGGAAACATGAATCATTTTGCTGCCAGTGTCTACATGATAGTATTATGTTTCGTTTCGATTCGCCTGAAAGTGTGCAAATGTCCTTGATTGAAAAGGGAGGGCTTCAAAACTCCTCTGAAGTCCTCTCAAGACTCCTTCGAATTTGTTGAACGTATATCTTTAACTTTGTCTTTTTCCGAGGAATTTATTAAGATAGCTGCTATCCGTATCCATATTACCTTTTTGTATTCATCACTATTAAAATATTCCAGCTTTTTCCGATCTCCATCACTTTCTTGTGAACTAATATCTTTGTATGGTACATGCTCTGAACTCACAAGTTCATCATAAGAGCATATGAAGTTTGTGAGCGTGTCGACTATCCGTTTAGCGTGAAGAAAATTCGAGCTTTTGTCGCCAAGGCTATCCATTATGTTGTTTACACGAAGACTAGAGGCCATTTTTCCACGAAATCTTAAAAAATATTGCATACATGCAATGATTTCTCTGATAGTTCGTGTGATGTGTACCAGTGATCTTAAAGTCACCAGGCTGAATAGACCTTTCTCATAATGCCGTCAAACGCGAAAGGCCTAATGATTGGCTCGTTAGTTATCTGGAGCCAACACTTTCACTTACTTGTAACCCACAGCTCGGTACGCCAGAGAGTGAACCGTGCGCGATTCCACATTTTGAGGAAATTTCCTGACAGCTTGCTCTTGCACGGATCTATAGAGCATGGAAAACAGAAAAAGATTTTAAAAACAGTTTTATTGTTGATATTCGAAATAGAGGGAAGGACTGGTGTTTCCATACGAAGGTCACGCACAAATGTCGCAGAGTAGCATGTAAAGTCAGAGATATAAAAAATTCTAAAGAAATTACAAAGAAGACATAACATTTTCTGATTTTCCGAACTTCGACTCTACATAAGATCGATAAACATGAAACTAACTTGTTGTAAGCGACATTTAAAAAGTTCCAACTTGGACGAAGCTTGGTATACTCAACAAGTGTTGTAGTTTTTCCCGTGCCTACAAATGATTATATAAAATAAACTCGTCAGTCACATTACATGGTAACGTGTTATAGTCCCTATTTAACCAGGGAGCGTGGTAGCGGCGTCTTCTAACAACTTCGCAAAAAGTGATGTATAACAAATAACTGCATACAAAACGTCTCAACGTTTCGATCTACAGAAAAGGGTCTTCTTCAGGAATGTTTTTGTAAATATTAGGCAGTTGTTTTCTGAACATTGTTTAATCCACATATACCGCTCACCAATGAATTAAGATCTAAATGATTTTGTTAAACGTATGTAGACATTATGTATGCACATATACATTATGTATGTACATAGCCCAGTGATAATTTAGCCATGTCAAATCTTCCACTGTCTCAAAACCTTTTTTCTACTGAAATACAGGAGCTTATATATATGGTTCCCGTATTTATTCTGGCCTATATATATTACTGTAATGCGCTATTCTAGGTCCTGACAAACGGTAGACTCTTATAGAGACACATTTTCCAGACTGGGCAATGACTTAATGTTCAATGAATTTTATCTTATATTACCAGCAAACGCCACAATCTTCAAAACATCTCCATATTTCGTGTTGTGATTCATAATACGAACTTGCTCGTGCGTCAACCAAGTCTTATCAGACGACTCTCTAAAATTAATTCATATAAGGTCAAAAGTTAATTTTAAAATTCTGCACTGGTTATAATCATTACCACACTACCCAAAATATAATACGTAAATTTTTGGCAGTTTAGTGCCATAGTAACGGCGAGAGCAACGAATACAATTTACAATGTCTTTCACGAGTATGGGCTAAAAAATTTTAGGGCGTTTCTGGGGCACGCTTCCCGGAAAAAGTTTGAAATTACGACTCTCGGAAACACATTTTCTGGTACTATTATTGATAAAATATAGCTAGTGTATACACTTTTACAAACCTGTATTTCAGGATACATTGTTGTCCAGATTTATTGGCACTGTATGCAGATTGTAATGATGTCTGTGTGCAGTTGGAAGTGTTTTCATGAAGATAAAGTGCATAGTAGATTCGGTAATGGTGACTGGAAATAGAACACAATACCATCAACAACGACTAATGATCTTTGTAAAGTTCACATGAACTGCTTAGAAAATCTTTGGTTTGTGCTTTAATCTGAACTTAGAACAAACTACATACCTGTCATAGATTAGTGAGTGTTCTGACAAACAATCATATGATTATGTGCATAGAAATTAACACCTTGTAAGGTGGTCAACCATGAATATACAAAAGCATGATTTTATAACATTTATCAACTGAACAAAACATCTAATAAACAAATACTTTTATAATCTACCTGCAAAAATAATCTGGCTGCTTTTCCATTAAAACAAAGAAAATTAAAGCAAGGCAATGAAGGCATTCCAGAATATCATACAAGAGACAAGTGGATGACTTTAATTGACATGCTATAATTTCTTGAATGTCATATACCGAGTTAGACACCAGTGATAGCAAACCAACAACAGACCAACAGCAATCAGCCTGACAAAACAAATTGTGTGTAATTAGATTTCACAAATCTAGAATTCACCTACTGTAGAGTTAAAAAGAAATTATTGCTGTATTACTTGAATTATAAATAAATTATTATTGGAATGTCAGTTATCACAGCCATAGCTATGCCTGACTGATTTCTTTTGTACACATCCTATTGTTCTTATGTTGTAATAAACATGAATATCAGAATATACACCCCTCAGCCAATTAAGTGGCTTACTATGGCCCTGTCAGTTAATTAATATGTAACTTGTAATCCTATTTATTAAATGCAAAATGCTTGCCTGCTTATCATCCAAAATAAATTTTTCAATGAGATGGTACTTTGTATGTAAGCGTAACATATCCAACAGATTTGAATGATCTTCACGAACAACACGAAACCTTGTCAAAAATCTGAAACAGATGAGATCAGTATTCCTGGATTGTTGTATATTAAAATAACCACAATATCATTTGTGTAATATGTTATAAATATACAAGCAAATTGCTATATTCATTACTCCAATTCGCAAGAACTGACAATACAAGTTTGATCTAGTAGACAACCCCAATACCTGCACAAGTTAGTTGGAAATACTTGGGGAACATGTAGTTGCTCTTGAATGATTATTTTATCTATTTCTTCTCTGCTTTCAAAAAATTGTTTGTAGCGGTAATATCTCTTCTTCCAAAGTAAAAATTTTTCACAGGAAATAATTCTATGCCACCTCTTGCAAACAAGAGATAAATTCATTAACAAGTCAACCAATGGTAGTTGACAGAATATGTTCTCTAAAATTTCATCTGGCAGTTTATCGAAGTATGATTTCAATTGATAATTTTGCATTTCTTCATCAAAACATAACCCTAATTCTTCTTCATCAGAGCTTGATATACCAAAAAGACCAAACATATTGGGGGAATGGCAGCTAGAGTTTTTAGAACTTTTTGTGTTTTTTTGTTTTAACTTTTCTTGACTAAAAGACAGCTCTGCTTTCTCGCAGCATTCAATGATCTCAGCATCATGTTCTGTTTCGTCAAGCTCTGCACTATTAGAAACCTGGGATATAAAGTTGGTATCATGATTTGGATTTGAGTTGATGTGGTCATCCCTATGTTTCAAATTTTCCTGGCTCATAGCCATAGACTCTGCCTTCTCACAACATTCAATAGCTACTAGTTCCAAGTCCCTTTCCTCGCAGCTGGAAATGTCCCCTAATGTTTCTGTTCGAGTTACATCGATAATATCATTTGCACTTGACATAACATTATCATAATTTCTGTATTTTGACCTTTTGTGGCTCAAAGACAGTTCAGATTTCTTACAATCCATCTTCGTTATTTTGAAAGAATTCGGATAACTGGTTTTATCAAAAGGCACAAGAAGTGTCTGTTTTTTCCTAGGTGATATCTTACCGGGACTTTCACCAGAACGCAATTTATGCTGTGATTCGTTTATATTTTTGCGGTCCTTTTCACGCAAAAAAAATGATTCGATTGACTTCTGTGAATCATCCAGTTCACTAAATGTACGCTTCTTACGTGTACTACCTCTCCTAGTCATTTCCACAATACATTTCTAGAAGTTCCAGATGAAGAAAATGAAAATTTATCGACTATGTTTGAATCGATTTGAATTGGATTTGAATTTGATGAAAATCATGAAACTTGAGATCATCGCATGAGCCCGTGGGGACTACTGATCAGAACTGATCAGCGCTTTTAATTTCTTTCCTATTGTACTTGATGTATTTCTCAGTGTCCAAGGCAGAGATAAAATTATAGCTCACCAGGAGCTCACCTACTGTAAAACACAGAGGGCATAAAAAATGTAAATTCTGTGGCGGATCAGAGACAGAGGTACCTGGCAATCTGAACGATATTAAATAATCTGTGTCTCTGTGATACTATGATAGTACCAGAAAATATGGAAGCGAAAATATCAGATCATGCAATGCAATGTCGCTTAAATAAAATTACTGAAATTTCTGATGTACTTAATGAGTGTAACAAAATAATAGATAACCTTTCAGAAAGACTGCATTGGGACAAAAAGCATCTACTTTCCCAGGTATTATTCTTTTAATCTTGATGCTTACTTGGAAATTTCATGGGGGGTGGGGTAGTGGAGTTTGGGGACACATCCACATTTTCATATGGATGGATATATTCTAGAAATCAGGGTAGCAAGACCAGTGAACTGTAATATCAAAAAAACATAGAAAAACTACCTTCAAATTTGGCTTTAAAGATGACAGCCTAGTTAGCATTCCAGGTTTTATTGTATATTTCACTTAGCAGGACATAATCGAGGCTTATTGCACATTGCCCATTTTGCTATTCCCCTTGATGTGGTACCACTGGATTTAGTCACCTAATTAGCTTGTGACAAAAGTAATAAAAAAGATGCCACCCATGTGATTATAGTACTTTTTTGAGTAATCCATTCAAATAAATTCTTACAGAACATAACAAGAGCACAGTGCCCATTTAATACTCATCATGTGGTTAAAGTGGGTGATTTGGACCAACACAAACACAAATGTTATTTAAAGAAGATAGGTTTTACTCCATTTGAGGTAAAATTTTTTCTATTTTTGTTGTCTGATGCATAAGGTTCTAATAAAATTCAATTAGTGAGAACTCAGGATTTTTAAATTGTGTGTTCTTTTATTATCTTCAGAGTTCATCTGCATTCTATAGTAATGACAAATCTTTAGTTGTTTCAATTACTGCTGATGATATGAGTAAGTAATATGAATTTACAACAAATGGTCACAAAATTGTTTCACTGGTTATCAATCTGTATCATTATCTAAGAATGCTTTTGATTTATATTGTTTTTAACAGCAGACAGCAATCAGAAAAATTTTGCTATACCTTCTGATTTACATGAATATATGTATACTCCTGAAGAACGATTAAACCAGTATAATGCTGATATTAAGGTAAAAACAAAATGATTTAAGTTTGTGGTATCATAATTAATATAACATCAATGGCAATTTTTAAAAAAAATTAACAAAGCAAAAAGTTATTTATTAAAGGACATATAAGCTTGAGAGGAACTTTTTTGACACCACAGGAATTTTTTGAGGAATTCACAGACAAGCAACACAAATGAATATAAGGAATTATATAGGCCTTCTGAATTGCTGAAAGGCAATGACAGTTCTAAGTTGTCCTTATTGAAATCAGTTATACATAACATATGTTCATTAAAATATAATTCTAGATAACAAGTTTAAAAAGAAAAGCAGAAAGAGACCAATTTGAATCGGATTTAAGTGAATCAACACAGGATTCTAAGGGTACATATTTTTTCTCTCTTCTTGCCATTTATATTTAGAGACCTATAAACTGGTTTCAGGGGGAGGTTTTGTGTTCCAAACCTAATATTCTGGGTTTATAATAAAGGCATAGTAATTTTAAATCAGATTTGCTTAAAAAATTTCTGTTCTTAGAAATGACAGCAGATAATCAAAAGTCAGAATTGGAGTTATTGGCAGAACAGAGAGATTATAAGCGCAGGCGACAATCTTATCGTGCAAAGAATGTTCACATTACAAAACGAACTCCAATTGAGGTATGCCTTGATCGATCCATCCTACACAATCATAAAAAATACAAAAGTTGTTCTTCAAATTTTTTTTTGATACTTTGTTATTGTCTTGCTTATTGTCTTTGCGTTACTCACAGATCACCCGTGAGATAATTAATAACAGAATGCAAGAGCTGGAGAACATGTACCAGGAAACAAGTGAAACCTGATTTCCACATTGCTACCAAAAGGATAATAATAGAGAGCAACATGATGTTCTTTAATTAGTGGTAATGGTATCATTTTTTTTAATATTCATACTACAATGTATATTTCAAAATTAAAATTCCTCTACCCTCTTTAGTGTATCATAAAATTGACTACAGCATGTATTCTTTATTCAATATCTTTACTCAATTGGGCATTCTATTCCTAGCCTATATCACCTATGACATGATTATCTAACTTATTTTCAGTTTTTTCATCTTTATTGCATCTACCATATTTTTGTTTAAGTCCCTAGTGATAAAATGAACAGCTAAGTTGATAGTAGTTATAATTTGAAGGAGAAAGAAAGTCTGATGCCAACCATACAATTTAGCAAACATAGCTAGTGGATAGCCTGCCATTATCCCACCAACTAAAAGAAAAAATGTAAAAAATAGGCTTTAGCATAATTTGTCTCAAAAATATGCTTGTAAAATTTGTTTCATTTGATATTTTACCAGATAAATATGTAATATTAACTAATGTTTCCATCAAATGATCTTATTTTGTTAAATGCTAACCTAATGCTAACCTATACAACATACAATTGTCATTATAGTGTAAGCTTATGTTGGAAGTTCAATGCTTTAATCTTCAGGGCACTCCCTTTGATGATTCTGTTTAGCTCTAACTATGCCTTATTGCAGTGATGAATATAACAAGTATATAATTATTATGCCTTAAAAATAGTTATTACTTACAGCTTGAACCAAGAGCAACAATGGCATGAGTTGTTCCAGAGAAACCTGGTGGCCCATTTTCCATTGCAACTAAGCCATATAGTGACGTTGAACCAGATAATGCCATGCCACACCCAAACAGTAAAATTCCTATAAATAACTACCAAAGCAAATATGTTTGGAATTCTCTCAAGTCTTCAAGTGTTTCCATTTGAAAAAATATCATTTAAATAGAAATATTACTGTTGATGATGATGGGTTAACAGTCGTCCTCAGGAAATAAACACACACTTGCAGCATTGCGTATAACCATATAAAAGCTGGCATACGAGGACTGGAGAGTTTAGCTGGATCATGCTAAAAAAATTATTTATGTGGTTACAAATTATATCATATGATTATAATTACCATATTAATGTACCATTTTTACCTTTTGTATCCAATTATCAGTGATTACACCTGCTAAGAAACTTCCAAGGATGCCACCAATTTCAAAGAATGTCACAGCCAATCCAGCTATATGGCAGTACATTGAAATAAACATTAAATATAACAAGTACCTTCAATTGTGATTCAATATAGTCATAAGAAACCAGAATCAAGTTTAAACAATGGGTAATTTAAATGTCAATACCAGACTTATACCCAGGAACTAAATTTATTGAAAAAACTATTGATAATTAACAGATACATTTTCTTTCTTCCTGAAGTGTTTATCCCAATTTAAAAATTGCTCTACTACTACTGTGCTAGCTAACATAAAGGTTTGATTCACTTCCTATAAATTACTATAACTATAGAACAGTAGAAGCAAGTTGGTAGTAAAAGTAACAGTTAAATAAACTATTTCCTTTGTAACAATGACACTAAGCAAGGCCCTTGCACATGCACTTATTAGCCATTGATCTCTGCATGTAAGCAGCCAATAAACCACCTGATGTGTACTAGGTTATGTCAACCATTACAATCTAGTACCTGTTGCCTGTGATTGTCTCTTGTCTTGTATTAGGTAAAGTTGAATCCAGTCACCAAATGCACTTTTCATAATGGCTGTTAAAAAATCTCCAAAGAGAAGCACCCATAAAAATGGACTATGTAAAATCTGTAAAAAAACTTTTCCCCAAGCATATTCATCTCTTTTCTTCTGCCCAGTATTTATTTTGTCATCAACAGTTAAACAAGCCTCTTTTGGAGAGTTGTAAATTGTCATATACAAAAGTGGAGAAATAACAACAGCCAATAGGCCAGGCAATAGCATAGCATAATGCCAATGGTAATGTGAGATTACATGTATGGTTATTAAAGGACAAAATCCTGACATGATGTTACAGCCAACAGTCAATAAACTCCAATATGTACCAATCTAAAACATAATTAAATTAAGATGCAATTTCAAATTACTGTAGCTTAGATAAAGTGTTTAACCCACTGGCTGCAACAATATTGTGCTGTACTATTGTGCTATTATTAGCTATTGTTTTGACAATATTGCTTATGGCACACAACTCGGTTCAAGATGAGCATATATATTATCTCCTCTGTGATATTATTCAATATTGTGAACAACCAAATGTGCTGCAGCCTGCAAGTAGTTCTGCAAAATACTTTCTGTTACAGCCTGTTCGGCCCTGTTGCCCAGTAGGTTTTTTGCAGCCCACTAAGATAACATGGTGGTTAGCATGTCTCACCTCATCTGGTTTAAACCACACTCTCAGCAACTTTGCACATTGCGGCCAAGCTATGCCCTGTATCAAACCATTCACAAACCAAACGGTGGACAAATACATTATGCCATCAATAAATGTGAAAAATATGTTACAAATTCCCGTAGCAATTAGACCAAAAACAAACAATTGTTTTGGTTGAAGTTTGTCAGATAAAATACCACATCCAAATTTACTTAATCCATAACTGAAGGCAAAACAGCTGGAAATGAAACCAAGTTCACTCTCCCCTAAGTATTGAGACTGTAGTAAAGCAGGTATTAAGGAACTATACGATTTCCTATTGTAATAAAACATTGCATATCCGATGAATAAACTCATATATAAAGTGTACTTTAAATTATTGTATCGTGATTTCTTTTTCTTCTTCCATTCATCATTACTCGTTGATTTCTCCATATTTACAATTACAATCACACATGACACATGTTTCTGAATTTTGACATCGACAATACTTCCATTTCCGTGTTCCATTTCGCATGAAGGACTTGCTTTGTGGGACACGTGGAAACATCATTCACAAAAACGAAAAAAAAAGAAAGATGTTGAAGACAATGAAGACTATTCCGATGTTGCGAGTCCGTTATTCAAAATGCAGGTTAAATGTACGTTTTGGAGAAAATATTTGATTAAGAAAATAAAGTTGCACTACACCACTTTTTCCCGCCACTGAGGTCTCCCAGTGGGCCCAAAGAATGAATGATCAGACTCCGGTTTTTTGTATTTTAGGCTTTTTAACTCATTAGTCATTCCACAACTATTTTTTCATACTCTCTCTAATGTGTTAATATGTAATTATTATTTATTATGTATGGATAACGACTGCAAATTTGCCTCAAATTAATATTGATTTTGTCAATTTGCCTTTTATTCACCATCTCTGCTTGGGTGTAATTAGGGGTATTTGTATATAAATCAGTGAAAAAGAAATAGCACAATGATTTGTTTTATAAACTACAATTACAGATCTTGACATAAGTTTTATTTAATTTTTTATTGCCTTCTGTTTTTCAGAAGGTGGCCAGTGCTTACATTCCACAATTCACTCCAAGACGTAATTTGACTGAAACAACTGCTGCTGAGAATACCTCAGATTATCTCCCAATATCTATTGCACAAAATTTTCTAGAAACTGTACATGATTACACTCATCTGCCATGGTGGTGTACAATAGTGGTAACTTGCATTGGACTACGGTCTGTCATTACATTGCCATTGGCTGTACATCAAAATAAACTGCTCACAAAGATAGAATTACTGCAACCTACCTTGAAAGAATTAACAGAGGCTTTAAAACATCGAGTTACCATTGAATGTAGAAATAAAGGAATGTCATCACAGGCTGCTAATAACATATTTAAGAGGAAGGTAACTTTTATATTTCTATTGAAATTAATGCAATCTCATTTTTTTAAAAACACAAAATTAAGTCATTGAAATTAAAAGCTACATTCAAGTCCATAGGGAAGGCTTTTATTTTCCAAATAAGTGTAAATCAGGTGGATTAAGTTGCACCATGCATGATCAAGCTAATTTTTTATCCAGGTTGGTTGGTAGCACTATCACAATATTAATAATTGCGATGACTTGCTTTCTACCACTTCTTGAAAACTGGAAATCAGGGTTTTGACCCAATAGCTGATTTCTCTCATTAGGTACTAAATTTAGTAGGTAAAAATTAGTTGGTAGTTATGACATAATTACCCTGTGAGGCACTAATTTTTTCAGTCTACTGTTCAAAATTTCACCCACATGTAATCTTGCTGTTCGCATTTCTTCAACATCCAGTTCAGTATAAATGATTTAAGTAGGAACTAATACAACCCAACTTTATTATTCATTTCTGAAATCGACTTAATAATTATGTCATTTATATTTAGCTGCGAAAATATACCTATAATCTGTACAGTACAAATGGATGTAATCCTATCAAGCTTTATACTCTACCCTGGGCACAAATACCATTATGGATAATTTTATCATTGGCATTAAGAAATCTTAGTGGAACCTTTAGGTGGGATTCAAAAGGTATTGATGAATATAACATTAGCTGTGGGGTACTGCAGGTATATACTGGCATTCAACAACTTTTTTTATTCTTTAGGTGAGAATCCATTCCCACCACATCCAGATATGTCAAAAGAAGGCACTCTGTGGTTTTCAGATCTCACAGTACCAGATTACACGGGAATACTGCCGGTATTTCTGGGCATAGCAAATCTTGCAAACATTGAGGTAGTCTATTGTTTGTTTGTTGAGTTTGATGTAGCTATATGGCCGTATTACCTGTCTCTTGTGAATATAACGCTGTATAATTTCAAAAGCAATAGCTGATGCAGCGATGCTGGTCATGAAATAAACAAATCGGATTAATATTTTGAGTTTTCAAATTCAGGCCTCTAAATGACGCTAAATCGCAGGACCTCCAAATTGCGGAGGGGCGTTTACTAACTAGATGGTTCATGAACGATGACGCAAATTCGACTTTAGCTATGGTTAAACGGTATGTATATCGAGATGCACATGATATTTTTTTCATTTTCAACAGCTCCATTCACTCAAAAAGAAGAATCCTGCTTTAAAACAACGAACGATCACTATGTTATTCCGATTATTGTCTCTATGCATGATTGCTGTTGCCCTCAAAGTACCCGCGGTAGGTAAATTTAAGAACTTATATATCCCTACTCTAAAGGGTTTCATACAGGATTTATTTGTGTAATTGCCTGCGAAACAAGTACTATTCCATACAACAAACTCAGTATTTGCATGGATGTGCTATGTTCACGCAGTCAGTTGACACTTGCATCACGGACAGCAGTGATTCAGGCCCGGAACTACGGGGGGTTTGGGAGGTGTCACTCCCCACAGAAAGTTTATTCTGAGGTTCAGTCGGTAAAATTACTATTTTAGTCGGCAGACAAAAATACTTTTGACGACTAAAGAATATTGTGGATAAAAAAATTAGGCAAACCAAAAATTACTCGCAGTCGGTAAATATCACTCTGTCATCCTGTTTCTACTCTGCATAATTACTATAGACCGATCCAACTGAAACTTGACAAAGTTTCATCCAGAGTGTAGTCGGTACAAGTCCGTCGATCAGTCGGTTTAGATGACCTACACCCCCTCCTGTAAAATATCCTTAGTGCGGCCCTGTCAATGCTCCATAGTTCAACCTCTCAGTCCGTCCGACAGAATATTTAAAGAGTTTCTTTCAATTTATTAGGCCATGTCGTTGTATTGGAGTGCATCAGCCGGCTTTGGACTTCTTCAGAATATATCTTTAAAGTTCCCTCGCGTGCGCAGAATTCTTCGTATTCCTAAGACTCCATCAGAGAGTGCGATGCCTTTCAAAGATATCGCCTCGATTATTGCTGGTCGCGCTAAGAAATTTCTAGAAATCCAAAGAGAAAACATGAAAAAGAAATAGTTCATGGTAAGAATGAATACTCTGGTCTCACCAAGTGATATAGCGAGGGCCGTCGCTAGGAGGGGGGGTGACACCCCCCTGAAAACTACTTGTCAGCAAATGAACGATTTTTAACCCCCGCAGGACCTTTCGTTACTGTGTAGTTTTTTGACATTGTAACTAGTTTAAACCCAACATTCAGTATTATTGAATCCCGGTGTTTCCATTTTGTCGGCAAATTCGATACTCACCCCCTCCCCCCTCCCCCCCCCCCCCCACTTAAACTGCTTAGCGAGGGCCGTGACTGAGCCACCGTCAGCTCAGAAACGCGGCAAATTCTTACTGTGAAAACGGAATGAGGAGTTTAAAGACCAACAAAGACGACTGTGTTTTTCTTGTGAAGTTTTACGCGATCGTGTTTTTCCATGTAAGAATGGGAATATTTAAAATACTGTTTTGTACTGTGCAGTATTTTTTCCTGGTAATATTATTAAATTTTAGACGAAAAATTAAAACCTTCTGCGTCAATAGATCGTATGTTATACCTATAATCGAACCTAAAGGTTTAAGGGTTTTGATTTCTAGTGGAAATCATACATATATCCCACGTTCAAGCCAGAAACAGTTTGAGAAAGATTGTGTCATCTATTGGTCCTGCGGCAGGAATCGAACCTACGGCTTTTGCGATGCCGGTGCAATGCTTATGTGTGTACCAAGGTATATATGTCTGCGAATATGCATGTGAGGATAAATTATTTCACTCATGCAGTTCACATTGTGACTGAGGAGAGTTTGTCCTGACGAAGGCCCTCAGGTGACAGGTCGAAACGTCGGGAAGTGTTCTTGTCCATTTTAGGCAGTTGTAATACCACATTTGATGCTAAGCATTTCTAATTAACACGTATAGTGAATTCTTATCAACAAATAGATAACATTGAACCGTTGTCTGTTCACACACACATACACGGTATGACATCATTATGTGATAAGAACAAAGCTAAGTGGGCACGAGCCGCCGGGGCCAGTCAATACAGTCAATACAGATATTCTCCGGATCGGTTCATTTAGTTAATTACCAAGTAATGGCATCATAACCACCCCCTACGCTAACCTGCATGCATGTGTATATTATTTATGCTCGCTGTTTGCCATGTCATTTAAAAATACTTTGGCCCCGGTTTGCCGATTTGAAACTCAGCCCGGGCTGAAAAGACAATCAGCCCCAAAAGCTCCATTTACACTACACTCGATTTAATGGCACGGCACGGCTAAAATGGGTACCCGTGCCCATTTTATCTATGCTCGGCCTTTGTTTTGGTTGCCTGAACACTAATAAAATTGGGTACGGGTACCAATTTTAGCCGTGCCGTGCCGATAAATTGACTGTAGTGTAAACGGGGCTAAAGGCTAAGCTAAGGAATTAAACGACTTACGCAAGCCTCTGTCTCTGTCGTCCTATCAAGATTTGTAGAATCGCTACATTCCTCATATGTGATGCTGCTTAAAAAAATTATGGAAAAAGAAAAAAAATAATGATTTAATACGTACGCACATGAATATTCTGTGTCTCGATCAAAATCAAACGACTGGGCGCATAATTATTTTGTGTATACTCGATCTATATAGTTCATATAATTCAAAATTTAATAATAATATATATTGTTGCTAAAATGGATATGGGCAATCGACGATTCACTGATGCAGGGGTTTTTAGCCGTTTTCTAATGTCATTTCAAATTAGTGCATTAGTGCTGGACCACCCGTGACGGGCTCCCCATTCCCTTTTTAAAGATAGCCCTCGTTTTGAGTTTTGCAGTGGCTGCCAATCTTCTATTATTTTTTTATAAGCTTTTTCCGGCTAAAAGCACAAGCAAAAACACCCTTTTAGCTCGAGTAAACACGTAGCGAACGTCAAAATCAATAAAATGGTTGGATCACTTGCATGCATCTTGCAATCATGAAACTTTAATCATCTGCCAAAACCTTTTATATATTTCCGATGAGGTAAATCGACTATAGTCGAGGGAGGTCTTAAGAACGAAGCGATGCTAAGGCAACGCTGCAACGTAATGTTTTAATGCAGTGAGACAAATTCGAGGTTTTATATAACGTCTTGAGCGTCTATATGAAGTTCCATGATGCTTGGTTCAACTTCAAGTAACAGCTTGCTGTTGTACTTCAGCTTAAGTCAGTTGTTATTTCAACTATCGGTGGCTAACAAAAGTTTGGGGAAGTTTTTCAAAAAAACTGAGTCAGGTAACAATATGATTTTAATTTTAACAACATGATTTCAATATGATCTCATTCATCAGTGTAGGAATACATTATACCATACAAAGCAGCTTCAACCTATATAGAAATTCTGAAACTGATTTGACTCTTCCAAAACCAAAAAGAGAATTTCTTAGAAGAAGTTTTAAGTATAGTGTCGCTAGTCTTTGGAACAATCTAACGTGTGAAGCCAAGCAAGCTGAGTCTGTCTGAGTCTATATATATATATATATATATATAATTATATATATATATATATATATATATATATATATATATGTATAGGTTATCACATATATATATATATATATATATATATATATATATATATATATATATATGTATAGGTTATCACATGAGGGGCGAGGTGATATCAGTTTTATCGCTTGAGGGACGATATCATAAATGTCACGAGTGAGCGCAGCGAACGAGGGACATTTATGATATCGTCCTGAAAGCGATAAAACTGATATCACCTCGTCCCGATTGTGATAACCTGTTTATCACATACTTCTTTTTGATCTATAAAGCAATGGACATTGACTGAAACAAACCTCGAACTGCTCGAGTCAGCCATCTTTGTTTTGACAGCGGCAAATGCAGCGGGACAAAAAGCGATATCAGTGACAAAAAGCGATATCTGTGATACCTCTGGAATGGCGGAAAATTATAACTCATGATCGGCCAAATAACATAACACGGCGAAAATAAAGCAAAACAAACAAACACAAATAAATGGTTTCTTTATGTTTTACGTAAAATGAAAAGCTATGGGCCATGCATGCCCTTCCACGTGCCCTCCATTTAGTTCCACGCAAATAATGGTTCGTTTAAGCATGTGGCGAACTGCATTGCGAATCGTTTAGGGCTGCTGCTGTAAAACATGAAATTCGTCGATAATCGGATGATCCGTCGTTTGCCCGTGTTTACACACAGACGAACTAGAAGACGAACTATCTTTCGTCTGTACGATAAATCGGGGCAATAGGGTACGTATCACTAAAGCCTTATTCTCGTTAACCAACGACAGTGATTGGGTCAGGACCGAAACTTGAGCGATAACTTGGGGAGGAGTTATTCCATAGAAAAAATAGACATATCTATTATTTCTATGAGTTATTCATATATTCAGTTCGGATTTCTATGAACCCCAACCTATCCCCCCCCCCAATTATCGTTGTAGACTCTGTCTTGGATGGGGTATTGCACTTCCTTCGTCGTGCACATAATTTAAAAAATAGGTACGCAATGCGTACATGTGGGTAGCCTGTAAAACATTATTAACTGCGATAAAGCTGCTATAGTGGCAAGTAAATATCAACTGATGCAATAAAATATTATTTTCTAGTCTTATGTTCTAATGCCATAGACAAGGGAATAAACGCCCTATAGTTAACTGGTTGAATACAGTTATAACGAAGTTGATTTATTACACAATCTATATATTATAATATTTTATTGTATTAAATACATTTTACAACAGATCAAAACATATATAAAAGTATTTTTACAAGAGATAGGAAATGAACTTTTTTTAAGCAGAATAGGTGAAGAGAACAAAAAAGAGAGTAAGGTTCTGGGATGGTGGCACACATTGTCTGATAACATAAAGCTTAGTTTAGAAGGTGAAAAAGAAGGTCTCAGACTTTTTCAAATTATTTCGTTTTGACGTCCTTTGATTATCAGCATGTCTTTGTTACATACAAGATTGGCTATTTTGTTGACAAATCAATGTTATAGTTATGTCAATAAAGGTTGAACTTTATTGTTCCAGTAAGATTATACCACTTGTTTTCCAAAGTTTATTCACTTTATTGGCAATACGTTTCACCATTATAACTGAAGATGATAGTATGATTTCATTGATCCATTAGCAAGGTACAGGTGGTTTGCAATGTTGATTACAGATAACTTATCAGCATCAATTAGCTGGACATAATAGCACCAGTTCGTAGCTGGGTTTCGTCTATACACCCTGACTCTGTACGTCTCACTTTGAATTTACAAGCGCATCCCCACTTTAACCTTCCCCTATGTACTATTATCATTTGATATTTAGGCAATGTCGAAAGCAGCGACGTTTTTGACACTTATGGAAGTCAAGCGGAAGCAACAAGAATGGTCCAGTTTCTAAATAATACATTTAACACAAAGTAAGAAGAAAAGCTATAGCTATTGTACGTATAGGCTATATATAGATAGAGAATGGAAAACTCCACTTGCAAGATTGATGATTGTGTATGTTAGGAAGAAATACAAGAGGGTATTTTAATCGCTTTATAGTATTTGATCCAAAAATTGTTTTTCTTGACCAATAATGACTAAATTATTTACTTAAAATAATTTTTTTTAATGTCGCTGTATCATATTTGTCTGAAACTATTTCTTACATGACTTGTGTATTAATGAATTGTTCTTATTGTAGTCAAGTTCTGTAGTCAAGAATAAAAGTATATTTCACTCACGCACTAGTGTTTATTTAGGAAATTGATCCTGGCAGCCATAAATGATGAAGGTTCAGACAAAATGACACAAGATGCATACAACGCACTCTCTAAAGTCGCAGGAGAAAGCATTGCAACATTAAGTTTTCGAAGTTCATTTGCCATGATTGGTTTTTCAGACAAACAAAAACCTTCTTTCGTAAAACATGTATGTTCGTATTGTTTTTTTACTGTAATGTTTACTTGGCAATGTTACCAGGCGATTCCATTTGCATGTCTGTTGTCTGACTGGTTGGTAAATGGCACAGTAAATAAGTTGAGACATTCTAGTCAAGTAACGCTTTCAATTTTACGCATCTGTGGGTTTAGCATAATAATCAAATCCTAACAAAAGATTTTAATTGGGGGTACTTTTTTATACACCCTGTTGTCTATCGAATTTTCATCATGTGTTTAATGAGTGCCATAATTATTTTAGATGCAAAGAGTTGCAGGACGTGGACCATGCGTCTTTCAAGAAACAATCGAAATTTAAATCAATATATAGTCATAGTTCATGCATGATCATCAGATAACTGATCACGATCGAATTTATTGATCGCCTTCCGACTTTCCAGGCCGAAACAAAGATAATAGTAAACAGTCAAAAATTGTAATGTCTTCATTGTAAATCTAGATCTTAATCATCCACTATATTCTAATAGCACTGACTGAACACGATTCATATAATTGCGAGGGATTTCCTTAGTTAGTATATTTTGCTAAATCCATGAAATAATCTGAGCATGCAGTCGTAATTTAAAGATGATATTTCACATATCGCACTTAATTTAGATTAGATAATTTCTCTCAGAGTGAGAGTGCATGTGCACGTTGTATTCTGTTTCCTATCAAAATAGTCTTGTTCACTTGTATTGCTACAATAGACAATAAAAAGAGACCAAAATAGACAAAAGCACTTCTCGACGTTTCGACCTAAAGACTGATTTTAACGAATACGCGTTTTCCATACGCACCGGCGTAAATATGAATCCATATGAATATACAAGTGAATTAATCTAAGAAACTTTCTATGCGTTTTCCGCATATTTAAGTATTTACTCCATAGGCCAGAGATCAATAAAGAGCCGCAGACCGGTGAGATTGGACGGTGAGACTCGGTGACAAATAAAAAAAATTAAAACTTTTATATACTCTTAGTCCCTCACCTTCAGTAGTCTTGATCTTGGACGTTCCATATATGATGTTTGGTTTCACTTTTGTATTTTTACGTATATAAGCCAGTTGTTATTTCAACTATCGGTAACTAATGGAGAATGTTTTCGAAAAATGCCAGTCAGGTAACAATAATCATAACAATAATCAATGTGATTTAAACCGTCTTCAATTGCCTGCATCCTAAACAAGGGCTTCACGCGCCAAGCGAAAAGGGTGAATGATGATAGAATTAAAATGTTTACACATGTGTAGAGAACAAAAGGTTTGAAACATCAAACCAGGCGAATGGATTTACAATAAGTAGGTATAGACCTATTGGTGCACCATTTGTAAAACAACCATCGTTTAGTCATTAGCGGTGCATAATGGTCGTCAGCAGTTCATAACCATATTGGGCGTAGCTTGTTTGTGCAGCGAATTTGTTAGGAATGTGTTTTATATAAGTCATAAAAAAGCGTATATTCTTACTTTATTAGCTAAGCAATTAGATTCATTGCGCGAGAATCATGGAATACATTCACAGTTTTCGCGAGGGAATCGCAAATCACTTTATGATGGTTTTGTTTATGTTTTAGATAACTAAGGAGGCAAAAGAAACAGTTTTATCCTATACTGGCGATAGTTCTAATTCTATTTGTATTTAGTTATTGTAGGGTTTGGTTCGGGAGTCATGCTATATTAATTAAGGTTTGTATGTATTTGTTCTATTTTATAGTCGAACCACGTTCCCGTTTCACGTTTTACGTCTTTTATATCGTCAATTTTGGGTTAAAATATATCTATAGATTATATGATCTATTATTGTCGGTGTCATTGGCAAAAGTGTATCTACCCATGCATTCTGCGTGCGTTTGGGCTGTTTTCCCCGCCTCAATTGTGCTCACACCTAACCCTATTGAAAATCTGTGGGACAATGTCAAGGGGAAATTGCAAGAAAGGAATTCATTCATAAAGCGTCCATGATTTATGGGTTGCTGTAAAGACTGTCCATAGGATGAATTCCTTTTGACCGTTCAAGATTACCACCTTAATCAACAAAATATTAATATTTCATATAGCTTAGCATGTAATTTAGTCTATATTTTACTCGTATATATTGTTAAAGGGACAGTTACGTTCATTTGAGAGCATTTTAACTTGTTTTGAGCAGTTCTTTTTGACCGCCAGTGTACTTTTGCCTTAAAATATGTCCCTCATCGCTCTGGTCGACGTCTGTTTGAGTTTTCTCTAAACGTTTCACATGACTTTTGCTCTATTGACTAACTACAAACTAACTTAATAAATAACTTACCCGCTTTAGGTTGTGCAGATGTTTTTATTTGACGGTTGAGTGGATTGACACGACAACCTCAGTGAAGTCTGCCTCAGTGTGAGATTAAATATAGCTTGGCTCAGGCTTTTAAAGCGTGTAAACTTTACAAGTCATTACGTGCCAAAGTTTACCTAAAACGAGAGCTCAGAAAAAAAGGGTGACACAAAAACTAGTATTACTCTCGTTCTTCACTTCAGCTGTCATGCTTGAAAGGAAAATCAATTGATAGTTGCGAATGGCCCAAGATTATATTTACCCAAACTTTCTTGTGGCAAAAATCAATTACTTATCCCATGTAATGGGAAGTAATGTATTCCTATTCCATTTATGCACGCAAGTTTTACATTCTATTATTATTTAATTAATGTTCTAAGGTTTTTTTGTTAAAGCAGCTAAAAGCATGGTTGAATCAACCAATTTTTAGTTGTTTTTACCAGAAATAATAGGTCAAAAAAAGATGAATCTGTGATAACTAATTTTCAATTAGTTTTTTAACAAACTTTTTTTTATAGACTAGTAAAGAGTGGCCTATCACTTTCACAATATCGTATATGCATGCTCGCATATTTTGTGTAGCAGGTTTTGCGTGTGATATTTAGAGCTCGAAACGTATATTATAATAAATAATATAATTTAAATTCTGAAACAAAATACGTGGGATCGTGAACTGATTCGTGTTATAAATGCATGTGTATTATTTGTGATGGTAAAGAATAAAGATAACTGAAAAACTGAAACATCAAGCATGGACAGGCGTGTTTTTTCCAACCTTGCATCACTTCACTTTAGATATCTATTTTTCCATCAACATGCAGCTCTCATATCATATGCACTATGCATTGCATCAAGAACATCAACGAACGTTCCATTTGTTTTTATATAGTTCTATAATTAACATAAATCAATTCTTCAATTTTCTTTTGCATCGAAGCTGTCTTCTCTGTGAAATAATTTACATATTCTATTAGAGTTTGTTAATTCGATTGGTTTATTTTTATCACATGATAATTCTTGCCTTTAATATCATGTATATATTGTTTCGTGATCCATACATATCACGCACTTTGCACATATCACGCACTTTGCCCATCATTTGCCCAATTAACGAACTTCTGGGGAAAAATAATAGAGCGAACAATATTTCCCAGTTAAAAATAGGCGAAAATATTATTTCTGACGACATAAAAATGGCAGAGTCCTTTAACGAACACTTCGTGAGTATTGGGGCTAAATTAGCCGCCGAAATTGAGAATAATTTCTTGGACCCAAGTTGGTCAGAAAATGTCAATTCCCAATCAGATATACAATTTAGATTTTCAGAAATTAATGTGCATGATGTATTCCTTCAGTTATATAGACTTAAAACATCAAAATCGACAGGCATTGATACTATTCCAGCAAGGGCACTCAAAATTTCAGCTGAAGTAATTAGCCCATCATTAACGTGGATATTTAACCTCTCGATTAGAACTGGAATCTATGTAGACGAATGGAAAAAAGCTTGGGTTCTACCGATTTTCAAATCTGAAGACAGACAAAAGTGCGAAAATTATCGCCCAATTTCAATTTTACCAATTATTAGCAAAATTTTTGAGCGTTCTGTTTTCAACCAATTGTATGAATTTTTGAGTGAGAACTCTTTGCTTTCTAAGTATCAATCTGGATTCCGCCCAAAGAATTCGACTTTGACTGCACTTATTCAAATGTGTGAAGCATGGTACGAAAATATAGATAATGGCGACGAATGGTGTAGTTTTTCTTGATATTAGGAAGGCTTTTGATTCAATTAATCACAATATCTTATTGCACAAAATGAAAGAGCAATTTGGAGTTTCAAATATTGAATTGAAGTGGTTTGAATCTTATATTTCTGATAGGGAACAAGTATGTTTTGTCAACGGCACGATATCAACGCCAAAAAAGATAGTCTGTGGGGTTCCTCAGGGATCCATCTTAGGACCATTATTGTTTTTACTTTACATTAACGATCTCCCAGATTGTCTCGATAACACCACCCCGTGCTTATATGCTGATGATACGCAGATGTTTTCAACAGCAAAGGATTCAGCAGAACTTATCTCCAAGTTAAAAGCGATTTGAATAAATCAGCCTGTGGCTAAAAAGTAACAATTACAGCACCATTCAACCAAAACTAAATTTATGTACGTTGATCAAAGTAATCTTCTAAGATCAATGATGATATTCCTGTTGTAATGCTAATAGCAACCTATTCCCAGAGTATATTCAATCTCTTTGTCTGGGCGTTACCCTTGATGAAACATTAAGTTGGGAAGAACACATTGAAACGATTGCAAAAAAGTTGGGGCAGGTATAGGAACGTTAAAACGCGTCAAGCCTTATGTTCCTGGAAACATGTTGCAATCGATTTATAAAGCTTTGATACAACCCTATTTCGATTATTGCTCTCCCCTTTGGGATACCTGCAACAAGACATTGAAAGATAAGCTGCAAAAATTTCAAAATCGAGCAGCTCGAATAATAGCTGGCGCTAGCTATGAAATTAGGTCTGCAGATATTCTTCGGGCACTTGACTGGGAAAATTTAGATTCCAGACGAAGTATGACCAAGGCAGCATTATTATATAAAATTTTGAATGATTATACCGCACCTAATTTGAAAGAATTATTCATCAGGAGGAATCTTTTGCAAAATAATTATGACCTCAGAAACTGTCACATTGATTTGGCTCTTCCAAAACCGAGACGAGAATTTCTGAAAAAAAGTTTTAAGTACAGTGGTGCTAAACTTTGGAATAATCTTTCGCAAGAAGCTAAGGAAGCGCAATCTATTTATTCTTTCAAAAATATTGTAAAGCAAATGAATTGTTAAATAGAATTAAGATTCAATCTTGTATAGATCTTAGCATACGGCCGGATCACACCAACTTAATCTATTTTCTTTCTTATATATTTCTCTTTTGTAAATAGCTATGTAGATATATTATTATCTTTTGTAAATGTTCTATTGTGTTTTGGACGCCCCTTATGGAAACCAACTTTTGTTGATAAGGCTAGCGTCATTAAAGAAGGTTTTACATACATACATACATACATCGACTAAGCATTCTACCGACTCGCTATATTTTCATTCACTATAATGATAATTGCGAAAGCTTTCTATACGCATTGAAAATTTTCCATATTTGTCTCAAAGCCGATGGCCAATTCTGCGATGCTTGGTTCAAGTAACATTTTCCTGTTGTATGCTATAGTAGGCCTGTTGTTATTTCAACTATCCATGGCTAAAGAATATTTGGAGGGGCTTTTCAAAAAATCTGATTCAGGTAACAATACGATTTTAAC